AGCCTGGGCTACATAGTGAGTTCCAGGTCAGTCTCAACTACATAGTGAGACCCAGTCTCAAAAAAACAAAAACAAACAAACAAAAAAGAGATGGAGCCAGACATGGTGCTGCATGCCTGTAATCCCACTATACTGGGAGGCTAAACAGGAAAATCTCAAGCTTGAGCCCATTCTGGGCAATTTAGTGATTTAGCAAGATACTATCTCAAAAAAAGAAAAAATAAATAAATAAAGAGAGGCCTGGGAATATACTTGGTGCAAAGGTCCCAGCTTCAATCCCCAGTACTATACATACACACAAAGCTAGACTGATGTTTCCTATGTTGCTTCATTCCTCATTCCACAGTGTGGAGGCACAGGAGGTGTGTATGAGATGGATATGCAAAGATAAGGGACTTTTAGAGCCACATGCCCAAAACCTTCTGGAATGCATGGTTAGAGATGAAAAGATAGCCTGTAGGGCCACAAGTCCAAGCAGGATCAAACACACTGCCTCAAGGAAAGAATGCTCTTACTCTCTCCTCCACATACTCAGATTTATTACTTAGAGTGGCCCTAAGGTCAGTCATGTACCAGATCACTCTGATTGAACCCTGCCCTTCTCCTGTCCTTCCTCTTTTCACTACACAAATTCCTGCATGGACATCCTTCCTTTATCCTTGCTTCCTGGTTATATCAATAAAAAGCCACAGAAGCAGTTGGGCTGTGTGTGGTGGTTCATATCTGTAATCCCATCCCAGCACTCTTGAGACTGAGGCAGGAGGATTGCTGTGGGTTCAAAGCCAGCCTGGGTGAGGATAGCCTGGATAGTTCAAGGATAGCCTGAACTTCAAGGCAAGACCCTGTCTCAGAAAAAAAAAAAAAAAACGCCACAGAAGCTTTAGTTCAGGGCTGTCTGCGTGAGACTCTCTCATGCTGAGGGGTCTCAGTTAAGGGCAGTCCCTCTGGGCCTTGGAGTTTAAACTAGACCTTGATTCTGAGGAATCTCTACGCTGTGTCACAGTCATGAACTACAACACCATGGTGTGGTATGTCCTCAAGTTTTCTGAAACAAAGTTTATGCAGCTGTCATAAGCACAGTAACTAAGAGCATTCAGTACTTATGTGAAAATGCCATGAGCCATTGCCAGTTTATCGAACCTTCGAAAGAAACGGAAGACAATGAAAGCTCAGTGTTTTGGTGTGGAAGAGTTTTCCTAAGATTTACTGTACTTTTGCTTAAGTAACTTCAAGATTTTCAGGAAGAAAAGGAATGTTTACCAAGTATTTAATAAGGTTTTTTTGTTTTGGTACCAGGGATGGAAGGGACCTTGTGCTTATGAAGCAGGCAGCAGAGCCACTGAGCTAAATCTCCAGCCCAGTAGTTAATAAGGTTTAAAAAATCACTGTAGGTTTTCTTACCAATACCATATTACATAAAACTGAGCAAAATTTGAAGCTTGAAGGAGAAGAAAGCTCTGATGACCTAGCCAAACAAATACAAAAATTTGAAATTAAATCTTTTCCTAGTAATCAATAACTATGATTTTACACACTTTTCTCACATGAATTGGCCCACTTTGATAATATTAAGTTTGGCATTGCTTTTGGATTTATGTGATGTCATTTTGAGCCTGTTAATTATATTGAGTTGACACAAGAGTCAGTTGTATTTGCTTGGACAGCTGTAGTTTAAAAATAGATATGCTTGGGGCCAGGGATTTAGCTTAGTGGCACTGCACCTGCCTTGTAAGCCCAAAGTCCTGAGTTTGATCCCTGGTACTGGGGGGAAAAATGGATATGCTTCTGTTTCAAAGTCAAATCGCTTTGTTCAGTTATTGGAAAACTAAGTTAAGAACACCTTGAATATATGAGGCTATGATACCTTTCTCACAGGATGCACAGGAACATCATGAGCCATCATGGTAGGGAAGTCTGGTCCCTGCTGCCACATTCCACTGGGGCTGAGTTCCTGACAGCCCTGAGTCGCCCCTTCACACCTGTGACTTCTCTGCAGTAGGGCTTCCTACCTCTCTGAGGTGCCCATCTCATATTCCCTTTGCCTAACTGGACTATGACAGAAGCTGGCCTCAAACTCCTGGACTCGAACAATCTTCCTGCCTCAGCCTCTGGAGTAGCTGGGACTCCAAGTGAGCACCACCACACCTGGTTCTCCAAGGCAAATTCACAGGGCAATTTACACACACCCAGGCCAGCTCCTCTCTTACCACTGCTGCCGCCCTGCAGACAACCTCCCTTCCTCGCCCTGAGGCAGGATAGAAGAAATAAAAACTAGGTGAAAAGGAGACAATCAAGATTTTAAAATCATAAAAAAGAAAAAAACTACAGCTTCAAGACACAAAAATTACTCAAGCCTCTTTTCCTTCCAGGAAACGCACTTTAAAAAAAGAATCTAAAGGTCCTTTTACAATGTCTGTAAATCTAATAATAGATGATAGAAATACACATCCTGGATCACCCATCTTGGAGACACCCCTTAAATGTGCCCAGTGCACCTCATTATCTGAGTCCAGGCATCTACTCTAGAATACATCCTAAAATCTCTAATAAACCCTTCTCATGTCTCTTTTACTGATGCATCCTGAAAATTTGTTTCCTGAGATGGAGTCAGTGAGTCTGCAAACTTATTTCAAAAAGGTGGGATAGGTTTCTTATTTCAGCCTTGGGACCACTCAGCCCAGGGTCAACCCCAGGCCATACCTGATGTATGTATGAGCCCAAGTGTGTGCTGCCACCCAGCACTGTGGGCGGGTGTGGGTCTTTGCTTCAGTAATAATAGAAATATAAACCCAGGAATTCAGCACAAGCCCATAGGAAAATAATGGAAAAGTAAGATCAAGCCAGTGCCCTAACAAAGGAAAGTAAGACAAGATGGAAAAATAGCTTTTGAAAAACTGAACAGGACACAACTCTGAAGAGGTGGGCGAGACTGGCTATCAACAAGGAACCGAGGACCAGTTTTACAGGGTGGTGTGGTGGGCTGGGTTCTGGTTGATTGTGATCTCAGTCCTGGTCTGCGCCTGCTCCAGAAGTTCACGCTTGAGGGGCAATTTGGTTCCATGATGTGACTGTTTCTGCTTGACAGCTGACCTCACCATGGGGTGGTCTGCAAGGTTCTGCTTTTTCTGGATCCTGAGGTGATTACAGGCTTAGGACAATGGATGGGGACTTTTAGGCATTGCTGTAGAGCAGTGATGGCGAAACTTTTAGAGCTTTAAATGATAACAAACAGCCTGGTGCATCATAAATGATACATGTTCACACCACTGCTCTAGAGGGTCTGGAAGTAGGGATTATAAGAGCTGGTATTGTGAGGACCAAGTTTCCGGTCACGGTGGGCTCCAAACCCCTTACCCAGAATAGAGTAAATGCAAAAGTTCCTTTCTGAGAAATTTCATTCTGACAGTTTCCATTCTATGTGGCAATTTCTCTGTGCTTCTAAAAAAATTCCATTCTTCTCTGTGCTTCCTCCTCTTTTAGGGCACCTCCACCCTGCTTCTGTTCCTCTTTTTAAAATGTTAAGACAAGCTTCTTTTTGTGTGATCTAATCAATATAGGAACTAATTATAGTGGATATAGATAGTTATATATCTGAGTTAGCAAAAGTCAGAAGAGGAATTAATTGTCTAATGAAAAGAGGAATTAATTCTCTAAAGGCCTTAGGTAACTTTCCAATACGTACCCTCCCAGCACCCCATAATAAATTTGCAAATGTAAGCATGAGGTCATGTTCCAGTGTGCCCTCCCGATGCCCCTTGATGATATGGGAAAACTAAAAATAGTAACAGAAAAATCCTATATAAACTTGGTTCAAAGTTGGATCTGGGCTCTCAGTCTGAAGCCACTGTGAAGGTGACACCTGAGAGTCCAGGCTCGAGCTTGCAATAAACTCCTCTTGCATTTGCATCGGACATGACTCCTTGGTGATTTTCGGGACTTCACGACTTGGGCACAACAGTATTTGGATGATTCGGCAAATTTTGGAAATTACCTTAGTTACAGTGGACCTTCAAATTACAGCTGGCCCGACATATGAACAACTTGGGTTAATTAGGTTAATGGAAGATTCATCTGCCTCGTTAGCTATACCTGGGTACCCAGGTAAACATCCAGATCTCAGCTGTACTGACTTAGTTACTAGTCCTCAGAACCGATCAGGTTCGTAAGTTAAGGGTCCACTGTACTTTTATCTTGGTGTTCTCATGTTGAAGTAGGATGAAACAGGTGAGATGAGTTTAGGGCTAATCAACCTTCCGGTTGACACTTCCTGAATGATCAGCATGCCTACATGCAGAGCTTGGCAGGGAGCTAACCCAGAGTTTTAAGATAATAAAGGAGATATAAAATGAAGGCAAAGGTGACCAGCTTCATCCTACTTTTAGTTACTCGTGGGGCATCTGCAGGTCCAGCCTCTGGGTCACCGACCACCTCAGAACACAAATCATCTTTTAATGTCTGCCAGTTTAAGGGTCCAGGACTTTGTCATCTGTCCCTATGTGGTCTGTGTCCCAAGGACAGGACATAGGAACAGCCAAGCAAAGAAGTGTGCAGGGTCCAGATTGGACTCTGGATACCACAGTCAGCCCTGTGGAGAAATCTTCTCAGTGTGGCACTAGGGGGTGGAAAGCAGGGCTGACTCCTCAAGATCTCCCATGGTTTGAGGGTTTCTGGGAAGAATTTCCTGAAATAAAGATTTTAGGGAACGGGGAACTCCACCCAGCTAGGGCCTAAGAAAAGGCAGCCTTACTTGGGTAGTGGGGCAGCCACAGAAGCCACTCAGGGACTGGGACAGTGTCTCACTGAGTGGCGGTGGTGGTGGCCCTGGGGGAGGTGGAACCAGGGACTGCTGAATTTCCAGGCCTCCTGCTCCTGGTGAATGTACCGCGTGGCCAGGGTCAGGGTCAGAGCTGGCAGAGGGGGAGGAGCGGCAGAGGCTGGAGGGGGCCCAGGAGGTGGGGCTGGGGCAGGCGGGTGCTGGGGGAGGGCGGTGCCATGGCTGGGGGAGGGACAGGAAGAGGCTGACAGCCAGCCAAGGTCTCAGCGGGGAAGTCTGGAAGAGACCCCGAAGTCACAGGGAAGGAGGTGAGGAGTGAGAGCAGAAGGGTGGCGGGTGGCAGAAGGTCCTAAGACCACACATGTAAAACCCTTGATTCAAGGTGACAGCCCGGTGCCTTTTTCACTGAAGACCTCACTTTCTGCAGTGGTGACTTTCTGGTGAGTCCCAAGACCACTTGTCCAGACAAAGCTCTCTGGGGGACCAGGAGGGAGGTGGTAGCAAAGGACCCAGAAAGGAGGCAAAGGAGGGAGGCTCCTCTTGAGACTAGCAAGCTGGAACCTGGCAGGAGGGACCCCATTTCTAGGGTGTGTCAAGGCAGATGGCAACAACAGCCCTGGTATGGGGAGGGTTAAGCATCGGCGCAGTCCACCCTCCCAACCTGGCCTCCCTGCCTGTTTACTCCTCCCAGAGACATTTGGCCTCCAGCTGTCTCCCCTCCCTCCCCCGCTGCTGGCCTGGGTCTGGGATGGGGTGCAGGCTCTGGAGCAGGGAGGTTCTGGACTGAGGGCTAGAAGGGATAGGGGGAGCAGAGAAGGCCCCCAGGGGCAGCAGTGGGGGAGAGAATGGGCTAAAAAAGGGGCTGCTGGAGGGGAACTCTGCCAAAACTCTGCTGGCCAGGGTGGGAGGCAGACACAGGCAATTCCGGGAAAGGGCCATTTTTCCTGTCCAGGAGGCAGCAGCTCCCAGCTGTCGGGAAGAACCAAGGACCACACAGTGTCTTTGCAGGGCCAAAGCATGTGGCGGCTGCTGATCCTACTGGCCCTGTGGCTGCGCACTGAAGGTGTGGGTGGGGCTGAGCTCACCGAGGTACAGCACAGGGGCCTGCAGGTGGCCCTGGAGGAGTTCCACAAACACCCGCCTGTGCAGTGGGCCTTCCAGAAGACCAGCATGGACAGCGCCATGGACATGGTTTGTGGCCACATGAGGTTGGGAGGCCAAGGGCTACACCCAGGAGGCCAGCACATTCCCAGGAAGATGGCAGGAAAAAAGCCACTTCTTCAGTTACACTGGCTCGAAGTGCACAGTGGGGCCAGGGCCAGCTCATAGCACCCAGCTCAGAGCAGAGGCCTCTTGTTGTTTGCAGCCCTTCCCAGCAGGTACCTTTGTAAGGCTGGAATTCAGGCTCCAGCAGACTGGCTGTCGGAAGAAGGACTGGAAGAAACCAGAATGTAAAGTCAAACCCAATGGGGTAAGCATGTGACACAGGGCCCGGGCCTCTGGTGGACAGAACTAGGAGGTCCAGAGAGAAGCCCTGGGGAAGGGACCCCTGTGAGCCACCGTGAGGCTGGCCTGGCCGAGGCAGGGAAGGAAGGACTTGCCTTTGTCTGAGTGAGGTTCCTACTGGGCCTCAGGTTCCTAGTTGGAAAACCCTGGGCATGGGTTTATCCAGTGCCTGCCCCGGGCCATGGCTGATTCACAATGGGGCTTCACAATGATCAGGGCACAGCCACTGTTATGGGCTGAGCCCTGGACCAGGGGTGCTGCCGTTGGGGTTCCAGTTCCCCCTCTGAGATCACAAACCCTGTGCTCTTTCGGGTTCCTCCACCTGCTAAAGGAGAGGACTGGATTTTATCAGTGATTTTCAAACCTCGGGTTTCTGGAATCCTTATATTCAAATCAAGTTTTAAAGAAAATTTCAACAAACTGAATAGACCACAGGGGAGAGATTCTGATGGAAGTAGGTGGAGAGAGCTCATCCGGGGTAATTGTTGCTTTTACACACCCATGCATAGGGATGCATACACATGCCAACACATGAATGTACATGGATAAGCATACATCTGGGAAGGATTCCTGCCCCCATGAACACTAAAGTCCCAGGATTCACTGACTTCTAAACTCTCTCAGTCCTGGGGTGGGCTATGCTGAACCAAGCTGGGGTGCATGATGCCTTGTCTCCCAGGCCACAGCCTCCCAAGGGTGCAGGTCCCCACTGTGAGAAGTCCCCAGCCCCATCCTTGCAGTGCTGGATGTCTCCCTCACCACCCTTCCCTTCCCCAGAGGAAGAGGAAATGCCTGGCCTGCATCAAACTGGACCCTGAGCATACAGTTCTGGGCCGGATGGTCCACTGTCCCATAGAGACACAAGGCCAGGTATGCAGGACAGAGGCTGGGGAGGTGGCTGGAAACAGCAAGGTGGAGGAAGCTTGGGTGAGGGGGAAGTGCAAGAGGGGACTCTAGGCATGATGGGCATTCCCTAGAGGTCTTGGCACTTTGGGACACTGCTGCTCTCCTGGCACTGCCTGACCAGTTGTTGGTGTTGTCAGGAGCCCCAGGAACCTCAGTGCAGCAAGGTGCAGCGGGCTGGCGAGGACCCCCACAACTTCTACTTCCCTGGACAGTTTGCCTTCTCCAGGGCGCTGCCCTCTAGCTGAGCCCTGGACTGGTAGGTGGCCAAGGGCAGGGACTGGGTTGCTGCTGGACTTCGGGTGGCAGGGACAAAGAGACAAGAGCCTGGCAGAGAGCTGGGACTGCGACAAGATGGCACCCAAATCGCAGGTTTGTTTCTTTTCTCTAGAATCTCAGTTGGCTTCCTGGACAGTAGCAGGTAGCCCCACCCAGCCAGACGTCCAAGACCAATAAAACTCTTCTCCAAACCTGTTTCCTGCACTCCTCATGTTGCCCTTGGCACTCAGCTCAACCTGTAGGAAGCCAAATGAAAAAGGGCAGTGGGGCTGTGTGGGTGTATATATGTGTGCATACATGTGTGTATGTGTATGCATGCCCAACAGGTACACATGGGACTAGAGGAGCTCTGGTGCAGGACCAGAGGCGAGGTCCCACAGACCAGGCATCGATGCAAATAAACTCATGAGCTGTTTAATAGGACTGGGGTGAGAATGCAGAGAAGGCTCCAGGGAAGCACAGGCCTGGGCACAGTGGGCTGTTGTTGTCCATACAGGTAGACGTGGAGTCAGTGCACTCAGCTCACAGCCACGTCTGTGCTCTGCAGGTCCAGCTGGCTTGCTACCTATCTTCCTCACTGCAGCCTTAGGCGGAAGTAACACTGTGCACCAAGTCTCAGGTTGTGGCAGCCGGGAGAGGCAGCTGCTATGGCCACAGGCTCAGCACCCCTTTCCTGTCTCACAGCATATGTGCCAGCTGCCCATGAGAACCCTAAACCTGCTAGGGGCTGCATGAGAGCTGTGTCCTGCTCCACATGCAGGGATGGTGGGAGACTGTCCTGGTGGGAGGGGCCTCTCAGGACAGGGACAGATGAACCCATACCTGAGCATGCAAGGTCAGGGGAAGGACAGAATACAGAAGCAAGGAAAGAAGTGCAGGCATCGGGGCCACCGGTCAGGCCATCACAGGCACCAGGGCACATTCAGAAGACAAAGGAAGGGGCAGAGCCCTCAGGGCCAAGGGCCTGCTCAGCCTGGGCCAGGCTGTCGCTGGCCTGGCAGTCCAGGTCAAGGCACTCCTGTAGCGTGTCCTGGAACTGCCTGCAGGCCTCCTCCAGGATTGAGCTGCTCCGGGAAGGCCAGGACTCCCAGTAACCGGGCTCTACCCAGGGCTGGGCCTCCATGGCCCTGGGGCTAGGGCTGGAGCTTGGGCGCAGGGAGCTGTCCAGGTCTCGGCAAAGCTGGTAGAGCTCACTGCCACGGCCACTCACACGCTCCCCATCGATGACTTTCAGGCCGGGCAGCAGCTCCCGGACCGAGGCCCAGTAGGAGGGGCTGGCACACAGGGGGTTGCTGAGCCGGGCCAAAGGGTCCTGGAGGCGCAGGTGCTTGAGGCCCTGCAGCCCAGCCAGGCACTGTAGCTGGCTAGGGGTGGCCAGCAGGTTGCCCGCAGCGTTGAGACTCTGCAGATTCTCACAGGCAGCCAGCGGCTCCAGCCCAGTCAGCCGATTGTTGGACACATTGAGCACTGTCAGCTGACGCAAGGAGGCCAGCGGGCCCAGCTGAGTGAGCACATTGCCTGACAGGTCCAGCCACTCGAGGCCCAGGCACTCTCCCAAGCAGCCCAGGTCTGCCAGCCCTAGGCCTTGGAGCTTCAGCAGCAGGATGGACTCCAGAGCAAACTCACCCGTGCGTGACTTCAGCATCTGGGGTGTGATGCACAGCCCATCCGCCTCTCCTGGCTTCTCGCCTGGAGGCTCCATGTAACACCAGCTGGTTGAGGTGGCCTGGGTCCTGGCAAGGCTGTCACAGGGATGTGGGTGCCCTTAGGGGTCAGCCACTGCTCTCCCCCAAAACAGGCACCTTCAGGTTATCCTCAGGCCAGTGCCGGGAGGCCTGGTTCTGGTACCCGACTGGAGGGCCTGTAGGTCCCTGAGGAGAGACAATTCACAGTCAGGTGGGCTTCTCCCAGGCACTTCTGTGGCCTGTGCAGCTGGTTGACAGCCTGATGTCTGACCCATGCCTTTACCGCCAGAGCCAACAACCAGGACACCAAGGCATGAGACATGACAAGGCTCAGGCCCTAACCTAAGGGGAGTGGCCCTGGTTGGCCCCAGTGGTGAAGGCCATGTTGCACTGCCAGTTCTATCCATCCTGAATGTCAGGTCTGGGGTGGGGCCACAAATCCATCCTTATTAACCTCACTGAGGTACTCCTCTTTAAATAGAGTTCTTTCTAAACAGACAACAGGTCACCACCACCAATGTCTTTTGCTTCCTGCCGTGGATAGTGATGTCCATGCAAACCCTTAGAGTGTACCCTGTACTTTGTTTGATTCTCTCAAAAATGTTCTCTCAGCTGGGTGTGGTGGTGCAACCTAGGAGTACTCTAGGAGGCTGAGGCAGGACGACTTAAATTTGAGCCCAGCCTGGGCAACTTAGTGACTTAGCAAGACTGTGTCTCAAAAAATGAAAAAAAGGGGCTGGGACTATAGCACAGTGTGAAAGCTGGGGTCTATCTCAAGTACTATGTCAAAAAAGAAAAGAAAACAAAAGTTCTCTCCATTTTTCTAAATTTAACGTGGTTTCCAGAGAACATCTTGGCTAGAGCCACAGAGCCTAAGCTTTTAATCTTAGATGAGGGATGAAATGGAAATTAAGGAGGGAAGGGCCAGAGAAGCCATGGTGTTACTGGGTCAGCGGGTTTCCATGCCCATGCTGCCCACTCATGCCTGCACTTTGCTCTGGCATCAACTGGTCAGAGATCAGCACATAACACTGGTAGTGGCATGTTAGATCGCTCAGAGCCACATGCATATATGATATCACTGTCCCAAGGGGCAAGCTGGGGGCAGCCAGCAGGGAGGACACTATCTGGAGGTAGGTGCAGGGGCACCTAGGCTGGCTGAGAGCTGGTGGAGGATGTGTCAGGTCCCAGTGTCTGTGCAGGGTTGCGGCATGAGGTGGCCAGCGGGGAGGGACGATAACAATGCTGCCCAGGAGGTCAAGGCTTAAGCAGAGAGAACAACAGGAGGACACCTCCGTTCCAAGGACAGCTTCCCAGCCTCGGGAGCCTAAGCCAGGTAGGTGGGTACATGCGTGCCTGTGTGTGACATTCACAGGCCCTTGGGACCACTGTCCCTGCTGCTTATGGTCTTTTGAGACAGGGTCTCACTATGTAGTGAGACTGACCTGGAACTCACTATGTAGCCCAAACTGGTCTCAAACTCACAACAATCCTCCTGCCTCAGCCTCCCGAGTGCTGGGATTACAGGCATGTGCTACCATGCCCGGCCCTCCCTGCTGTTTATGGAACCTGCAGGCACACACTGCTGGTGACTCCAGAGTCTGACTTCACACCATCAATACCACTTTTATTCCTCCTCCAAGGAAAATGACCCAGAGCCCAGTTCTTCAGTTCCACCCATCCTGCCAGCAAGGACCTTAAAGGGTCCTCATCAGTGCTCTGAATGGATTTTCTGTACAGACCTCCCACACTCCATCCCAACCCAAAGAGACAGAAACCAGTGACCACAAAGCAGGGTGTGACACAGCATCTTTTGCTTGTGACCAGAACAGCCGTCACACATGAGCACAGGGTGCCAGCAAGCACCAGGCACCAGATACCTATATCTATGCCAGAAACATCAACAAAAGATGCGTACCCAACCCACACGAGGACATGGGCAACAGGGTGGATGGATCTGGCCAGATGGATGGCAGGGGGCTTCCTTCTCAGGATGCAGAGGGGACAAGATGGGACATAAAGACATCTGAGGGGCTGTGGAAGTGATTCAGTGGCAGCGTGCTTGCTTAGTGTGCACGAGACCCTGAGTTTGATGCTCAGCATGGCACAAAAGAAGACATTCAACCCTGCAGTGCTGAGGGTAGGTGATTGCAACTGTGGCTGGACAGGAGCTCTAACTGAAGAAACTGACTTCTCAGCAGAGGTGGCAGCTAGGGTCAAGGAGGGTAGGGGCACACAGTCCAACCTCTTGGGGACAGGAGCCTTGTGAAGTCTCCCTAGGAGCACCCTGCACACATCAGAAGGGAAAGGTTAGGAGACAGGTGCACAGCGAGAGAGCTAGAACGGAGAACCCACCTGCTGCTTGGGCATACCTGGGGGACATGGATGGGCACCATGGGAGATGTGAGGCTTTCAAGGAGGGACAGTGACACTGGTAAACACCCACTGGGCCTAGCCAAGATGAAGAAGATGGGATGCTGGATGGGCAGTCACAGGCAGAGATGGAGCCAAATCAACCAGACGACTGAGGAACAAATGGCTCAAAGGACCGGGTCAGTAGCTTCAAGAGATGACACTGGATTTGCTGGGATGCAGCTCAGTGAAAGCACGCCTGCCTGGCAAGCACAAGTTCCTGAGTTCAACCCTCAATACCAGGGGAAGAAGATGGCACTGGAAAGGAGAGCACTGGGGATGGGCAGATAGGGACACAAGGGGACAGTGGCTGTGCACAACCACCACACTATGGCTGCCAGGGCAGTTTACAGAGAAAACCATGGAGCAGAGAGAGCCAACTGGGGCAGAATGTGGCCCTTCTTTACCCAAAGGGCCACCCAGACTAGGCGAGCACGCTCCAGCACTGCTCTAGCAGCATAGGCCTTCCCTGCCCTCCCTGAGCAGCTGCTACTGGGGATGGGGTGGAGGAGTGACAACAGCACTGTGTGTGGCCATGGGAAACACTGACATTCCTAGGGTCACAACATAGGTGTCCTGGGAAGGACTGAGCACCTGGGAGCAGCAGTGGGCCAGTGCAGTGAGCAGCTCTGTCCCTGCTGGGCCTGTGTGACTCAGAGCCAGCCCAACCTGCATGGAAAGGAAGCGCATCATCCTCCTGGCCTAGCTAATGAGTCTGAAAGGACTTGGTACCATCACACTCAGGGCTCCAGAGGGAGGCTGACTGTGATCAAGAAAAAACAAGCCCACCCCCACAAGCCTCAGTTTACCTTTCTAGGAAAATAAGGCCTGGGATATGAACAGGGGCAGGGCAGAACTAAGTCTAGGGGAGATGGGGGATCCTTTCCTCTGCCCCACGCCCCCATCTCAGACACTGCAGACATCATTCTGGAAAGGTCAGTCTTTGCTGTGGGTGTTGCTGGCCTCTGCCCACCAGACACCAACAGAACCACCCCTCTGCCAGCTATGAGACCTACAACTGTCTCTGGGGAAACAAAAGAATCTCTAGGCAGAAGTAAGTCCCTGGCTCTGGACCAAGCTCTATCACCCTTTCTCCCACTCCCACCTTCTCTCCCGGCCGCCAACACAGGACACAGTGAAGGACAGCAGGACCACGTCAGCCACCCACTGCAGGAAGCCATCTGGAGATTGAACCATACTACTCCAGCCACTGAAGATGACACTCACAAAGGGTTAATGAAAAGCTACAACTGTTTATTTTGCTTTTTTTTTGGTTTTTTGAGATAGGGTCTATGTAGCCCAGGATGGTCTCGAACTCAGAGCAATCCTCCTGTCTCAGCCTCCCAAGTGCTGGGATTACAGGCGCACGCCACCACGTCCGGCTTTATTTTGCTTTTTTTGTGTGTGCTGGGGATCGAACTTGGGACCTTGCACTTGTGAGGCAGATGGAAGCACCACTGAGCTAAATCCCCGTCTCCAACTGTTTATTGTTAAAATAAAGACACTGCATAAGAAATAGTTCACAAGATATGATCTCAGTGTAAAAAAGGGACTATTGCCTGTCAAAGCACTGACAGACTGTCTACGAATGACAGGAATGGGGTTCACTTTTCCTGCTCCTTTACATTTTCAGTCATTTCCCACTGTCTTGCTGAATTAGTCCCAGTGACACACAGGACTGAAAATCTAGGAGGCAATGGGAACAGGTTTTTGGGGTCACCATTCAAGTGAGATGGTTTATGAGGGCAGGAGTACGTACTCTATTTCTGACACATTGCAGGGACCAGGTACCCTCAGGCTGGCCAAGTTCTCAGCCAGCCTCAAGGCTGCACCCACATCCAGGATGAGCTGTTCCTGGAAGCGGCTGTGGACCTGCTCCAGGAAGATGAGCAGGTAGCGCAGCTGGAGCAGCACCTGGCTCGAATCCTGTGGGGTGTGCAGGGCCTGGCCTGCCTGCCTCTCCTGTCCAGTCCCAATGGTTCCCATTCCTCAGATGCTGCACTAGGTCCTACAGCTCTCAACAGTCTGTTTCAGTGAGCTCCTTACATATCCTTCCTCTCTTCCAAATATGCCTCTGCCCTAACAGTGGCCAGGGCAAGGGGAAGCAGGTGCTGCCAGGTGGAACAGACCTAGCAACCTAGGGATAAGGCTAGCATGCTGAGCTCTTTAGGCCGAGATGCTCAGTCTCACCCCTTAGGGTTCCCTGGCTACTCTGGGGTCTCCAAGACTGGTGTGTGTGCATGGATGTACACACTTCCCTCTGGAGATGACTTATTTTGCCTTGGGGTTCCTATCTTCATATATATATCTTTTTGGTGGGGGGGTACCAGGGAATCGAACTTGTGACCTTACATTTGCAAGGCATGCAGCGGAACAACTGAGCTAAATCCCCAGCCCCCCTCTTCCTTTTTGGGAAGGCTGTTTTTATTTTTATTTTTTAGGAGTATAGGGATCTAACCTAGGGTGCTTTACCACTGAGCTATAGCACCAGCCCTTTTTATAGTTCATCCTGAGATAAGGTTGTTCCCAAAGTTGCCCAGGCTGGTCTCGAACTTGTGATCCTCCTGCCTCAGCCTCCCAAGTAGCTGAGATTACAGGCATGGGTCACTGCTCTGGGCTAAGGCTGCTTCTTATCCACACGGATAAGCTTTTGCAAGGTCCTTAATATTCACTAGTATGAAATATTTTATATGACATCACAGTTTTAAAAGCCATGTAGTACAGTTCACAGCCACATAGGAAGCCAGTAAGACCTTCCTCTGTGAACTGCTGGATAGACATGGATCAACAGGCAGAACATGGCAACCTGTCAAGGACAGAGACACTGTCCCTATACTGACAGGATTCAGATGGTAAAATCTGGGATACAGCACTGTGCTCCACACTTATCTGCTGCAGGAGGCGTTCCCTGAGTAAGCTCTGTGAGCAACAGACTGCGGGCTGTACCTCCAAACTCTCAAGGCTCCTGGAACAGCCTGCACCAGCCTAGGAGTGCCCACCCTAGCACGCCAGGCAGGTTATGGGTTCTGCTCCTCCTCAGCCGGGTCACTACTAGAGAAGACAAGGGATGGTGGGGTATAGTGAGGGAAGTTCTCTAGGTTGGTCTTCAGGAAAAGCAGGTGCTCAATGGCCTCTCCTTTGAGAGGGGGCTTCTGTTCTACAATGGTGGGGCTGTCCAGGGAGGCTAAGACGCCTTCTGAGAAGGCTCCTGTGGGGGGGCAGGACAGGTAGATGGTTGCCAGCTGGGCCAGGGCTGGCCAGGAACTGCGCTTCCTCTCCCAGTAGGCCAGTGGGTCCTCCTGGGCCCCGATGGTCTCATTGTCCCGCAGGTACCTCCTGACGATGACGCTGGCCAGGTGGTTCTCTGTGGAGAGTGAGGCCCCACTGCTCTGGGATGCCAAGAGGCCTACACTCTCCAACTGCTCCAGCAGGCTCTTCTCCCCCTGCACCAGCAGAAAGGGGCTATGGTTGCTCTGCCTGCGCAGAGACTCCCTCTGGCCTTTCTGCTTGGCCCTGGCTCTCCTGGTGGTGTTTGCATGCATGCCCTTGTGCCTTGCACTAGAGGAGGGCAAATATTCAGTCACCATGATCTCCTTCACCTTGTACACCAGGACTTGCTTCCAGTGGTCGATGTCAGCCCCCTCAGGCAGGATGGCCTCGACCTTGCCCTTGAAGCGTGGGTCCAGCAGGGTGGCCAACACAAACTCCTCACGGTGGAAGAGCTCATTGAGCTGGCGGTCTGTGGAGAGCTGCAGGGCCAACCCCTCAGCCAGCCTCAAGGCTGCACCCACATCCCCGATGCTCTGCTCCTGGAAGTGCCTGTGGACCTGCTCCAGGAAGATGTGCAGGTAGCGCAGCTGGGGCAGCACCTGGCTCAGAGAAGCCTGGGCCATGCTGGCCTCACGGACTGCCATCTGGAAGGGCTGCAAGAGCTTGACCAGACTGTCTGCCAGGCTCCAGAACACGGCGGACAGGGCAGTGCCGGCCTTGCCTGGCTGCTGGCTCTCAGCATATGCCTGTAGGGCAGGCTGCTGCTCCACCAGCCACTCCATCAAGCGGTAGGCTGAGCCCCAATCATCTGAGAGCTCCTCGAAAGGCTGCTGGGTTGGGAGGCCACACTGTTGCTGCACCTGGCCAAGAAGGCTCCGGGCCTCTGCAGAGCCTTGGAAATGGCTGCAGATGGCCCTGGCGGTGCTCAGGATGATCTGCACACTATGGTGGTGACACAGAAAGTTGCTCACCAGGGAGTCAAGGCAGTGGGCGAAACAAGGGATGTGGGTGTAACCCTCAGCCCTCACTGCCCATTCCAGGCTGGGGCAGCCACCTGACACCAGAAAACCAGACCGCAGGGAGCCACGGCCCAGCCACAGGCTGATCTGCTCCAGCAGCTCGGGATGTCCATCCTCAGCGGCTCTCTCCAGGGGCAGGCCCCGGACCCAGAGCACTGCACGCTTTCGTGGGCTCATTGGTGTTGCAGGTTTGCTGGCCACCCAGTGGGCAGTGATGGCCATGTAGTTTACCATGGAGTCCTGGGCTGACACAGAGGTGGTGAGGTGGACATGGCCACTCTCAGCCCACTGCATCTCCTGAAGCACCTGGTCACCCATGGCCTCGTGCAGCAGGGGCAAGGCTTTGTCGGAGAAGAAGGCCGGGGAGGGCAGGCAGTAGCAAGGGTCCACCTGGGCCATGAACCTCCTGAACGGCGGTGAGGACACGAAGGAGAGTGGCAAGACCAGGCCACAGAGAAGCTCTGCAATCCTGTGATTCCAGGCTTGACCCTGAGGCCAGCTGGGGTCATGTGTGTCACTTGGGCTGTCTTTGACTGCCCCAGAATTGGGCAGGGGTGGCAAGGCCAGGAGCAGTTGCTCAGGTCTGTCCAGAGTTGGCTCCTTGCTGCTGTTCTCCAAGGGCACAGCATCTAGGGGGTCTCTGGGCTCCCCAAGACTGAGTGTACCAGGGGGCAAAGCCTTGTCCTGTGCCTGCTCTGCCCCTGCTGGCCGCTGGCCTGGGCTGCTTGGGCCTGGCCTTCTCTCCCACTCCATGCTGTGCTTATTGGTCAGATGCCGGATGAGGCCTGAGCCTCGGGACTGCCCGTTGGCTTTGTCCCGCCTGACACTTGCACCACACAGGTTGCAGGTGACACGGTAGGTATTCTTGAAGCCTCCAGTAAAGAAATGTCTGACATCTGGTAGAGCCTGCAGAGGGCTCAGCGAATGTGGGGCAGAATTTAAGCCCCGGGTCTCTACTTTTGTATCTCTAACCAATTGATTCAAGGAGGGGGCCTCCTGGAGGCTTGGCTGGGGCCCTGACTTCTCCAGCACGCCACAAAGCAAATGCTTTTTCTTCCGTTTCTTAGGGTACCGCAGCTCTCTGGCCAGATTAGCTGGGAGAATGTCAGCCTGCCTCACAGCCTCATCCTCCTTGGCCTGGCTCGCCTCCAACCTGTTAGGACTGGTGTTCTGGGGTTGTTGGGGGAGAGGATGAACCACAGCTGGGGCACAGCCAGTGCTGAGCGGCAGGGACCTTGCTTTCTTTCTTGTCTTCATCCCTTCCTCTTTCGATCCACGTGCCTTCTGCCTGGATACTTTCCTCTTCTCAAGCCTCACGGAAGGCTCTGACCCAGGGACAGGCTGGAGGTTGCAGGCCCCAGAGGGCCCCTTTAGCTTACTTCTCTCAGGGCTGGCCCAGCACTTGGCATGGGACGCAGAGGGCTGAAGATCAGGCCCTCCCAGAGAGTGGGTTTTTCTCTTTCCCTTGCAGGCAGGGAGGCCAAGGGCACCTTCTACCTGCTTCTCCAGGTGAACTTGGTCCAGGCCAGGTGCAGAGACTGTTGTGCCACCAGGCAGGGGGCACAGGCTGCTCTTCCGCTGGGACAAGTCTCTTTCCCGCTTCTTTGCAGGGCTGGAGAGTCTGGCTTTCCTTCTACTGGCCTTGTTCTCTCTGTCAGCCAAATCAAGTTTGACCTCAGTCTCTGGCAGGCCTTCCCTGGCAGCCTCAAGCTTACCAGAGGTGTTGGTGGCTCTGGTACACAAATCAGGGCTGGGACAGGCCAGGGTGGTGGCTGGGCTCTTAGGTCTTGTCATAGGGGTGCTGGCACTCACGCAAGGCTCTTGTCCTACTGGTCCTGAGGGTTTCTGTCTCTTGGAGGGCTTTTTGATTTTTTCCATTTCCAATATGCTTGGAAGCTTGGGGCAATGAGAAGATGGGTGGAGGCTGGAAGGCAAGATGAAAAGCACGGCTCTCAGCAGCCTCACTGAACTCTGGGGGACACTTTGGGGAAGAGGAGGCCCAGACTGGAGAGGCCAGAGAGAGGCCGGAGAGAAGGTAAGGTACAACACGACAGTGTGAATTCAGCCCAGGATGAGACTTCCCTGCCACGGCCTCCTTGGGGGAAGTGTGACTTACACTATTTTGGAGGGTACACATCCCATAACTGGGCCCCCACAACCTTCACTAGTAGTTTCTGGATCCATTTTCTGACTTACTTTCCCCTTTTCCTTTTGGGGGGTCTCAGAATGTGGGAGGCACTTGGTGACTTTTCTATGTGTTGTGGATACACAGGAAGGTAGGCAAGGGCCCTGAGTTCACTGACAACATGCAGAGCTAGAGCCATACTGAAGAAGACTGGGAGACCACTCGGCACTGTGAGACCCCAGGAGGGGCCTGGTCTCACATGAAGTCCCCTAGAGGTTTCACTGAGGAGAGGCCAGTGCTGGCTACTAAGTTCTGGCCAGGAGGGAGAGAGGCTCCTGATCCGTGTCGCTAGCACTCGGGCTCACCTGGCCTACAGGGCACAGTGAAGGTGCCATGGAGCTCAGATGTTGTTAAGTGAAGCAGCCTATAGTGTCCTGAGACAGTCTTTGCTTAGCTCCTCTGAACCACCCCCATGGATGTCAGCCTCCTGCAAAGGGCACAGGCGGGACAGGGCCCGTGCCCTCTCAGGCTTTTCTGCCACAGACTCCCAGAGGACTTATAGTAGCCTCCCACTCCTCTATGGCTTTTGCAAGGCCCCAGTGACTGCCTTACCACTAACTCAATGGGCTCTGTTGCTGCACCCACAGCCCTATCTTGCTTCTTCCCTTTGGAATGCCCCCGCCCTGAACACTGCTACTTGTCCTTCTCAGACTCTTTTCTGGTACCCTTGTCCCCCAGGGGTCCCTTCAGGCTGCTCCAGGGCCTTCTGCTCTTTCCTAAACTCCCCACCCCTGCTCTTCCTTCCAACCCCATGCTGGTAAATGGACCGCCCGGCCCCTCAGATGCTCACGCCTGCCCTATCCATTATCCTTCCCCTCATCCATTTCCCTGGACCTTACGTCAAGTTCAAGGATATGAATAGACCAGACTTGACGAGTTCAAAAGAGACACAAGAAGAGGGAAGAAAGAAAACAACAGGGCAGGATGAGCCTGGTAAGCTAGGGTATTTCCCAGGGACAGAAGAATTGGAGGAAGATGTAATCCTCCTATCATGAATATCTGAAATCTGGCCAGCTGCATCCCTTCAGACCAGGGGAAGATGAGATTAAAGAAAATTAAGATAAAAAAATCTGTGCATTCGGACACCAAGTGAATCACATCCAACATTACAGAACATGGATGATAGCAGAGCTGCCTCTAACCCATGGCAAGCCAGCTGAGGTGGCTCCAACTCTACTACTGAGGAACTCCTTCTGGTGGGCTGAATCTCAGAACTCAGCCAGTCCCCAGGGACTCAGAGGAGTAAAGGCCCACATGAGATGCCTGTGAAACTCAAGATACTGCCCTGGGCCCAGGAGAACCACTCCCAATGTCACACGGAGGAGATCTTAGCTCTTAGTTTATGACAGAAGAGACTGCAATCCCAGCTGTCCATTCATGGTTCCAGGAGCAGCTTGCAATGAGGGCACAGAACAGGGCATTAAAATCAGGCCATGGCAGAGAACATAGTACCAAAGAAAGTAAAGAAAAGGTACCAGGTGGTGTGGCATAGGCCTGTAATCTCAGCAGTCTGGTAGGCTGAGGCAGGAGGATCACAAGTTTGAGCCCAGCCTGGGCAATTTAGTGACATAGCAAGAACCTCTCACAAAATTAAAAAAAGAAAAAAGTCTGGGGCAGTTAGGGATGTACCTCAGTGTGAAGGTTATGGGTTTAAGTCTCAGTACCAGGGGTGGGATGGAAGAAAGGAAAAAAAAATATTAAAGGGGAAAACCTGTCTGTCAGAGCTGTGGCTAGGAAAAATACAACTTTCATCCAAAGACCTACTAGCCACCAAGGGCACCAGTCCTGTTCTGTTTCCCATTATCTTTGTCCCCCAGGATTCCATATTCTGCGAATACTCTGGATATACCTTAACTGTTCACCAAAAAATCCCCCAAATACCTATGATGAGACAGCACTGCACCTACAAGACACAGAATTGGAAGCCGGGCGTGGTGGCACATGCCTGTAATCCCAGCACTCGGGAGGCTGAGGCAGGAGGGTCACTGTGAGTTCGAGACCAGCCTGGGCCACACAGTGAGTTCCAGGTCAGTCTCAACTATATAGTGCGACCCTGTCTCAAAAAACAAAAACAAAACAAAACAAAACAAGACACAGAATTGGAGATGAACTGCCTGGAATGTGTCCAGGGATCTTGGCAAGAAAACCCAGAAATAGGCTCATAGCAGAGCACAGGAAAATGGGGTGCAGCACTAGGAAGCAGGGACAGTGAAGAGCTTGGATTTTTCCCTTTAAGGGGTGGTTTACCTTGGGCCACAGCTTCAGGGTCTTTAATCCTCAATAGCCCCAATAGATGGATCCAGGATCTCAGGCAACTGGCATGTTAATGTCACCTGGTTCTCTTCCACTGGAGTACATCAGGGTAGCAGCGAGGCAGATGCTGGTGACAGCCAACCTTGAATAAATAATTATTAAAATGTAACATGCATGTGCGTGTGTTGCTGGGGGGACTGAACCCAGGATTTTTTCTTTTTTTTTTGTACCAGGGATCAAACTCAGGCCTTTGTGCTTGCAAGGCAGGCAGTGGAACCACTGAACAAAATCCCTGGCCGTGAACCCAGAATTTTGACATGCTAGGCAAGTACTCTATACAGAGATAAATCTCAGACTCTAAAGAAAAACATCCCCAAACCACAGTACTTTGATTATGAGTATGAAGGGACCTGTGACATCACATGGGAGGATTACAGTCACAAGACAGGACTGAGTTTCTAGACCAAGGAGCATTGGGGCTGCAGCCTGAGGTCACATGGGCCACAAGTGAGGGGAGCCCAGGGCAGGTGGGTGGGGTCATCTGGAGATGTGTTCAGAGGCAGCTCATGGTGAGGGCCTGATGGCGAGCCACACAGAGACTGAGTGAGAGGTTCTTTTGGAACAAATCATCAGGTACCTTTGTGTGGAAATGGGCACAACACCAGGAGCAGAGAGGGTGGCCGCCCAGGTAAGGCTGATGACAGGGAGAGAGAAAAGGAGGGGGCAGACCTCAGAGATGGCTGAGTAGCAAAGGCGGGAGACTCAGAGAAATCTAAGTGATGGAAGGTAAAGCAAGGGAGACTTTTCCAGAAAGGAGCAGTTGATAGGCAAATTTTGAACCAGTGGACGAAGAAGACAAGGTCTGTCTGGGCAGGGCAGTGAGGTGTGACAAGCAGGAATCCTGGGTGACTGGTCTAGGACCCCCAAGACACCAGACTCCATGGGTACTCAAATCCCTTATGTACAATGGCACAGCGTTTGTGCATAACCTACACACACCCTCTGCATACTTTAAATAATTTCTAGGTTTCCTGCAACACAAACACTACAGAAATAGTTGTTATTCTCATCATTTAGGGAATAAAGACAAGAAAAAAACCTGGATATGTTGGGAGAAGTTGCCAATTTTTGTTTTCCTGAACATTCTTGTGCCCATGGACTGCGGTACTTGAAGGTGCAGACCCTAAGGAGGTCTGCCTACTGTGGAAGGCCAGCCGCACTTGGAACTTTGGGGTGGAGATGGAGGGGAAGGTTTGGGGTGTCTCCAGCAGATCAGGCCCGATGGGAAGAAAGGCTAAATACAGAGGAAAAAGCTGAAATCCATAGCAGGAGATTGCTGAGGGAAGGGTCCTGGCTAGACTGGCCTTAAGAGTTTGGAAGAAATAATTTTTTCTGACAGGGAAGGAAGAAGGATGTACCGTATGGTGGCAGGGATATATGGATCTCATTCAGGGTGGGGAAGAAACCAAGGCAGCCCAGGAGCCTACCTGTTGGCAGGGAAAAGTCAGCAATGGTAAAGGAAGCAGCCTTGGGCAGAGTGACCAGCAAGTGGAGGGAGGAGGCACCTCAGCACTTACCTTGACTCAATGAATTAAGACTTTCTCCTGCCTGCTCTCACCAGTCTTTTCCAAGAGCAAGAGCTTTCCAAGAGCAAGAGCAGCTATTTTGCAGGCCTTTTTCAGTTCTTTTTTTTTTTTTTGGTACTGGGGATGAACCCAAGGCCCTTGCACTGAGCTTTAAAAAAAAATTTTGGGGGGTACAGGGGATTGAACTTAGGTCCTTGTGCTTGTGAGGCAGGCGGCGGCACCACTGAACTAAATCCCTAGCCGGAGCTTTTAAAATTTTGAGACAGGTCTCACTAACTTGCCCAGGCTGAGCTCAAACTTGAGACCCTCCTGCCTCAGCAGATGCCACCACACTCTCAGTTTTTATTCTCAGGCCCAAAGACATCACCCCCTCTTCTCTCACCCAGAGGATGGAGGAGGGAGGAGTGTCTGTTCTTCCCCCCAGCCTCTCAACACCAAAATTGAACCCTGGAGCTGGGCGTGGTAGCACACACCTATAATCCCAGCACTCGGGAGGTTGAGGTAGGAGGATCACTGTGAGTTTGAGACCAGCCTGGACTACATACTGAGTTCCAGGTCAGTCTCAACTATAGTGAGATCCTGTCTCAAAAAAGAAAAGAAAAGAAAACAAAACAAAACAAATCGAACCCTGGGCTTTCTCAAGGAGCTGTATGCATCTCCAGTCCTTTTTACTTTTCCATTTTGAGACAGGGTCTCAGGAAGTCACTAAGTTGCCCAAACCGTGCTCAACTGGGCTCTTTCTGCCTCAGCAGGGATTACAGAAATGGGCCATCACAACTGGTTCACGAAGGGGATTTTAAAGCACACGCTGGGCCCTCAAACCTTGGATTTGTCCTCAATCCCAACTGTAAGGAGGTGGAAAGGTGATGTAAAAAAAGGACAGTAAAGAGTAAAACGAGGAAGAAAAATAATAGGCCCAAACACTACGTTTCTGAGTTTTGTCTCACATGTAAATTTGGCTATTTACAAAAAACGGAAGGGGAGCGGAAAGTGGTGGCAAACACCTGTGATCTCAGCAATCCGGGAGGCTGAGACTGTAAGACTATAAGCTAGAGCCCAGACTGGGAAATTCGGCAATTTAGGAGATCTAATCTCCAAAACAAAGGGGTCAGAGATGTAGCTCAATGCTCAGGCCGTGGTTCAGTTCCCGGGGACCTAAATGGAGGTGTTTGAAGTGAGCATCGTAAGATCCCACGTTATACATCAGTGGCATAAAAGGAGATCTCGCTAACAAGGCGCTGTGCTTTCACCGGAGGTCTGGGCCCATCAAACTCGGAGTGAGTGTGTGGTCGAGCTGGTCTACGCGGGCTGCAATCCTGTCTCTGCTACCTACCGCGGCGACCATATGCTGTGTGCGCGGGGACAATGGCAGGGCCACCTCACAGGCCTATCGCGGCTGGGGGAGAGGGGGCTCCGTCTGCAGCAGACTCGAGGCCGTTCCTGGGGCGAGGGCAGTGCTGGCGGACCCGGGGATTTCATTAGGGTGGGAGGGCAGGCTGGCGACAAGGGCACCACCGTGGGTGGCGTGGGTCCAGCAGCCCATGAGTGCAAAGTGGGGGCCACCTCGCCCCTCCTCGGCTCACCTTAGGACAGGTGCGGGCCAGGACCTCACACGCGTTCTCCCTCCCAGGCAGCCGCGCGGACCAGGCCAACAGGCTAGCAGTGGGAGGGGCCGCTTCCGGAAGTGGCGGTGTGCGGGAGGCGGGGGCGTCTCCGCTTGTCCCAGTCAGCCGTTGATGCTACAGGCCTGCGGCAGTGCGCAGGCGCGGGGAGCCGCCGCCGGAAGTGGAAATGCCGCTTGAAAGGCCTACTTCCGGTTGCTCTGTGCTGAGACGTGCTGGGTGGTCGAAGTTGGTTTTCTTTGTTTTTGTTTTGCAGTACTAGGATTTGAACCCAGCCCATTCGCACTGGGCTACATCCCATCTCCTATTTTTTATTTACAGACAGAGTCAGGCAAAGTTGCTAGATTCCCAGTCTGGGCTCGAACTTGTTATCCTCCTCTCTCAGCTTCCGGGAGTGCTGGGATAACCGGCTAGGGTGCAGTTTTTCCTTCACGCCTTCCTCGGAGGTTTGGCTGTTTGCATATCTCTCCAAGCTCCTGGCCCGGCCGTCCTTCAACCAGGCTACTGCAACAGGAGTATGCATACACTTTACTAATTATTTGCTGGTTTAAAATCTCACTTGATCCTCTATTCTTACTGATGGGCTACCTGGTGCTGGGATTGGTTCTCACTCTGATGCCCAGCATTCCTGAAAGCTTGGGTACCCCTTTCTCCCTGTGGTGCCCCACAGGGAAGACCAAATGAAAGGCTGATGGCACGGCTCAGGAGCCCAGCATCTTCCAGGGTTTATCAAGCCTCCTTTGCAGGGCTCGGGTGATGACTGAGTTTGGAAATCACTGAGGATCCAGGCCCTAGAGCAGCGGTTCCGAAGGCATATGTTTGACTTCCACAGGAGAGTTTCAAGATGGCTGGAGACACTTGGGTCTGTGACAATTGCAAGGGGAGGGACTATGCTGACATCTGGTGGGTACAGGTGAGGGATGCTGTTAAACATCTGAGTACACAGGACAGCTCCTTCTGGCCTCTCCAGACCCAGAGGATTGATCATTCAGCCCACACTGTCACCTTGTCCCCAGGGCCTCAGCACCAGAGCCCTTGCCAGCTGGTTTTAAATGCACCTGTGAGACTAACAAGGTAGAGTGTGGTATGGGACCCAGGGTTGAGCATTAGTAACACCTCTGCAGCCCAAGTGCGGAGTGTGACTCCCAAGCTGACCCCAGCAGCTCTGTTGCCTGTTTGTCAAGGACTTGCCCAAAGGGGAGTCTTGCTCCAGACCCGGAGGTACTGGCCCAGTAGATACTATCTGAAAACACACACACACACACACACGCACACACACACGCACGCACAGTCTATAAATGGCTAAGTGGTGCTATTTAATATTACTACCTCACCTTTTTTGTGGTGAGAACCATTAAAATCTACTTGATAATATGTTAGTATTCACCACGTTTTAACTGCAGTCAACATGTTGTTCCTCTTGTCTTAACTGGAGTGTTGTATCTGTTGACCAACATCTGTCTCCCCGGTGAGTGAGTCTTAGTTTGTTAACCAGAATGTGGCTGAGTTCACCCAGGACTTCAGCTGATGGCCCTTGCTATTCTGTGTTACAAGCCAAGCAAACCTGGTGGCTACCTTCAGACTTTGTTCCTGGAAACCATGAAGTCTAGTAAACAGGAAGTGGTTTTTGGCACACAGGGAGATTACTAGGGGAGGGGGCCACTGCCCAGCTCTTCATATTGCCACAATCATTAATTATCCTGTTTCTCTGCAAAGCAACAAAAAGTACCCAAGGACCTCTCTGCAGGGCTCCCTGGAGAGAGGGACCGTACCTGCCTCTCTCGTGGGAATCTGGGGGGATGGGCATCCCTCATCAATCAGTGTACCAGATCTCTCTGGGATGCCATTGCAGGAAAAATTCACAGGCAACTATTGGGGAGGCCTGGAACCAGAACACAGGTTGCAGGGTATTTCCAACTATTTGTCTTCCAGTTTCCCAAGCAGTGCCTGGCACCTAGCAATTGCTCAGTCCATGGTAGCTATTGGTGTTCTTACGAAATAGCCTTGGAGTATGCTTTATGCTGGAAACGATACTGTCAGAAGTACTGGTGCTCTTGGCTCAAAGCCATTGCTCTCAGACTAGGGTCTCTAACTTCAGCCCAGTACCCACGCCCAGGGTGATGTAAATTGGACTCTGGAAGTTTTTGCCCTCTCTGCAGGTGCTGCCCTTTGCTGGCCACACAGTGTACAGCCTAACTTACCTTGGCTACCTGGAGTTTTCTCAAGTGGGCTTTATCCAAGACCCAGTGGTCATCATGGCTGCTTCCTACTCTTATCACTTGGTATGGCTCAAGGGTACCTACTCTAGGCCACTGCCCATTTGTGGAGATTTAGGTGTCTTTATCTAGGACCTGGAAGACTTCCTCTGAAATGGCCTCATCTGGAGCATGGGGTATTTTCTCCCAGTCTCAGAGGGGATAGAATCCTGTGTTTATGCTCATCACCCTTTGGTTATTTTGTGCTTCCTGATCTGACCCGAACCTCTCATCACTCACTTCTCTGCTGTCACCTTGATTCTCCCTGGCAACGTCAGCTCATTGTCAGTAGTTATCAAATAAGATTGTTTTTGTAGCTTTAACTGTACCCAGCTTTTTCTATCCTTGACAAAACCTGCTGGCCCTGCACAGTCCTGCTGGGAAAGGCTAGGACGGAAGTCAGTCCTCCCCAAGGGAGTGGGGCAGTCCAGGCCAGAGTGCAGTAGACAGAGCTCAGCCTTCTGCCCTCCTTGACTGGCTATGCTGATGTCTGTGACACATAGGGGACCTTGAACATAGAGGCACCTTGGTACTCAGTGCTTGTCATTGGAGGGGAGATGCAACCCAAACAAACTGGATTGGCTGGACAGGCAATTGACTCTGACAAATTCTATCTTGTGCATGGAGTACCAAGCAAACTATAAGATGGGACGAAATTTCCCTATCAAAATGCTTCCAGTACCAAATTGGAGTTTGAAAGCAGTGAGTACCAAGGTCTGACTGTGCTTTAGTGTGTGGGACAAGAAGGCTAAGCCCTAGTTTGTTTCCTGATCTGCTTTCTTGAATAGCCCAGTCTGGACACCTCAGAAAGCAAGTGCTGCAGGTCCTCACCTCTCTCCCCACAACGCCCTGTGTGGGTCTCCAGGACCTGTGAACAGTGTCTCTTTATTTCCATCTCTGTCTCATCACTGAAGGACACCGCTACCTTAAAGGCTCTAACAGGGCCAGCCCTCAGTCCAGAGGTGCCCAGGGAGCAGGAAGTAGATCTGCTGGACTCCACCTCTGAGGAATGAGGCTGCTGCCCAGGTTTCCATGAGGATCAAGCATCACACACATCCTGGAAGTGTCAAGACACTCCAACGGTGCAATACAAGCTAAGAATCCAGAGAACAGGAACTGGGGTGGGGGAAGAAGCCCCTGTGATGAATTTGCCTGTTCCCAACATCCAGACTTGAGGTAGTGGGCACACAGCACTTCAAAAGCCTTTTATGAGCCAGGCATGGTGGCACATGCCTGTGATCCGAGCACTCTGGGCAGTAGAGGCAGGAGGACCACAACCTCAAGCCCAGCCTGGGCAACTTAGTGAGACCCTATCTCAACATTTTAAAAAGGGTGTGGGGGATGTAGATCAGTGTGAGACCCTGGATTCAATCAGTAGTACTACAAAAACTGAAACCCAAATGCTTTGTGGATCCCCCATTGCCCTTTGGATCAACAAAAGCCCCTCAACCAGCTCAAGGACCTCAGCCCGTTGGTTCAGCTTCATCTCTACTGAGTTCTACTCATGCTACTCCACACAGGAAGTTGGGCAGGCAGGTGCCAGTCCTCACAGCTCAACAATGAAGTCACTGTAGATATGGGACTTGCTTTATTGCACAAGCTGGGAGCCACCTCTCCATCATCTGGGACACGGGAGGGGTCCTTCAGGTTCTGCTTAACAACCTAGTTCTCTTCCTGGGCCTGGTTTGGGCCAAATCTGGGACAGTCAGGCCCAGGTCTCAGGAAGTTGTGGTCCTCTGTTCTATCTCCCACACATGTATCTCCAAGGACATCAGCTGCCAGTGCCCTTTCCTGTCCCTGATCTATCCAATGAAGAACTGGCAGCCAGCAGACTCAGCAGAGGCCAGTGTTTGCCCACCAAACTGTAATCTTGCATCACTTTTATTAGATATGAATTGGTTTTTCCGTCATGCTCGATACCTCCATCTCGCAGGAAGGCTGCAGAGGTGAGGGGAGGAAGGGGTTTGGGGAGCTGTGTCCATGTAGGGCCCCAAGCTAAGTGGCTGGCAGACCAGAGCTAAGGAATCTGGGTGAGATATATCAGAATCTACTGCTGCTCGAAAAACAAGTGAAAGGGCACTAAATAAATAATAATGAGTGAGGCTAGGGACCAGGCAAGGTGGGTGAGCTCTGTCCTCACAGCTCTGGGCACTAGAGTTTCTGTTCCTGCTCTGTCTCCTGGAAGAGCTCTAGGTTCCCCTGGTCTGACCGTGTATGACCTGAACTTCTGTCTCTCATTGTCCCCAGCACAGTGCCAGGTGCCCTGGGAGGGGGGACCCAGCACTCCAGTACCACTCAAACTGTCACCTGCTTCTTGTCCCCCCCAGCTCCGGTCACTTGGATGCTGCTGTGGGGAGTTTTGGGGTCTGCACCACCACAGCATGGTGAGGAATACAGGTTTCCCAAGGAGGCAGGATAGGAACAGTCACACTCAGTTCAACAGGGCCCAGGGAGGGGACAAAGCCATAGAGCCCCTCTAGGGATGGAAGGAACACAGGACAGAACATTCTGAGGAGACACAACTGCCCCAGAAAGTCATCAAGGGACCTCATAGCTACAAAGATCACTCAACATCTAGGATTCGGTCTTAGCCCGAAGTACTCTGTTGATTTTTAGTGTGTGACTGTTTCTCTACTAACACATTTTTCAGAAATTTCACATCTAACCTGACAGCACTGGGCACCTTACAGCTGATGGGGGACAGACCCTAACCTGGACCAAAGACACTGTCCTCACCTGTGCCCCACCTGTCAGAGGTGGAGCCCACCTGGGCCAGCTGCTCCCAGGACCTGCTGGGGAGGGAAGGAGAGGAGACCCCAGAGATACCCTGGCTCCAGCCTGGCTCTGGGCTTCCAGACCCCTGACTGGCTGGGAAGATGGGGTGTCCTAGAACCCACTGAACCCTGGGTGTGCGGATCCTGAGGTGCTAACACAGGGGAGGGCAAAGGGACCAGGACAGCCGTGGGGAAGGTAGGATGAAGATCACTAGGGACGTCAAGCCAGGGTCATCCAGAACACTGGGATACCTGAAAAGCACATGACATTAAAGTCACCATCTTGTTACAAGGACCCCCTGAGCCCCTCTCTGGAAACCCATCTCAGCCCTGCCCCAGTCACTCAACATACCCTCATCATCCTTGTTTTTTGTTTTGTTTGTTTTTTGGGACAGGGTCTCGCTACGTAGTTGAGACTGACCTGGAACTCACTATGTAGCCCAGGCTGGTCTTGACCTCACAGTGATCCTCCTGCCTCAGCCTCCCGAGTGCTGGGATTACAGGCGTGCACCACCACACTCAGCCTGCCCTTCTGTTGAGGCTGGTGTCACCTGGGACATATTCAGTCTCCCCTGCCACCCCATGGCTTACCAATCCCACAGCCACATGTGTGTGTGACATCCCTCTGGAAGAAGCCCTGTGTGGGCACAAAATGGCCCTGGTGACTAGCACAGCACAGGCAGAGAGTCACAGGTCAGCCTTTTTTTTGCTTTGCTAAATACCTGAATCTAACTGAGAACTGTCCCATAGCCCCGCCTTCCCTTCCTCCTCACCTGCTGTCCCCCTGGTACCTTGAGGCCACACGCAGGGGTGTCTCTTGGTCACTCCCACAGGAAGCGCACATACCAGATGGTCTCGTTCTTCAGCTGGGGCCCGAACAGGGGGTTCATCTGGGCCAGAATGGCAATAAGCCAGCTGCCAGGGACAGGAGTGTAAGGGGGGATGGGCACAGAAGGGACCCACACCCATGCCATGCCAACGGAGGCCTTGGTCTCTTTTCTGCTCACCAGGGACCATCAGCTAAACTACAGGTGGCAGGGCCCATGTCCTTGACATATGCTGCACCTGAGCCACACCCTTAGCCCCAGACTGACTTTCTTTCTTTCTCTTTAGTTCGATCGTTCTTCCTTCCTTCCTGTCCCTCTTCCTTCCTCTTTCTTTCTTTCTTCCCTCCCTCTTTTTTTTTTTTTGGTACTGGGATTGAATTCGGGACCTTGCACTTGCAAGGCAGGTGCAGTGCCACTGAGCTAAATCCCTGGCCCTTTTCTTTCTTTTGTAGTATTGGGGATTGAACCCCACAGCCTTTGCATTACATCTCTAGCACTTTTAAAATTGTTTTACTTTGAGACAGTCTTGGTAGGTTGCTAAGTTGCCCAAGCTTACAATCCTCCTGCCTCAGCACCCCAGAATGCTGAGATTACAGGCCTATGCCACCAAATCTGGTTTCTTTTAAAAGAATCTGCTACTTTTTTAAAAGAATCAGCATCTTGTCACTTCATCTGTCTGTCTGGGTTGTTCTGAATTAAGAGTACCCAAATATGCCCATAAAATAATGTGTGAGAGGAAATCCTGTAGTCTTCATGTGGTTTGACTGGTAATAAGAAAGTGCATCCCCAAAACTTGAACTTGAACTTTTCCCTTGGTTTGGCAGCCAGGGCGATTTCAACCAGAAAAAAATGTAACTGCAGGACTGGGCTAGATGGAGGGGGTATCCTTCTTTTTTTTTTAAAGGAACAGCATGGACACTGAGAACTGGGAACTGAGTCCCCTTGAATTGTGACTTAGAATGTTTTTTCTGTATTCTCAGAGTAACCTTCCCAAGCATGATGAGTGTTTTTGTAGTCTAGTGGTTCTAAACTAGCTACATTTGATAGAGATGCTCATCAAAACAGACTCCTGCCAGGCATAGTGCCCCACACTGCAATCCCTGCACTCTGAGAGCTTGAGGCAGGAAGATCACAAGTTCAAGCTAGCCCAGAAAGAAAGAAAGGGAAAGAAAGAAAACTAACAAGGGCTGGGATGTAGCTCAATGCAAAGGCCCTGGGTTCATGTCTCAGTACTGAAAACAAAATAAAAAGAGATTCCCAAGTGTAAGCCTGAGAGCCAGGATCTGCTGAGTCTAGAGTGAAGCCCAAAAGCTAGAGCTGAACAATCTATCCAGGCGTTTCTGATGCCCATTCAGGTTCACTGGGCAACTCATTCATCTCAGGGGTAGGATACTCAGCCCCGTGTTGTTACAAAGCTTGTGTAGCAGACAGATGGGCAGCACAGTCAGAGTCAGAAGGGTGGATAAAGGACAAAGTTGGCAAGGGTGGTACTCACAAGAGGTAACAGCACACAGCAGTGGCTACCAGCATGGTGATGATCACCCTGCAACAGAAGAGGGCACAGGTCAGGTTGGGTGACAGCACTCTCAGATGGCCTGGCCAGGCTGAAGAAACAGCTCTCAGCATCAGCTGTTCCACAGGCCCTTCTGATGCTCCCTGGACACAGGGTGAGAACTGCCACCCGGAAAACAGAAGCTCTCAGTGTCCCCTCCGGTGGAGGCCTGCCCTGCCCACAGAAGTGACAGTGCCAATCCTGCCTTTATCTCCCTTCTCTACCACCCAACATTTCTTCAACTTATTGCAGACCTGCTGGGGAAAGGTACCACTCCGATGTGGCATGACACTGTGAAGTGGCCTGGGGGATTCAAAGTTCATTGAACGACAAGGAAAACAACAGCCAAGAAGACAGGGCAAGAAGCAAGGATACTGTGAGCCATTTCTGAGGCTGGGTTGTTATAGGAGAACAGCATCTGAAGATGTAAGCTTAAAACACAGCAGGAGGGCCATCAAGAACTCTAGGAGAGTTGCCAGGGAATTGACGCTAAAATGTTTTACAAAGTGGAGCTGTGAGACCCATCAGCCCTGCAGATTTTTAAAAACAAAGGCAACAGACATCTCTCCAAGCAGCTCCAAGCTGAAGCTCGCACGAATCCACAGCAGGGCCTGCAACCTCTGATTAAAGCTCTTCAAGTTTCTGCTGAAGACTTGTTCCCTCTTTCAACATTACTCAGGACTTAGGCCAGTCCTGGCTGAGCACTTGTGGACAAAGGGAGAACATTTTATAACCGAGGATATGACGAAGCAGTGACTAGTGCATGTACAGAAATCTGCTAGGGAACCTTCCAAAAATAATGCCCGCTGAAAATGATCCGGCGCATAAAATGTGCCGCGCACTGGCGAATGTTTTAAGTGCATTATTGAGTAATCCCCACCCAGCCTTATGAGGCAGGCGTTAGCATCATGCCCATTTACTACGGAGAAACTGAGGCTCAAGGGCACACAGCTGGCAAGGCAGGGAGACACTGCACCGGAGCCCACCCCTCCCGGCTGCAGGAGACGACGCCTGGCTATCTCCATGTCGCCTGCTCCTTGTCTAGGCGTCTGTCTGCCCTTTTGCCCCGGACTACGGTCTGAACGCGGCCCAGGAGCAGAGACTCGGCGAAGGCGACCCGGAGAGGCGCCTCAGGACTGGTGCTGGCGGCAGGTCAGGATGCCGCCCCCCGGGGTGAAGAGGTGGCCCGGGACAGGGGAGAAGGGAAGAGGGGAGCCAGGGCCTGTGCGCCTTCCTTACCCGCGGTTAGGTCCCTTCGGCACGAACCAGGGCCCGGCGATGCCGATGAGGCCCCAGAACGTGGTGAAGATGATGACTGGGAGGGCAAAGGAGTGTGCCGTCATGGCCGGGGCGGGGATGACCAGAGGGATGCAGGCGAGAGAAGCAGGTGCGGCAGACTCAAGTCCCGGACCCTGCAAGGGGCAGAGAACATGCGCACTGGGACCACAGAGCCGGGAAGCTCGGCCAGGCCGATCTGCGCACGCGCATGTCCGGCTCCAGACTGGCCCGGTGTCATTCAACAGCAAGGGGGCGGGCCTTCGAGGAATCCACTTGTTGACTGGCTCAGTGAGGTCACGCCCCTCTCGAGAGGCTTGTTGCGCCACAGCAGTAGCTGCCCTCAGGTCTGTGTAGCCCTTGTGTCTCTCCGGCTCCTACCTTAATCCCAAAGACCCAGGAGTTTGGGGCCACCCAGAATTATCTCCTCCCGGGTCACACGCTGCGCCAGGCTACCTGAGAGCGCCCTCCTCCTCGGCCCACGTTCTTCCCACCCCGGGCTGCTGGGGTCGGGGAGCGGGCAGGTAACTGGAGCTGGGGACATTCAGGAGATGGCAGGGCCTTCTGCAGGCATCAGCCCAGGGAGGACCAAGCAAGGCCTTTGAGATTAACCTTTGAGCTAAAATCCCTTCTGTACAGATCAGTGGCTCCAGAAGGAAGCTGTAGCAGCAGATGCAGCCCCAACATAGCCTTCCACACTTACTCCCTGGATTCAGTGGTTCTATTGCATAGGAAATGGATTGATCCCCGCATGATGGAGAAGGGAAATGCACCTGTCCTCGAACCGACGCCTGCCCACTGTTTTTGTATTTGTTTTTTTAATGCTGTACCAGGGATTGAACTCAGGACCTTGTTCTAGCAAGGTGGTCCTGCCAGCTGCTTTCCAAGAGCAGGACCTGTCACCTCCACCTTCCCATGTGCTAGTTTAACATGCAAGTGTGTGTGGAGGGGGGGATTGTTTACAAAGATACTAGGCTTGAGCCTTCATTATATACATGGAAGATGGAGGTAGGAAAGAGGAGGTGCATAAAGATCTTAGGTATAAAATACCATCCTAGCTTTCTAGGGGTGTCTAATCCAGGTGAAGAGTGATATGTTGTAATAAAACCATAATGCTGTCCAGACTGGGATAAGAGTCCCTATGATCAAAGTAGTCATTGTGTTGAGACTTCGGTGAAGGCTCACCAGGGGAGGTGAGATTTTAGCCAGATTATAAAGAATGGTTAGGCTTCCCTTCCAGAGTGTGTGCTGTTAGGAACATTGGCCCTGGAAGAGGAAGCATTTGGCACTAATGGGATGGCATAAAACTGGCTGGTCCTACAGTCCTACATAAGATCACCACTACAGTTCATGGCAGTCAGTCAAAGAAATCTACTTCTCTGAACTGTTTCAGAAAAGCAATTGTTTGTAACAGCTAAAACTTGGAAACAGCCCAGTTGCCCATCAGTTGGAGACTGGATAAAGAAGATGTGGTTTTTCTATAAAATGGAGTATGACTCAGCCATAAAAATGAGAAAGTAGAGTCATTCACAGGAAAATGGATGCATATTGAGGCCATACTCTTAAGTGAAATAAATAGAACACACATATGTAAATACCGAACAGTTTCTTTGGTGTGAAAAACTAAAAGTGTAACTAAGATCCAAATTGTATAACCAGTGATGTGAAATAGGAAGAAAAGGGCTAAAGTTGTTGGGGAAGTGGGAAAAATAGGGGAAAGGAAATAAGGGAAAAGAAAAATATGAGAAAAGGAAAAAATGGAAACAGTCTTTGTAAATAGGGAAGGGAGGAGGGGGTGGGAGGAGTATGGGGAAAAATGAGAACCAACATCTGTCATGTAAAGGTACAAGATCCCAATAATGAATGTGACTGTACTGTATACTTAAAAAGTACCAATAAACTCAATAAAAAAGAAAAACAACTCCATGTGAAATAACAAGCACAGAGTGAAGTATATTTCCGGTTTGTGCCTTGCTCAGTTTAAACAGCAGCTTGCTTTAGGTGCCCAGAGCCTCTGCTCTGTTCCAGCAGGGTCTGATGTTTCATTTCTGTCTGGGTTTGCATATGTATTGTGTCATCTGTTTGGCTCCTCTTTTGTGGTCTGTAGTCCACGAGGGGCTCAAAGTCATACCTTGGCTCTACTCCAACCCTGGGAGCCTCATCTGCATTGCAGGTCCAGCTGTTCCCCAGAACATGACTTAATGATATGGTACCCCTAAGGGTAAATGTCCACCTCACTAAGTAGGTCCCCAGTATGTAGTTTCTTATCATCACATAGTCATTTCATAGAGCTTTGTTTTTAGCTGACAGGGATCTTAGAGGCTAAAGTAATCCATTCCCTTTTTGAGTGATAAAAAGAAAGTAACTCCCCCAAGGCCACACAGTTGAATGGTAAAAGAACTGAACTCTGGGCCAAGGCTTCTTGTGCCTAATGCAGTCTTGCACACACCCTAGAGGCCCCCAGGGGCTTGCATCCAGCCAGAGGACACTGCTTTCCCAGGCACAATGGTAAGGCCGAGGTCCTGTTGTCAGGCCCTCTGCCCCTTCGACCCCTGATGTGTTCCTTTGTGGTCTCATATGGGACTTCTGCCATGGCTCCCAAGAGTGTTTTGGGCACATTGGCAAGTTTCAGCATCTTCCAGAGAGTGGAGTTCTCACATTGGTGACACCTACCTTCATCTTGACATAGATTTGGGCACTGGTGGATACCTAGGAAGAGCAAAAGCAGGAGCCACTGACAGGTGATGTAAAGTATCCCTGCATCTCCCCAGCATGGAGAGCAGGACACTGGGCAGGTATAGGAGGCCACCGTCAGAGCCTCAGGCATGACTGAGATGCCTCTGCAAATACAAGCCATTCTATGTCTGTGTTTTGCATGCATGCAGGTTTAGGATTTATGAAACTATGGCTCCCCACCATGCACACTACTGCCAAAGCAGAGATGGTTTGCAGATTTGGAGAACTTTGGACGAAAGATTCCCAGAACCTCAACAGAGGCCCCAAGGAACCCCCTTAGCCAGGTAGGTCTTGAAGTAGCATCTTCTGAACTTCTGCCCAGAGCTCACTGCACTCAGCCTTGGTGACCCATCTGGTGGACCATCTAATTGGCCCACAAACTGGCATCCTTCAACTCTCCTATCCCTGTGTCCTCTCTGATGGGAATGTGAGGAAACGGTTTGTTTTTTGAGACAAGGTCTAGATATTAGTTCAGTCTGGCCTCAAACTCATGGCAATTTTCCTGCCTCAGCCTCCCAAGTGCTGGGATTACAGGTGTGCCACTACCCCCAGCTCACTCAGGAACTCTTGAGATCCATCTAGGCTGTGTCAGCTCCTGTTCACTCTCAGGGGTGCACATCTAACATGGATACCTTTTACACTCCAAAATGCTTCATCCTGCGGGCCCCTGAATGCCCAAGTTCTTCTCTGCAAACTTCCACTGTCCCCTGCCTGTTTATCTCCAGAAAGAGGGAAGATAAAGACGGATGATGATGATGATGATGATGGTTTGCAGTGCTAGATATTGAACTCAGGGCCTTCGCTCTGAGCTACATCTCCAGCTGTTCTTTAATTCTTTTTAAATTTTGAGACAAGCTCTTACCAAGTTGCTAAATTGCTTAGGCTGGCCTTGAACTTTTGATCCTACTGCTTCGGCCTCCCAGAGTGCTGAGATTACAGGCCTGCACCAGGAAGCCCAGCTAAAGGATGGACTTTATGATGGAACTCAGCATGGAGAGAGGAAGCAGAAGGCCCCTTGTGGAATCTCATGACAAGTTGGCCTATTTACCCCTGATTGCTGAACCTGAAGTCAAGAATGAAGGGCGAGGTACTGTTGTCCAGGACTCTGACACTTCCTGACTTCTGGGGAAGGCTCTCTACACTTGCTCTCCAGCTGTGGCTGCAGCAGGGAGTTACTAGCATGGCAGTGAGAGTACAGACTCCCTGGCCAACACGCTTCAATTATAGCAGGCAGAGTGACACCCAGACACATTTACCAGGGCTCCAGGATGATAGTGTCCTCAGACCCACCAGTTGGAATCGGAGCCACCTTTGGATCCAGCTGTGCCATCACAGGATGCTGCCCTCGGTCAGGTGATCCTGCTGGGACCACAAGATGAGAGAATGACACTGAATGAAAGTGGTATGTTCTTGTTACTTGGCTGACTCCTGAGCTCCCTTTCAGGAGAATGAAGATGACCACGGGGCAACTGGAAACCCCACCCAAATGGCTCCTTAGGCTAATGTGAGCTGAAACCCCAAACAGTTGCTTCTGGGGACACCTATGTCCTTCAGGTTGTGCTGAAATCACCTAACCTGTGCTGAGTGTGACCAGAACTTCAGGAGCCATACATCCCCAGCCAGCCATGGGCATAGCCATGTGGGAGAGTGGCCCTTGCAGTGTCCCAGTGTAACAAAGGTCTTGCCTTCAGATAGCAACGTATGTGGGAAATGAGAGGTATGCATTCCAATAGCATAGTGTCTCTGGTGCCACATGGACCAGGACCAGGAAAAACCCTGCCAGCTTCCCTGTTCCAGGGCCCTTGCTGTTGCATGGTCCATGCTTGACCCCTGAAGATCTTGCAACCCTGAGAGCCCTTCTATTGCAGCCATGGCAGAAGCATCCCCAGAAGGGTCCCTAGCACCTGCACTGACTGTGATAAAAGGTTCAAAGGCAAGGCATCTTCAGGCGTCCATTCCCAGGTACACAGGTAAGCAGCTGTTTGGGTGCCAAGTGTGGCAGGAGCTGCGGACCTAGGCCACTGAGGGGCTTGCAGGGCTGCTGGTGCAGGAAGGGCTCCAGGACTGGAGAGTTGTGCTGATCCATGGGAAGACCCACAATGAGGAGGGCCTGACTCAGTAGCCCTGGCACCAGGGACTGGTGCATCTCCAGGAAATGCCTTCACACTGCACTGGAAGTCACACATGCTTGGAAAAGAAAGGTAGGGGCACAGCCCATGTGCTGAGATTCAGAGGAGGCTGCTTTCACTGGGAGCTGACTGCTGAGACATCTCTTCAAGGAGGGCCAATCCAGCTGGCCTTGAGCAGCTTCTCCCAGCTCCTGATTCTTACCTAGGGACTTACAGGACAGAATCATGTGTGGAAATAAACTCTACTTTATTCAGATAGCAAAAGATTTAGAATGAACATAGTTATTCTAAATATGTGCACGTCATTGAAACCAAGGGAAGTAAGGACATCCATGGCCAGTCATGCTTGGTGCTCTTGGCCATATAGACACCTGGGTGAGGGAACCAGTGACCTCCACCCTGTGCTGACCCATACATGGAACCCTAGGGACTCCTCTTTTCAGGACAGAGAGCAAAGGTCTGGAGTTGGTTGCCCTCAGAGGTTTCTGACCTGGACAAGGCAGGGCTCCCTCACCCCCCAAGTCTCTATGGCTACTGAAATCAAAGTGTCTGGTACAATGCTGGTTATATGGAATGCCAGCCTCAGTGGGCGTCAGTCATGAGGAAAGAGGGACAGGTGCCAGGATGAGTACCTGGGTGAAGATGATGGCCAGGACTCTGGCCAAAGAAAAAGTGCGTCCTCCTTGGGGGCTTCTGAAGGTCACCTCCAGAGCTGGAGGGGAGACACCTCCATAGGGTAGGGGCAGAGAGGAGAAAGACAGCAACGTGAAGTGCTAAGACTGAGTGTGGATGTCAGGAACCAGGGAGTCTGTAGGATGGGAAGGTGCCTGGGTGCTGGCACCACAGAGCAGTGCCTCTGCAGATGGGCCTCACACAGGGTCCCTGCCTGTCTAAATGAGCATGAGGCGGAAGCAAGAAGCCCTTCACACAGACATCCCTAACTTCCCTACCGGCTAGGGAAGCAGAACCCGGACACCAGCTTCCCATCCAGCTCAGCAGCCTGGAGACTGCTAAGACCACATTGCCCTAGGAGGAGAGAGCTCTCCCCAGGTGAGAAGGGATGACAGCGAGGGGACCAGGGGACCTGCTAGTGCCAGAGGTGTCCTAAGTGGAGAATGCCCAGAAAGTTCTGGGGCAGCTAGTTAGAAACTCTGGTCTCTGAGTCCAGTCCAGGAATGGGACTGGGCCCATCGGGGCAGGGCATATTCACCAAGCGGTGCTGGAAGTTCCAAGCAGAGTTCCCAGCAGCCTGCAGAGGAGGGGATACCCCCATCCTGCTGACTGCCCATGTGGATAGCACCCCTGCCCACAAGAAGACTCTGTGGCAAACTTCACACAAAGGACAGGGATGGGACACAGCAGAGGGTGGAGATGTCCCTCTCTCAAGGAGTATGAGGCTCTTGCTACTATGCTGGGGCAAGGGAGGGCCAGCAGGCACTTGGATTCTCAGCTGCCATGGCATAGAGAGGGAAACTGAGGCACAGATAAGCACAAGGGACTAATTACAGGCAAACCACTGCCTGCAGCAGAGCCTGGCTGGATCAATTCTGAGTTTGACCCACATTTCCTTGGGAAAACACACTCAAGGACTTCCTCCAGGGAGAGCGCCAGGCAAGACCACCCTTCTCAGGTACTCTAGGGAAGGGTTCTCTTCTGTTTCATCCTAGGGTATTCCCAGAAGGGGAGCAGAACTCTCTGATGTGTATTTCCTGCCTGATCCAGGGCCCCCTGCTTCTGCCTTGGAAGCTGGGACAGTGGTCCCAATGGGCAGTTCCTGGGGACTCTTGCAGCAAGGGTGCCACCCTGATGAAGCCTCACTGCCCTGCAAGGGACACAGAGGGCCCCTGGCCCCAATGGTCCCTCCCACTTCAGGAAATCCTCTGCCACCAGCAAGTGGTGGGCTGGGACTCTTCCTGGAAGGCCTTAAAGATGGACATGAGACCCTCTGGGCATATTCTGCACTTAGGCCTGGGGCAACGCCTGGTGTCCCTCGGAGGCCACTTCCTAGGTCTTAGGGGGTGTCCCCACCAGGACAGCCCGGAATCTGCAGTCTGTCCCCATGAGTGGGTCAGGTGGCAGGGCCATGTAGGGGTCCCCCAGGCCTTCTCCAGGCCCCCTCTCCCTCTCAAGATGGCTTGGAGCTCTTGGGCTGGTGTAATACAGGAGTCTCTGGGGCTCCATGAGCATCCTTCAGAACCTCCAGGGCTCCCCGGAAGGCGTGATTGGCCACTTCCGTGCTCCCAGCCCCTTCTTCCTGAGCCCAGCACCTGTGTGGGACAAGACCATGATGGTTACACTTGGCAAGTGATAGCACCTTTCTGCACCCAACCTCACCCTAGGGCTGTGTGAAGACAACGAGGCAGGACAATGGGGACAGGGCTAGTTCTGTGTCTGCGGCCCTTACCTGTCCCAGCTCTGCTGTGTCTTTTTCCCCAAGCAGGGCACATATGTGAATGTCTGGAGGTGCTTTGGATTTGTCACACCCGGGGAAGATAAGGCTTTCCAGTGGGTGGCTGGTGGGTAAGTGCCCAGGACCCAGGAGGAAACCATTATCACATACTGCCTGCTGGTATCTCTGCTGGCTTCCTCAAGGTACCTGTCCTGCTGTCCCTTGGAAAGGACAGCTTGCTGAAGGGTACACCTGGTACCTCTGTCTCCTGCATCCCATGGGGTTGGAGACTGGAGCAGCTCCCTCAACCCATGCACTGGAGTGAACTTTCCCAAGCCCCTCTTGGCTCTCTCTGTCTCACAGGAAAGGGTCCCCACAGCTGTGGCTGCAGAGCCACATAGCTTCCTGTGGAGCCTGGGTCCGTGCTGAGACCCAGGCACATGGCTAGTTGGGTGGCAGAGCGAGACCTGGAGCCAGGCAGGTGGCTTCAGACAGGATGCTCTTTGCATTATGCCTCCTTCCCCAAGCTGAGCACTTGGTCTCTAGCTGGGCCGCCTACAGTAGCCATGGCCTGACAAGTGCCTGAGCAGAAGCTCTGAGATCCTGGGGTTTGGACCTCTGGCTCAGCCCAGGATGGGCAGATCACCTCTTGCCCTGCCTCCCACATCTGGGTCAGGACTGCCCATGTGCCTACCTGTGTGGGAGTGGGTGGGCTCCTGGGAGCAGGCATAGACGTGGTTGAAGCGCCGGCCTGAGGAGGTCAGATACCAGTGCTGGATGGCGGGCTGTGGGTCATACTCTGTGACTGCCACTCCATTCACTGCTGTCATCATGAGCATGTTAAGCACCTCATTGGAGAGCTTGGTCCTCTCATCAGTCCTGATACGGTTCATGGCCTTAAACCCACGCTCACAGCAGGAGGTGGAAATGGGCACACAGACCACCACAGCCATGAGCTTACTGAGCAAGGGGAAGCGGCGGTGCTGGGCCAGGGCATTTTTACACAGCATGGAGAAAGGGAGGTTGTGGGCAGCCACCTTCAGGCCCAGCCACTCCTCCAGCAGTGCTGACTCACTGTACCCTGAGGGAAAGGAGAGCTCAAAATGCCTGGCAAGGCTGAGAATGTCATTATTCCCAAAGTGGGCCAACTCCACCCCACCCGGCCAGGCCATGGTGTCAAACACTTCCATGTTCTTGAGCTGCACTGGACGGTCTGCATCAAACCTCTGCCGGAGGTACTCGACCCCGGTCAGGATCATCCTCTCCCTATCCATCTGGAACCGCTGCTCTGCCATCTCTACCTTGTCCAGGAAGACACCGTGCAGCTGCCCGTCCCGGAAACTGGCATTGAACTCCTCCTCTTTGGGTCCCGCCTGGTGGCGGAGGGTCTCCAGTGTGACATAAGCACGCCCCAGCTCGGAGTTCACCTCTGTGATCAGCACCATCTCCTTCTGGCACACCTCAGCCAGGGGCCTGTAGATGCTCAGGAAGTCCAAGAGGAAGTGGCAGAACTTGATGAAATGGAAGCCCTTCATCAGCTTCAGCAGACCCTGGGCCCTGTGCCCAACCTGGCCCCCTGCTTCTGCCACAGTTTGGAGGTGCTGCACAAGAGCAGGCCAGCTCACAAGGAGTGCATTCAGTGTGCGCCTCTTGCTGGCCACCCAGCGAACAGCGTTCAGATCCTTCAGGCGTACGATTTCCTGCTCCAGGGGTGCTGCGCTGTCCTGCAGCTCACTCAGCCTCTTGTTGGAGGATTGGTAAAACTTGAAGACGGTCCGGATGTGCCGGTCACACTTTCTCACCAGATCGATTCTCCCACAAGCATCCACCACGGCCAGGTGCAGCTGGTGGGCCACACAGTAAACAGGAAGCAGCTGTGGGATGATCTCTTGGAGCTTCTCCACAAGGCCGCTCTTGCAGCTCAGCATGGTGTAGCCATTCGTCCCCAGGCCCACCACCCAGCCAGGCTTCCGGAAAGGAATGTCCAGCTCGTCCAGGGCTGCAATGATGGTCTCGAAGTACCCATCCACTGTCTCACTGTGGAGTGGGGCCAGAGTGATGTATGACTCTTTCACCTCCAGCTGCTTAAGGTAACGAATGTAAATTCCTATGCAGGCCTGGTTGGAAGAGTCCCTGCAGCTGTCCAGCAACACGCTCACGCACGGGGAGCTGCGGATATCCCCAAGGATCTCCTTCTTCAGGGTCTCTGAGATGTATTTGATGAACTGTGTGCATGCGGTACGGTTTCGGTACTTGCCTAATATCATGGTCCCGGTGCTTTGGAGGAGCTGCAGCATCTTCTCAAAGTCATTCAGGGGCCGAGAGTGGTATGCAATGGAGTAGGCGGCATTGAAGAAGTGCTCCATGTTGGCCATGAGGTCGCTGGAGATTTCTGGGACCAGGGTGGCTTGAGGGCTGCTGTCTTTGACCTCCACAGTGTTGATGCAGAGCTTGTGAGCCTTGCTGACTTCATGGTACTTTAAAGTCTCTACCTTAAAGGGCCCAGTGTAGCCTTGGACTAACCGAGATGATTTGTCATGGAGCATGGGTCTCTCTTTGCAGGCTGAACAGAAGAGCTTGGTCTCAGTAGGGTCGACTACTAACCATGGGAACTGCCCAAACCATGACCTCTGAATGGAACGGGGTCTGTAAGTCCTCCGACTTTTCCTAGGCCTGCCAACTTCTCCTGCACATGCGCTGGAAGGGCAGTAGGAGGCACTTGTCTCCACAGGAGGAGCTGGAAGTGATGCAGATTCTGTAGCAGGGGCCTGAGTGTCTACCTTGCTTACTTCCACCATCTTCTTTCTCCCTTGGAAAAGATTTAATCATGCTTAGTTTCACTGCCCCAAGCTCTGCACATTTCTGCCAGGGAAGATAGCCTCAACCAATAAGTGCTCCTTTTTAAAAGCAGAGGAGCTGAACATCATGCTTCTTTAGAGATCACTAATGGCTCCTCCCTCCTTAAACCCTTCCCTGTCATTTCCTGTGACAGCCAATCTGTTTCCCCAAGAGTAGTGGCTGTCCTTGTGGGTTCTCTGTGGCTGCCCCTCTCTATGTACCCAGATACTCTGGGATCATGTGGCACCAAATGTTAGTACGCTTAATTAATTGCCCTTGAACAGAGATTTTATTAAACAGGTGGTTTTAGTCCTCTTTTGAGACTCTACAGAAATGAAGTTAAACACCCCAAAGTCTTCTGATGTGCCTTAGAAAACAGGGAGGAGCCGGGCATAGTGGTGCATGCCTGTAATCCCAGCACTTAGGAGGCCGAGGCAGGAGGATCACTGTGAGTTCAAGACCAGCCTGGGCTACATAGTGAGTTCCAGGTCAATCTCAACTACATAGTGAGGCCCTGTCTTAAAAACAAAAACAAAAACAGCCACTTCTTACAGACTCATTGCTGTCCCTGTATGCCCAGGACAAGGGTACACAGGCTAATGCTAGTTCCTGGCATCCAGTTCCTTCACCTACCTCCTCCTGTCAGCCCCGCCATAGCCCCCTTCAGCACTTCTCCTCATCACAGGATCTCATTTTTCTGTGTGATCCCAGTTTCCCACATGATTCTACACTTTGTTGGCAGGGTTCATTTCTTCATCTTTGTCTACCCCAGTGCAGGGTCTGCTGCACAGTCGGTCCAGGATAACCATTGCTGACCCAATGTCATGAGACTTGCTATAGCTGTATGGAGCCAGCATGTGCCTTTCAGAACTCAGTGGGTAAAGACTCACCTGGCGGATGACCTTTCCCTGACTTCAACCTGTTTGGATCCTTGATCCAAGGTGCAGCTTTCCGCTCCAGTTTTGAGATCAAGTCTGGCTTGGCAGCAGTAGGCCCTGTTGCAGGAGTGAAGAGTCATACTGTTATCATTGCTACAGAACATCAGGCTGAGCAGCCCATCTCAAGCTAGATCTGACCCTGAAACACACAGGGATACCTAGGGACTATCCCTGGAAAGCCTAGTTGCCCAGGCAGGCTGAGAGCATTCCTGTCTAACATGGCAGAGAGGGGGTCTGGGGAGGGCTTGCCCCTTAGCCAGGATGGATTACTTCTGCAGCTCTGTGGGCAGCCCAGGAGCAGGGACCAGAAAAACGCATCCAAAAATACAGGATAAAACAGAAGAAGAGGAAAAGCACAGATGAAAAGCAAAGCCACACAAGAAGGAAAGGTTGCCCTTACAACCATCTGGGGCACACATCTCCAGCACGACTGGCTGGCCTTTGTGCAGATGGCCAACTGTGCAGGGTGCTTGAATGGGCCCTGAAAACATCTACCACCTGCAATGGACCCTGAAATCTGGCTAGAAGAGATCTGTCCTTCAAATAACAATATTATTCAGGGACACACAAAGAAATTATTGCCTTTATTTATAATGAAATCCATTACCATCTATTTACATGATTCTGTCTATATGTGTGTTTACTTTCTTTGGAAATACAAGCCAATGTTAACTGTGAGTGCTTCTGCAGAGGAAATGACAGGTGGGGAGGAGGGAGATTATTTTTCACCATCTTTTGGGTCACTTGCATATATTTATATTTACTATATAGATATTTATGTATATCTACGTATTTACCAGTAATAAAAATATTGTGATTAAAATGGGATAGATTGAACTTATATCCTTCTTCAGTTGTCTCTGAAATGACAGCAGAGGAATAATGATAAGAAGAACCATAAGTTGAAGAGAAACTGGAGTAGGATTATTGGAAGATAGAAAAGAGACAAAAGAGAGAAAAACCAACAGAACTGACACCAAAAACCTGCAGAGGAGGTAACCAGGGGAAGCAGTCTGTTTTGCAGAGAGAATCCAGAAAGACTCAGAAGCAGGCGGTCTTGGGGTGGGGAAGGTGGCAGGTAGGACATAACTGAAATCTGTGAGGAGACCTTGTGCCCTCCTGGATCTCCTCACCCAGGAGGAGAACAGAGGCTGAGTTCACAGAAAAGTGCACCAAGAAGGGCTCCAGATTCCAGGACACAGGGAAGGACAACATGGTGCCGAAAACAGACGGGTGAGGTCTGTAGACCAAGGGGTGCACTGCTTGGTGCCAAGAACCCTGCTTGGCTTATTCCTTCCAAGCTGGAGATGGAAGGGTTTTCTTCGCTCAAATGGAACCCCCACCATCAATGGACAGTGACTTTGGCAGGCTCCCCAAGGAGACATCACGTTGCAGCTGGTCCTCTACGGTGTCCCAGCCATGCACAGAGCTTCTTATCACTCCTTAAAGGTTTACTCTTGAATAGAATGAACCTAGAGAAATTTGTTGAAGAAAGGTGTCTAAAATGGAAGAAAGCGAGATGTCACAGTAAACAACCTCAGGTGGCATGGAGGATGGAAAAGATTATTCGAGAGGAGACTTAGTTCAATCAACAAGAGGCTCAGAGGGGTTATTTCTCAACCAAGAGCACCCAGCCATTAGGGAGACTTGGAGAAGAAAAAAGCTCTGATACTGAGAACTCTCTGGCTTTTATTTAGAATATCAGTGTTTAAGAGAAAAAAATCAGGAGACAAGCAGTTTGGGCACAGAGCTGTTTTAAGGCTGGGCAGTTTTTCTTGAGGAAAGGAAAGAACAATGGCCAGACACAATATGCTTTACTAATCTAAACTTCTAGTTTAACCATTCAACTCTCACACCACCTGTGTGCTTTTATGTATTTATTTGGTACCAGGGATCAAACTTGGGTCTTTGCGCTTATGAGGGAGGCGGCGGCACCACTGAGCTAAATCCCTGGCCCAGCCTGTGTGCTTCTCTCCCATGGTGTAACCATTCACTCCTCACAAAGCCTATGTGCTTTAGTCCACAGTTTAATCATTTACTCCCGGCCAGACTCCCTACACTGAGACAAGCAGGGAAAAGCACCAAAAACTAGAAATCCTGCAGAACAAAACCTAGCTTCCCAACAATGAGAGTAGGAAATATGTGTAGGGAAAACGTCATGAAGGAATGGAACATCAACATGGAACTCTATGCATGGAATATTAAGTGCCTAGAAGCAAAACACCCAATAGAAAAGAAAATAGAATTGCAAGAAAACTGAGGAAATCACTAAGAAAGTAAAACAAAACAGACAGAAGCAGATAATAGGAGGAAAAAAACTCACAAAGAAATAAAAAAGCAGAGGCTCAGTCCAGGACGTCCAAAAGCCAACACAGTTTTTTTTTTTTGGGGGGGGGCAAACAGGAAGAAATTACGTTTATTATAAAGAACATTTCCTCAAACTGGAAAATATGTCTCCTTGTGCAAGGGATGCCCCAGATATGCAGAACAAAAAATAAGTGAATGGCTCACTTCAAAACACTGGGATAGACTCAAAAAGCTTTCAGAGTAGAACAAATAGGTTACATTCAAAGATTTAGAAATAAGAAGTCATCAAACTTCTCAACAGCACCAGTAAAACTAGACAGCAATGCTTCCAAAAGCAGAGGAAGACAGATTCCAATCTAGAATTGTTATCAATCAACTGTGCAATGCTTTTTGAAGGTACACTGTGTTTAAGTGCCCAGGGCCAAGTGCAAATACAAAACCTCTGTCACCACAAATGAATGACAACTGAAGTCATCTCTGACTGGGGAGCCATTTCAGAATTATGAACAACTGGGCTGGGGATATAGCTCAGTGGTAAGACTAAAGAACCATGAACGTGGATAAAGTCAACACAAGAACATTTAGAAAACAATCCTGACCTTAGCTACAGTGTAACAAAGGGATATGACATCACTGATGTCATAAATAGCCTCATTTTTGGTCATTTTGCAGAAGCCAGCAGCACAGGCTGCTGCTGTGATTCCCAAGTCACACACAGCAGCCTGCTCTGCAAGCGTCCTCTGTGATATACGTTAGTAAAACATGGAAGGAAATACAAGCTTGAGGAGAGGAGGGAGGGCAAGGAGAGGAGAGAAGACAGGTTGTCTTTTCATCTCAATGCTGCATAGGAAGCTGGGTGTCTTCTAGGAGAGTAAAAGAACAAGAAACATGCAGGAGACGGGGCTGTAAGTGCCACTACTGTGCTCCTAACTAGTTCTCCAAGGGCCAAATTTAGTGACTCTGAGGCCCAAGGCTGCCAACCCATCCTGGCACCTGGCAAGATGGAGGAGCCTTGGTGCTGTCTGTAGACTGAGTGTGGGGCCCATTGGGAGGCCCTTCACCTCCAGCCCTTGCTCAGGTTGTCCCATTCCTACTGGTTTTGCCTCTCTGGGAAGCCTTCCTGATCTTTCTTTCTACTGACCAGCAGATATACAAGGCCTGACCTCAGCACCTACAGGTACTCTTCATGTCTGTCTGTCTCTCATTTGGCAATACTAGGGATTGAATCCAGGGCCTATGCACTGAGCTACATCCTCAGCTCATTTAAAAAACAAAACAAAACAAAAAAAACTTCTTTAAATTCTAGGATAGGGTCTCATTAAATTGGTAAATTGACCATGTTGGGTTCACACCTGTGATCCTCCTGCTTCAGTCTCCCAGAGTGCTAAGATTATAGGCATACACCACCATGCTTAGCTCTGCTGCTCTCTTACAGAGACTGTATTTCTGATGGCTTCTTATTCAAACTTGTGCCTCTCCCACAAGCCTGAAACTATTTTGAAATCAGAGACTTTGGTTGGTGTGTGTTCATCTGGCACGTAGTAGGTATCCAATGTCTTCTGGAGGACAGACATATGGATAGGCAGGCAGCTGCATAAAGAGGTGCTAATCCCAAGGCAGGGAGAGTTTGTCCCCTAAGAGGGCAGAAATGGAAAGAGGACTACAAGACACAGATGCCCTCTGGGGTCCCTGGGTCAGATGGTCAGGTTATGATGGCACAGACGGAAGCTTTACCCAGGGATGCCAACAGCTCATAGTTCATCCGCATCACATCTCGGTACAGCTCCTTCTGCTGCTTGTCCATCAGGCCCCACTCCTCCTGGGTGAAATACACTGCCACATCCTCAAACATGGCCGGAAGCTCCTCGAGCACCACAGGTACCTCCAGTAGCCCCTCCTCTGCAGTGCCCTGCAACAGAGAGCAGACACTCACTTCCGGTGCCACCACATGATACTTCTGGTGGTTGCTGAAGACCCTTGTGTCCTGAAACCTCACAGAGAGGCCCCGATGTTCAATGAGGAATTAATTTCTCCACTGAAAGGCAAAGAATCAAATTGGGGAAGCTCAGAATTAGCAGGTAAAACCAAATGGGCCTCAGTTAGAGCCTAGCCTCTTCTGGGAGGAAACAGAAACACCTGGTTAGGACAGGCGTCTCAGTAGAGTCTCTGAGTCCTAATGGCAGGGTCCTCTACTCATCTATCTGTGACTGCAGAGGTGACCACCGACCTCTGGGAGCACCTTCCAGGATTCTTCAATGGGACGTGAAGGTAGTACAGAGAACTAAGGATCCTCATAATCCCTTGACCTCAACACAGGTTGACATTTGCCTCACTGCTAAAATAATTAGACTAAAAAACAGCAGGAACAAGAGCAAGAGAAAATAGCTTTATTGTCTTTCTGGATTCTAGGAGAATTCAAGCTTACTAATTTTAGCTGGGTTCCTTCTGATGTTAGCTATGAGGAACATCTGAACTGCTCTCTTCGGATTCTGGAAGGGAGCCTTAACAGTGCTTCAGAGGAAAACCCTACTTGAGTGCAATAGTGGAGAAATGGGGAAGGTTCTAGCTACTCAAAGATTCCAATTAACATCATTTCCTTAGAGACTAACTTTTCTGCAAATTATCTAGTTACAAAATAAACTTAAGGTGAGTGGAAGGAAATCACCAAGCCTATGGTCAAGGGTTCTGGATGGAGGTCATGGACACTGAACTGCCATGGGCTCTGGGCAGAGGACGAGGGCTTTGGGCTGAGGGCAAAGGCTCTGGGCAGAGTCCAGCATTTACAACAGCTCGTGGACTCTGGACATGTCACTTCAAGTCATGAAAAGTCTTAGTTTTCTCCCAAAACAGTAAATTTAATAATACCTGCTCTACCCCCTCACAGCAACATTAGGCATGTGACATCACACAGCAAGCGTGAAAAAACTCTGCAGTGTTTAAAAGTGCTACATAAAATCCGAGCTAAATTTTTTTAAAAAACTGGTAATTTAACAGCTAGGTGGTCATTCTGTGCTTGTGGACTACTTCTCAAGTTGTGCAGCTGTTCTAGAATCTGGATAAAGATTATCTTTCCAAAAGCTGGGCATGGTGGCACATGCCTGTAATCCCAGTATTCAGGAGGCTGAGGCAGGAGGATCACTGTGAGTTGAGACCAGCCTGCACTACATAGTGAGTTCCAGGTCAGTCTCAACTACATAGTGAGACCCTGTCTCAAAAAAAAAAAAGTTTATCTTTCCTTTTACAGAAGTTAGAATGTTCCACCCCACTGACAGTATTTTCTATCTGCAAAAAAGATGATAAGTAATAGAGCAGTTATCTGAATTAAGTAATTAATACCTTTAAAGCACTTTAAATGATACCTTATACATTATAAGTTACTCTTTTTCATCACCACTAAATATACACTGTTCTCTTGGCAATCCTCTTTAAGATACAGCAACTGTAAATTTATTATAAATTTATTACCTGCCTGTAGAATTCAATAGTGTCATTGCATAAAACGTTAATATTTGAGGAATTATGAGTGTCACCGGAGATTTCTTTTTGCCTTATATCTGCAATGCAGTCCAAGTACAATGAAGGTATTGCTGCGCCCTGGCCAGGGTCCTCCAATTCAGCTCTTGGGCTTGGCAGGAATTTGGTCATCTTATCAAAGTCTCCCAGAGGCTGTGGTGGGTAGAATATGGGATAATCTGCAGGGAAGAGGTGCTTGGTGCCAGCCAGGATACCTGCAGACCCATCTCTGATGCTCTGGAAACGGGCTGCCCAGATGGGGTCTCGGGCAGCCAAGGCATTGACACAGAACAAGTGAGCTTTGCTCTTGGCATGGTACTTGAGAGTCTCCACCTTGAAGGGTCCTGTATAACCTTCTATTAATCTTGACCGTTTGTCTCTGACAGATGGGTATGCTCGACAGGCAGAGCAAAACAAAGCCGTCTGCTCCTCGTTCATGATCAACCATGGAAACTGTACAAACCACGACTTCTGGATGGAGCGGGGTTTCTTGCTTCTTCCTGTACATTCTCCCTCTATGGTATCACCTTCTGGACTTGAGGGGACAAGGCAGGCTTTCTTCAGAGGTGGCAGGTATGGTCCACTGACCTGGGCAGGACTCTGTACATCCATTTCTTTCATGTATCCAACCTGACTTTTTCCTTAAGAGGAAAGAGACAAATGGAATTTGCTTGAAATCCTATGGACAGAACTACTGCAACTCCCAGGTCCTTTGAATACAGAAGGTGGAAACCACACACTCAGTTCAACAAGGGTGACACAGCCTCTCTCTTTTCTAGGGACTGCAAAGTATGTCATACTTAAATTTTCTAGTTTCAGTTCCCCAGAGCCCCAAGCCAATGCTGCCTGATCCAGAAGAAAATCAAAGAGATGGGCTCTAAAGGAATCCTCTCTTTCAAACAAAATGTAAAGGACTTGGCCCTGAGGTGATCTTTCTACTTTGATCAATGCCACCTAAGGCAGTGGCACCATCCTCAGCGGTTTGGGACTTACTTATGGAAAGAACACTGGCATCAAAGAACACAGGGTTGAACAAGGTCATCATGCCACATGACATAACTCCTTCCTCTGCAGGAACTGATCCTGTGATAGCCTAAGGGGCATCCTCATCTTTCTTAAGTACCTCTGGAGCAAGAACACTTCATATGCCCCGGATATGGCTGTGGTTCCAGACAATTTTCTCTTTTTTCTCCCTTCTCTTTTCTTTCTTTCCTTCAGTACTATGGACTGAACCCAGGCCTTCATACTGAGCTATACCCCCAGCTTGTTAATATTTTTTACATTCTGAGATAGTGTCACCAAGTCACTAAATTTCCAAGCCTGGGCTTGAAGTTGCAATCCTCCTGCCTCAGCCTCCCAGAGTTCTAGGATTATAGGCTTGTGCCACCATGCCTGGCTCTCAGAGAGTTTTCTATAAGCTGCAGTCTATCTCTGGGTACAGTAGTCTCCTTTCATTTGCAGGGCATATATTCCAATACCTCTGGGAAGCCTGGACCATGGAGTATAGCAAGCTCTACATTATTGTAGTTTTTTTCCCTATCTACACATACACACGATAAAGTTTAACTTATTAAATGGGCACAGTAAGAGACTCAAAACAACTAATAATAAAATAATTTTAATGATATACTATAATAAATATGTAAATAAAACCCTCTCTTTCTCTCCCTCTCTCCCTAAACAACTGAAACCTTGGAGAGTAACACTGTGGATAAAGGGAACTACTCATTGCACTTCTACCACTGATCCCCATCCAGCACTCAAGAGAAACTCAGCTTCCTCTCTTACACCATGATCCTTCACGGAGGCGAAACTTCTTATGGGCTCATGAAGGTTTTCTCCTTCAAAGTGAAGCAGACATTTCCTCTTCCACCCCTCACATGGAATGCAGCTTAGATGACTCCAGCTCCCTGGAACCACTGCTCACAAATCAACAGAAGTTCAAATGCCCAGTGGCCAAGGACTCACCATTCTTTCTCCAGGTGGATGGACCAGTCTGCCACACTGTAGCCAACCCAAGAGCACAGCTGTCCTCAGAGTTGGTAAGTTCAAAATGAGCCAGGCAAGGAGAAGCCAAGTCAGGCTCCTGTGGTTCTGGTTCTTTAAGGGGCCACAAAGCAGCAGCCCAGCGCCACCAAGGTCCATTTGAGCAAAGCAAACTTTGACTCGGCTCCTGTAGGACGTTGTTACCCTCTCAAGATTCTCTCCATGGAGGGGCTGTTTACTCAGTCATCTCACTAACCAGGTGCCACTAGCCTGGCTCCAGCAAAGCCAACCTGAGAGGCTACTCAAGGGGAAAGAAAACCCCTAGAATTTAGCTACTAGCTGTTCACTCATTCCTTCACGACACATTCATTCAGTGATTATCTACTGCACAAGTGCTGTGCACCAAACACTGTTCTAGGCACAGGAGCATGGCAGCAGACTGGATAGTCATGTCTTCTTGGAACTTTAATATAAATAAACACACGCTGTAGGGTAGAAACCAAAGCAAGGGAGCCAAGGGGGTAAGGAGCGATGTTGGGGAGAGGTGGTACTCAGGGAGGTGACCAGGGTGGGAACAGCAGCATTTACTGTGTAAGCTCTGGAAGCAGGCAGGGTAAAGAATGAAACAGCAGTCCTGGTGCCCTGTCCCCTGCTTTGCCACTCACCAGGGTGATGGCCCAGAAGACTCCTCTGGCTGTGGATGTCGCCCAGCCATGGCTTGGACCCTTGCCCAAACTCCCTGAACAAGGTGGGGGCAGTCACAGTCGCTCCTGAATGGGGAAGCAGAAAAGCACTGAGTGCCTGGTCCAGGTCACATGCTAAGGCGGGCTTGGCTGGAATGTCCCTCCATGTCGTAAGGTCACAGGTACAGTAGGAAAGCAGGAGTTAGGTGGTATAGCCCAGTGGTTTGGAAACTCAGGGACCCATGAGACCCCTAAGGGAATGGGGGAGAAGGGTTGGGTGAAAGCAATGAGGGAAATTGGCAAGGCTCAAAACTGTGGAACCAGACAGAGGCTCACGACCCTAATGCTGATGTGCAAATGAGGAAACCAGGCCGGGTGTGGGGACTGTGACAACATAGAGGATTTTATCCTGCAGAAGGGGGACAGCAACTACACAGCTCCAGACGTCCATCTCCAGGGTCACAGGCTCAGCACTGCCACATTGTCCTCTTTGTCAAGAGAAGCCAGAAAACTACATTTTTATATGAAGACTCCCAATGGCCAAATATTGGCAACTTTATTTAACTTTTTTTGTGGTACTGGGGAATCAAACAAATCCAGGCATGTTCTATTGCTGAGCTAGTTTATTATTTTGAGATAAGGTTTTGCTAGGTTGACCAGGCTGACTTCAAACTTGCAATCCTTCTGCCTCAGCCTCTTGAGTAGGTGAGATTACAGGCCTGGCATTACATAAATATTTTAAAGACAATTAAATGCAGTGAAAGTCAAAGCAATATTTAAAAATCTGGAAAATTCCAAAATGTGAGATACTCAAGAGGAAGGTGAAGATGTGCATATTCAGATGAGGTGACGATTGTGAAAGACGGAGGGTTAAATAAGTGCTCTACATCTGATTTGCTTCTTCTCTTTGAATTTTGAAGGACATACACACCCTAAGCAAAACAAAGTGAAACTCCAGTCTATGAGCCAAATCTAGTCCATGCACTGTGACTTTGCAACTTCTGGCTTCTGTTGCTCTCAAGCCTTGTTTAGCAAGCACAATCATTAAAGCAACCCAGAGATGTCCCTCCCCATCCAGAAAGCTGAACCTGCTGCTCTTTCAAGGCTTCATTCTTCTGCATGGAGTAAGAAAGGCATGGGAGACATGTAATTAGCAAACATGGGTTGAATACTTCTCCAAAAAGCCTGGTACCAGAAGTCTCAGATTTTGGAATACTATACTTGCAAACACTTTACTGGTTTAGCATCTTTAATCAGAAAAGCTCCTAAATCCTAAACTTTTCAGTACGGATGACTCTCAAAGGTTTTGGGCTTTGAGCCAGGCATGGTAGCACACAATGGTAATCCCAGTTTTCTGGGAGGCGAATCAGGAAGATCAAACGTTCAAGCCCAGCTTGGATAATTTAACAACTTAGTGCAATCCTGTCTCAAAACAAAAAATGCTTTGCACTTTGGGGCATTTCTGACTTGATGCTGAATTTATAGAACATGAATGTGCACTGTTGTTGACACCCCTTCCAAGTTTACTTGCAAGCTGTAAGTGGCACAGGGTTCTTGCTTCCCCATAATTCAGCTCTATTATATTAGGAGTCTGACTGAAGCCTATGTGACTAATGGGCCTATCAGATGGCAGGGGTAGGTGAGCACAGTCCCCCCACCCCCCGAATGGCTGTAGCAGAGACCTGAATGCTGGTCTGCGAAGCTTCAGGGCCCTGTTTGAGATAACGCTGCAGCTGAGGACAGTGTGACTCCAACTAAATTCCCTTCCCTGAATTATGGCCTCCCTCACTGATCTGATGGGTTATTTATGACCCAGTCCTGGTCTCCCTTTGTTTCTTCTGTAAGAATGCATTGCCTCCCTTTTACAGCCTTGCCTGTGATAACTGCTATCACCATATGCCTCATATACTATCACCAAATGACTCACATATACCCTGCCGTATTGCTTCCCACCCTTGTAATTAATAAATACTGGAAGTCTTGGGTACCTTTTGTCTCTGCTGCCCAGATCAGCTCAGATAATCCCAGATCCTTTTTTTTTGTACCAGGGATTCAATGAAGGACCTTGCGCTTGCTAGGCAGGTGTGGTGCCACTGAGCTACATCCCTGGTCTCCCCACCGCCCCACTGGGGATCAAACTCAGGACCTTGCGTTTGTGAGGCAGGCGCAGTGCCACTGAGCTGAGCTAAACATCCCTCCATTTCTGTGTCTTTCTTTCTTTTGCCTTGCATTGTATTGCCTTGCAGGAGACTGGGACTTTCGGAAAGGTCTCAATAGTGCACACATATTGAAAGACAACTATCTCTGTCCTCAGTACAAAGTCTACTACAGAAGAGGGAAAAGGGCATTTAAGAATAGGAGAGACTAAAGATAATGTATCTACATTTGTACAAAGTTTTAAACCATTTTACATCATTAAATCTCTATGATAATCCTCAGAAGGAAATGAGTCTTTAAAAGGCCAAAAGCACTAAGGTATCCATTGTCAGAGCTGGGAGAGAGATTAGACCTCTGCATAGAGTCAGAGGCCCTTTTTGCCACTGCTCACTTCCTCTGGGGACCTGTAACCTCCACAGCTCACAGGTGGAGGTTTCCCACTAGACATCTAGGATCTCCCAGGGCACCCAGGATCTCCCAAGGCATCCAGGAGTCAGACCACAAGGTCTGGCTCTGATTGACAAGGTCAATCCTTGGCCAGCTGCATTTTCTTTTTCTTTGTTTGTTTTTTTTGGTACCAGGGATTGAACTCGGGTCCTTGCGCTTGCAAGGCAGGCCACCAAACCGCTGAGCTAAATCCCCAGCCCCAGCTGCATTTTCTTATCATCGGTCACTTTAAAGGGAAAAGGAGTGAATTTGCATACAATTAAGTTAGGTATGAGATTGAGAAGATTGGCCATGTAAAGATGCCTAGAAAACTGTTAGGATTCTGGAAACTTCTCTGGCATATCCTAGCCCAGATTAGGTTGGGGATGCCAATCTGGATGGAGCATGGTGGAGACAGCAGGAGTCCATACCCTGAGGTGCCACCAGCTTGTCAGAGCCACAGAGGTCCTTCTGCTGCTGACTCAGCAGCATCCATTCCTCCTGGAGCAAGTACACCGTGATGTCATCAAATGTCACTGGAGCCTGCAAGGAAAAATGACACTGCTGAGTACTACCTTTACCTGGGGTTTGTCTTCTGCAGAGAGTTTACAACCACTGAGCACCCCAATGCTGAGGAGCAGGGTGGGGTGGGTGGAGAAATTACCAATCTGCATGCGTGTCCTTCACCCCATCTGTCTGACTGCGTGCAAAGCAAGGAAGGATGAACTCTTCCTCCTACACTGCAGCAAAACCAAGCAGTGAAGGAGGCTGACCCAAGAATAGCCAGTTCTCTTTCCATGTTCCCTTCACCTGCTGTCCCACCACATTCGTGCTTCTTAGCCAGTGGCTCAGCAGGAGAATGGCAGGTTGAGGTCCAGGCTGGGCAGTTAGCAATACTCTGAGATCATTTCAAAAGAAAAAGGACTGGTGCGGTAGCTCAGTGTGAGGTCTTGGGTACAATTCCCAGTACGGGGTGGGGGAGAATAAAAAAGTCAGATAAGGAGACAATGGCAATAGAATTTAGAAAAGATGAAAAAGTCATATCAGCAGATTCAAGAAAATCAAATCCTCAGCTGACAGTGGGCAAGGCTAAGAAAAAAACTCAAGATATAGCACTAAATTCTCAAAAGGTCAGAATCTGCCAGCACAGGAAACCTCTGGCCTTGAGGTCAGGCAGACAGGCTGACATGGTAAGGACTAGGACAAAGCTAATTCTCTCCAAAGTCCCTTATCTAGAGCTTCTGAGGTGACAAACCCTTCCCTGGCATCTGCAGACCTTCCAGCTCCTTGTCTGGCTTCCACTGATAAACTGGACCACCAGACTCCTGAGGGGAGCTCTAATGAGGGACCAGAAAGACCAAAAGGGATGGGGCTGTGGACCAAGGCATGGAGGAAGGCATGGAGAAGAAAATTTAAAAGCAATTATCACCCTAGCACTGTGGCACAGACCTATAATATCAGCTCTCTGGGAAGCTGAGGGAGAAGGATTTCAAGTTCAAATCCAGCCTAGATAATTTAGTGATTTAGTGAGACCCAGTCTTTAAAAATAAGGGTGGGGGAGAGCCGGGGTGTGGTGGTGCACGCCTGTAATCCCAGCACCCTGGAGACCGTGGCAGAGAATTGCTACAAATTCGAGACCAGCCTGGGCTACCTAGTAAGATCCAGGTCAGTCTCAACTGCGCAGTGAGACCCTGTCTCAAAAAAAACCTAAATAAATAAGTAAATAAATAGAAGGGGGGCACTGGGGATATAGTTTAGCATGAAGGCCCTGGGTTCAATCCCTGGTGATAAAGCAGCGCAATGATCATTAATAATCTCAGGTAGAGGGGTAAGATATTAAGGACATGAAAGAAAGTCATAAAACAGAAAAAGAAAAACATTGTTCTATCTGCTTTTATTTATAATGATGTACTGGGGATTAAAACCCAATACATCCTCACTCAGGTGTCCCCTTGAGGCAGGGTCTCCCTAAATTGCCCAGGCTGGGCTCAAATCCCATCCTCCTCTCCCAGGCTCCCAGAGTGCTGGAATTATAGATGTGTGACACTGCCTCCAGTTCTGTCTATTTTTTGTTTGTTTGTTTAAACCGGGGATCAAATTTGAGGACCTTGTGCTTGTCAGGCAGGTGCAGCACCATTGTGCTAAATCCCCGGCCCTCTGTTCACTCTTTTTAATTGTTTATCACACAAAAAAAAGAAAAAAATAACATTTTGGGGGCCAGAAATTTGGCTCACTGGCACCAGCGCAATGTGCTAAGTTTGATTCCCAGTACCCCCCTAAAAAAAGACATTTTGGAAATGGCAGCATGCCATTTAAAATAGATGAAACAGCTACTTTAATAAGTGTTTGAGAAAATAACTTGATAGATGAAATACGTATTTTAACTTTATTAAATGCTTGAGAAAAACTATATATTTTTAAATCAATTTCTATTATAAATTCAAAAGCAATTTGATTATTTTTCTCAGGCATCAATACCATTTACTACAGAAAATTTAGACAATAAAACAAATATTTTAGCCGGGCGTGGTGGCCACTCCTGTAATCCCAGCACTTCGGAGGCTGAGGCAAGAGGATTGCTGAGAGTTTGAGACCAGCCTGGGCTACATAGTGAGTTCCAGGTCACTCTCAACTACATAGTGAGACCCTGTCTCAAAAAACCCCCCAAAAAAACAAAAAAAAACCCAAATATTTTAAGGTCACCTATATTCTCAACACTGAAACAGACTTGCTATTAACATTTGCTACATAATCTCCCAGTGTTTTGTGGCACTGTATTGAGCAATGTATTCTTTAAATAACTGGGGTTCTATGCAAGGCTGGTCCCAGGGCAACAGCTGCACACCAGGACCAGAGGGTGGCCTGTTCTGTGTGGGATAGGCTACAAACTTGTGGCCAAGGCCAACAGGCCTCCCACAAGCACCTTCCTATCAGAGCGAGCGGTCAGAGAAGGAAGGCCAAGGAAGGTCACCTTGCTACAGACTGGAGATCTGGATGAGAAAGATGTTTTCCCAACAACAGTAATCACTCTTAACACCTGGTGCCCTCTTAAACCACATTACGGTGGTGGCAGGAGCCTTCTGCTTTGGGTGACTGTAGTATCTGCGGGATGAGAGGAATTTCTTATCTATGCAGAGTGAAGGGAGTATCTCTGGAAATTTAGTGGTCCCCACTGTCTATAGGGTAAAGGTCTTTGGTCTGAACCCACCCCTTACCCTGTTGTGCTGGAGTCTCTTCCCAGCCAGATTAGCATCTCCGCAATCACCCCACCTTGCATCTCTCCTCTCTCCACATCCCAGAGTTAGATCCCTGACTGCCCATTTCCTCCCACTACTTGAGGCCTGTGCACATTCCATCTTTCACCCCAACCACCCAGTCGCAGCACTTCTCCTTTCCCAGCTAGGAAGGCTTTATTTCCCCTTCTAGTCCTGGGCATTTGGGAAACCAAAGGCAACTGCCTTATTTTACATCCTCTTCAGCACCACTCTCCACCACACGGCACAGAAATAATTTGATAGGCATTTAATTCACTTTCATTTGACATACTTTTTTATTTCTATGCATTTGTTACAAGATGATCCGAAGAGATAAAAAGAAATTAAAATCAGGCAGACTCAAATCTGTCAAGTAGTGACAGACAAGCATGATATAAGTACAACATGGAACTGATTTCAAAGACAAATGCTGGGTGTGGTCGTGCACGCCTATTATCACAGCACACTGAGAGGCTGAGGCAGGAGGACTGCACAAGTTCAAACTCAGCCTGGACCACTAGCAATTTAAGAGACTGTCTCAATATTAAAAAAAAAAAAAAAAAAAAAAAAAAGAAGCAGGGGATGTAGCTCAGTACAAAGGCTGGAAAGGAAAAAAAAGAGAAGGGAGGAAAGATCACATTTATAGGAATGACTAGAGAGGGTTAGGAAGCAGAGATGTTGAAACAGTAAGTATGTACGTAAGGAAGTGCAGTCAATTCCTCCTTTAACAACTGAGTCAAGGTCCTGTGACTAAGATGTTCAATGAGTTGGTTGCTAAATGAGGGAACTGTATGCAGTATGTACACTACAATATTCAGAACAAAGAAATGAGCAAACTCCAACCTTTGCTTTTATTTGCATAACTTCTACATGCAATACTGTAATGTATAAGAGAACATAAGACCGTAGCACTATACTGTATAGGACAACCAGCAAAACTTCGGACTGTACTGCAGAAGAAGCCACAAGGCTACACTGCTGCTCATATTTCTGCAAGTCTAAATGGCAGCTTGTAGGTCTGAACAGTCAAACAGGTGGGTTGTTAAGTGAAGAATGTCTGTACATATATAGACTCCTGTGTATGGCCAACACCACAGCTGCCCAGGAAGACACAGGAGATGCTATTTCATGCCTTGCAGCAAAAGGACTCCTGTATTTATTGCTTTAATGCTATTTTATGAGCCATTTTTTCAAAAATACTTCCTTCAAACCTACTAAATATCAGGTGCTAGGGGCTGGGGATTTAGCTCATTGGTTCCGTTGCCTGCCTTGCAAGTGCAAGGTCCTGAGTTGGATACCCGGTACTGGGGGAAAAAACACACACACACACACCTAAACACACAAAAAAAACATAAATATCAGGTGCTGATCTACCATCCTTTATTCTACACAGAATAAAGTCAACAAACATGTAAATAAATGTGAGAATTCAGTATAGTGACCAGAGCTGGAAAGAAAATAAAACAGGATAATGGGGGAAGTATCTGACATCTATCCATTATCCCACCAATGATAGGCAAGATATTCCACATGCAATATAATGTCCAAGATTGCTTTTAGTTAATAAATAGCACAAAACAGCACCTAAGGAAGATTCTAGTAATAGACCACACTACCACTTTAAGAGGATCCCCATCTCCTTGCTCAGAGTTCAAAACATCTGCATTCAGTTCAGGCCTTCACCTTGTTACTTGTTTACAATACATCTTACACTGCCAGAGGGTTTTGCAACCATTTTATTTCATTTCTGGTTAACATTCTCATTTCCCAGGGGAAAACAGATGTCCTTGGAAGGGTAAGCAACTTTTGGTGACTCTCCACCATCAACACTGGACTCAAGGGTGAAAGATCCAGTCCCCAGTTTTCAGTTAGAGGTCAGGCCCAAAAAGGACATCAAATTCTTTCTCCAGTTCCCAAAATATTCATATATGCTCTTCTCCTGTTAAAGGATAATGAACAGAATAGCTTGAAAATCAACCTCAACTCATTCATTCCAATTTTGACAGCAATTTTTCCTTCCTTCTTCTTTCTAAAATGGGATCTCACTAAGTTGCCCAGGATGATCCCAACGACTAGGGCTCAAATGATCCTCCTGCCTCAACCTCGAGGGCTGGCATGTGCCATCATGCCTGTTTTGCCTATTTTTATTATAACTCTTCTTCCCCCTACCTTTTGCTCCTGCTCATCCAATTCAGGTTCAATGTAACCTGGGGATACTACCTAAAGGTAGAGGCATTTCCTCTATTTCTTTGTATTTCCATAGTGCTTAACATTAGACCAACAAATAGTTTGTTTTCCATCTTTCTGTACATCCTGTTGAGCTTTATTGTCTTGGCCTGGGTACTCTGTAGGTTGTTGGGCATCATTGAAGCTTGTGGAGGGAAGAGGGGATGCAAGAAATGCTTAAGCAGGAACAGCTGCTTTCATAAACCAGAGGCCACCCCAGGAAAATCTATGGCACCAGATGTGGGACCTTTGCGGGTATCCAAGTGAAGAGGCACTGCAGGAGAGCTCCTTAAGCGCCATGGTCATGGTCCATTCCTATTTATTCTTATATTGCCAGCTTTGTGCTGAATGCAAATCACAAAGCACAAATGTTTATAAAGTGGACAACCCTTTTTTATTTTTGAGACTCAATAAGTACATGAAAAAGTTTCTTGTGAGAGTTCCTTTTGTGTCAAAGAATAAATACTACAAGCATCAGCCGAAAGGGCTGGAGATGGAGCTTAGTGGTAGAACATTCTCGAGGCCCTGGATCCCCAGTTTAACCTCCCATCCCAAAAAAGAATTGGCTACCACAAACATCCAGAAAGATCTTAATCCCAAGAGATTCCCCACAGCCTCCACATCTTTGCTGACTCTGCCTAGTACTCCAACCACCCTGGGCAACAATTTTTTTGTTGTTGTTTTTTAGTACCAGGGATCGAACTCAGGTCCTTGCGCTTGCAAGGCAGGCAGAGGTACCGCTGAGCTAAATCCACAGCTGGGCAACAATTTTGAACTAATCCTTTTTCCATCTCATCTTCCAACTTGAAACTTCTTCTTAGTCAAAGTCTAAAGCAAATTTGCAGAATACGCTTTGAAGCAAAGCCTAGAAGCTTCTACAAAGTACCGAACCCAGAAACGCATGTAGGCAAGAAATATGTTTGTGGCTTCTCTTCTTTTTAGCCCTTTCTTGGGAAGGGGGATGTGGGCAGGGTTAGACTTTCACCCCTCCTCTGATCCTACCGTTTGGCTCCCTGCCTCAAAGCCTTAGTACAAGCTGGGCCTCCTCAAAACCACTACAGTGGTAGCAAGGAACCAGGAACATTGGGCGGGTCCCCCACCCTCAGGAGGCAGCCCCTTTCTGGAGGGCAAGGCGGGGCACGAGCAGAGCAGGGAAGAGGATGCCAAATCCAGGGCGCCGGCGGGCGGGCGAGCCCTTTCCTGCAAGGCTGGGTTGTGCCCCGCCTCGCCCGAGCCCCAGTAGGGGATCAGCGGGAGGGGCGTGGACCGCCCACGGGCCCTTTCAGTCCTACCTTCCCCGACTCCCTGCGCTCCATGGCCCCGCTTTCGCGGCCCGTGCTGTGCCCTACCCCCGCGGCCTGGCCTGAGGATGCTGCGGCCGCGACCCACTGGGGCACCTGGGCTCCCAGAGGAGAAGGCGCCCTGGTGGGGAGGGAGCGGGGCGGGAAGCTTCGCTCTCGCGCTCGTCGGGGGGCAGTAGTGTTCTCCCAGCTTGCAGAGCCGCTGAGTTGGGACTAGCGTCGTGGGAGCAAGCAGCTTTACGGCAGCCACCTCCCCGAGGCCACGGGGCATCACGGGTAGCGTAGTCCAACCTGTGACAGAGGCTCTGGAAGCTGCTATTGGCTCCCCGCAATGCGGGACTCTGACTGGACACCAAGCCGCTTGCTTTGGACCCTTCCCGCCTCCATTTTGGATGGTTACTAGGCAACCTCCCGGAGGGCCTGCTCAAGACTCCGCTGTAAGGGCGGAGCGCCTTGATTGGTTTGTGCCAACTTCAATCTCTAAGATTCTAGGTTTTATTTAGCCAAGGAAGGCTATGCTTCTCTTACATTCGTTTTAAAAAACATTGTCATTGCTTACTTGCCATGTGCCAGGCAGTGTGCTAGGTTTGGGGAATGCGCAGTTTAATGAGACAAAGCCCTTACCTTCAAGGAACTCATAATTTATTGGGGGGGGCCGAGCAAAAAACAGAACATTACAAAATAGAGACAAGTGTAGTGAAAGAGGTAAGTACAAGACACCATCTGTCTTCTCAGAGTGAGGTGCTGGGGAGATATAGGATTGTTAGTCAAGGATTCCCTGAGGCAATGGTGCCTGAACTGAATTGAGAGATAGGAATTAGCCTGGTAAAGGAGGTGCTATGGGCTGAATTGTGTCCCCCTCCAGATTTATATGTTGAAGTTCCAACAAGATGACATTTGGAGGTGGAGCTTTTGGAAAGTAATTGAATTTAGATGAGGAGAGGTTAGTGCCTTTAAGAGAAGAGACATTATTAGAGTTCTTTTTCTCCACCAAGTGAGGACACAGTGGGAAGGTGGCCTTGGTAAACCAAGAAGAGAACCCAGACTATAATCTGGTAACAATAGGAGAGATAAAGTGAGGTATCAGTACTGTTTGGGGACTTGGATTTTCTAGGTATTGCGAGAAGGATTTAAAGTTATAAGAAATCAGCTGGGGGCAACCCACTTTCCAGTCCCCCTTCAATCTCTCTTAGAAGCTTTCTTTCCCCAATAAGTTTTTTCTACTCTTAACTTCCGTTGTTCCTAGAATTCATTCTTCAATTTTAGAGAACATGAGCTCGTGTTTTGGATGTCTAGCAGGTTAGAGAGTTACATCTCTTCCCCATTTTGGAGGTCTTCCACTCAGATTACTGGTTGGAGCCCTGCCCCTAGGAAATAATGCAGTTCTCAACAGGGTTTGGTTCAAGGCACTTCCCTCTGTGACTGCTGGATTTCAAGACAAAGCTTCCAGAATAGGATTCAACTACTAGAACAACCATGGTTGATAGGAAATAACAGCCCTTCTAATTGTGCTTCAAAGTGCTTAATGTCCAGACAAAATTATAATAGTTAAGCTCACTGCTTCTACTGTAATACTGTCACTGATCTTCTCTCCTAGGTGTTCAACAACTAAAGTTTGGAGACCAAAACTAGAAAGGTAACTGGGCTATGAAGATAGCCAATATTTTGTCCCTGGCTCCTCAAGGTCTACAAGATCCAGGACACACAGAAACCTTTCCTGCAGGATTCTACATCTTTGTTTTGTTTATTCTTGCCCAGAGGCTGCCAAACTCTAAGCAGTCACAAATGGAACCAATGACAAATGTGCTAGAGATTTCTTTTACCAGGATCCACCAGGTCGACCTTGTAAACAGCTAATAACTGCTAAACTATACAATATGACTTCTATGTTGGATTCTGCAGTCCCCTGGACCTTCTTATCCGCTTTGTGGGTTTTATTCTTATCAGTCCTGCTGACCTTATAATTCTTGACTATTTCTTGACTTTGTCTCCCCCAGACTTAAAAGTTATGCAGCTACCAAGATGATGGTCAATACCTGATGCTTATTGAAGAACTTCAGATAGACCTGAGCTAAAGTGACTCCATGCTAATAGGCCAGAGACTGTGCTTCTTCATATGCTAATTGCTAACTTGGTTAACAGCCTGCCCAGGGGCAAATGGTATGACAAAAGGTGACCATAAAACATTTCCTGCAGAAGATAAGCAATGTGTTTGGAATCTTGTCCCCAGGATAGTTCTGTAAATGCCCTGACTTTTTGTTTAGAAAAACCCTATAAAAAGGACCTCAGCCCCTGAGCAGTTGCCTCTCAGAGCTACTTGGCTCCAGGAGTGCCATCTGGCCAGACTAATAAAGGTCTCTTTACCATCTAACCTGGTGTGTTCCTTCCTGGGTGACTCTCATTCCTCCATTAAGCTCCTGGAGCCTCACTGAGGTATAGGTCCCAGCATCGTGGAGGCCCTTTTGGCTGTTTATGGCTTCCGGAAGTAAGGCCCTGGGTCTTATATCTGGAGCCATCCTTGGGCTGTAGGACTCAGTGTTGTGGAGGCCTTTCAGCTGTTCACACTCCGCAGAGTGGAAGTGAGACTTTAGGTCTTACAGACCCTCTGTAGAGTTAACTCTAACTGCTGATCACAACTACAACTCTCTTCAGCTGGAAGTAGCCAGAGTTGTCTTCGTCCTTTGCCCCCTCACAACAGTTAGGGGTACTTCTTGGGAGGGGTGGATATGACAGATAGGTAAGTTAAGTAGACACCTTATAGGCAATTAGACAGGGCTGCCCTCAAGGAGCCAACACTAAGGAGCCAACATGGAGGACAGTCAGGACACATTCACTGAAGGCCAGAATTGCAAAAGGAGAGAAACTACTACACCTTTGTGCTTCCCCTGGGGATAAATAGCGTCTGATATTTTAAATAGGTTTCAATCACCTGTGTTGGGGGCCAAGGTCTTAACAGAGCCTTTCCAGGAAATATCCCTGACCCCAACCATTACTGAAAATCATTGTGTGCTTGCTATGTGACCTGCTCCCTCATTGACCCCCATTTAATCATTGTTACCTGGTGACTGTACTTGTAGTCTTATTGGTTGGTCATGGTTTGCCCAACCTCATGCCCATCTTGTAATTTTCCACTGGGTCTTATAGTTTTGTCCCACTTTGTATTTGCTTCACCACATGGCTTGGCTGTATAAAACATCTTTGAGGGCCAGGGATTTAGCTCAGTGGTGGCCTGCCTTGCAAGCGCAAGGACCTGAGTTCAATCCCCAGTACCAAAAATAAATACACACATAAATAAATAAATAAATAAAACATCTTTGAAAAGTGGGGCGGGTGGGCGACCCACTTTCTGGTCCCGCTTCTGTCTCTCTTAGAAGCTTTCTTTCCCTCAATAAAATTTTCCTACTCTAAAGAAAGAAAAAGAAAGCTATCAGAGCAGTTCTTCCATGCTAGTCAAGAAATACGTAAGCACAGGATGATGGATTTAGAAAATGGACCCATATGCTGGAGGACCACGAAGAAAACACCCAGGAGAGGTAAAGTTAACCAGATGGGGCCTGGAAGGGTAGGAAAATCAGAGAGTCCAAAAGGATTTGTAGGAAAGAATGGTTTGAAATTGAATATGCTCAGTGGTAGTCCTTTCAGGAATCTCATTGATTTGGGGAGACGGTGCTCTCATTTAGAGTTTTACAACAATTCAAGTCTCAGTACTCACCCAAGAGTCCCTGTACTGTGTCCAACTCCTGTTAACTAGAGTCTCTCATTTCTCCCTTAAATGTTTATCCCTTTGCAATAGCTGTAGCTGGATGGCACTGTCATTTTAGGGATGTCTGAGGCATATGAGGGAGCAGGAGGGTAATACATAGCATACTGAGCACCAGAGGAGGAGTGTCTGGCCTGGCCCCACCCTCCCCATCTAGGAAGTATAGGCTGAGACAAGGTTGCAGTCCTGGAAGCAATCCCATAGGACAGTGCAGTCAGACTCAAGAAGGAAAGCAGAGAAGAGGAAAAACGTATTTAAGAGTGCGTTTTAGAGATTTTTGCTGTAGGCACTGGGGGATTGATTGCACTTCTGAGAATTGTATAAAATTTCCTGAGGAATGGGAGGCTGGTGCATTTATCTGCAGCTCTCATCTCCCGTGGTTGAGGGTGTCCCCAAATGTGTTAATTATATCACATGTTAGGGAATTGATCATGTTAAAGTATGCTGTGACACCGCCTCACGGGCTGCATTCTCCTGGTACATCTTGGCTCCTAAAATGACCTCATGCCCTTATCTCTGGTTTCCCTGCCCCGCAAGGCCACAGTGGTCCAGGAAAGTTGAAACCTGTGTCTGCAGGACTGGGCCCATAAAAGCAATCTGGCCTGTGATAGGTTAAAAGTAGCTCACTCCTCATAAATAGGCAATAGCCCACCCCAAAACTGATAAAAGGACCTTCCTTTCTTTGTTCTCTCTCCTTCTGCTTCTTCTTCCTCCTCTCTCTCTCTCTCTCTCTTTCTCTCTCTCTCTCTCCTCTCCACCTCCCGGCCTTTGTGCTCCACCTGACTCTCTACAATAAAGATCTCCTGTTGGACCTCTTGGTGCGTGAGTGACCTGATTGGGAAGGGGACACCTTAAGGGGACACGCGAGACCCCTTTCATCACATCCTTGCATTTATACTTCTGGCCCTGCTTGTGCAAAGGCCAATTGGACTCTCTGTGTCAAAAACAAAATAAAAAACCCTGGGCAGAAAGCAAAAGAAACTTGAAAAAAAAAAAAAATGTTCAGCATCATTAGTCATTGACATTAAAGAAATATAAATCAAAATGAAATAAATCTGATGTAGAAAGTTAAATATTATATGGTTTATCTTATGTGAGAAATGAAATATAAATAATTTAAAGAGCAAAATAAAAGAGGAAACAAAGATAAGCCTTTTGCAAAATAGAAGGTGATCTAGAGATGAAAGAAGGAGAGGGAAAGGGAAGTAAAAGTGGTTAAGATGTGATACGTATATGTACCAACTACCCCATGATGAATGTATCTATCCATTTATGTATCACAAACATATTAATAAGGAAATATAAATCAAAATCTCAACAACGCCCTATTTTACATCCATTTTTTTTTTCAAAAAAAGATATAAAAACAAGTGTCGATGATGTGGAAAAATCAAAACCTTTGGGCATTACTAGTAAGAATCCAAAATAGTACAGCTGCTTTGGAAACCAGTTTGGTAGTTTCTTTAAAAAGTTAAGTACAGCCGGGGATTTAGCTCAGCGGTTTGGTGGCCTGCCTTGCAAGCGCAAGGACCCAAGTTCAATCCCCGGTACCTAAAAAAATATAAATAAAAAGTTAAGTATAAATTTACTGTAGCGGGCCAGGGATTTAGCTCAGTGGTTCCACTGCCTGCCTTGCAAGTGTAAGACCTAAAGTCTCACTTCCAGTCCTCGGACTGTGAACAGTCGAAAGGCCTCCATGATGCTGGGACCTGTACCTCAGCGAGGCTCCAGGAGCTTGATGGAGGATCACCAGGAGAGGAACACACCAATTAGAAGACCTTTATTAGTCTGGCCAGATAGCACTCCCGGAGCCAAGTAGCTCAGGGAGGCAACTGCTCAGGGGCTGAGGTTGTTTTATAGGGTTTTTCTAAACAAAAAAGTTCAAATTTAGGTCAGGGCATTCACAGAACTACCAGGGGATACATTCCAAACACACTGCTTATTTTATGCAGGAAATGTTTTATGGTCATCTTTTGTCATACCATTTGTCCCTGGGTGGGCTATTAACCAAGTTAGCAATTAGCATATGAAAGTTTGAGCAGATCTTTCTTGATGTTTGATAAGGAGGGGGAAAGCACAGTCTCTGTGGCCCATTAGCAGGCCAGCATGGAGTCACTCTAGCTCAGTCAGGTCCCACACAAGCACAAGGACCAGAGCTCAATTCCTGGTACAAAAAAAAATTACTGTAGGACCCAGCAATTCCACTCCTAGGTATAACATACCCAAAAGAAATGAAAATATATGTCCAGAGAAAGACCTGTACAAAAATGTTTAAAATAGCTTTATTCATAATACACACACACAAAAGAAAAAAAAAAAGAAAGAAAGAAAGAAAAGAGAAAAGAAAAGGGGAAAACAACCTGAATGTCCATCATCTAGGATATGGGTAGACAAAGTGTGGCTTTTTTTTTTTTTTTTTTTTTTTGTCTGGTACCGGAGATTGAACTTGGGTCTTTGCGCTTGCAAGGCAGGCCACCAAACCGCTGAGCTAAATCCCCAGCCAGTGGCATATTTTTTTAACAGATTAGTATTTAGTAACAGCAAGGAACTAGATAATATTATATGCTATAATATGAATGAACCTCAAAATTATCAGCTTAATTACATGAAATGTCCATAAAAGGTAAATCTACTTTCATGGAAAGCACTTAGTGGTTGCCTGGGGCTGGAAATGGGAAAGGTTGACTACAAATGGGCATGAAATGATGGAAACGTTCTAAAATTGAACTGTAGTGATGTTTGTGCAATTTTATTTACTTTCTGTAAATGTCATTGAAATGTAATCTTAAATGCTGTACAAAGCAGAAGCTTTGACCTCAGTCTGAGCTTCTATGAATGTCTCCATCACACAGCAGCTGAAGTCCCACTGAGTTAGGATATGACTAGGACACAAGAGATATCCAGCACAAGAGGCCTTTAGACTTTGCATTCACCCCTGTCTGGACACAGAGGAGTAAACCGAAGTCTGATGATGGGAAGGGACTAGCCCAGGTCCATCAGCCATGAAGGCCATGATGAATCCAGGGTGGATTCACAGAGTTCCTGAGGGGATGAAGTCCTTGCAGTCCAGATAGGGCCCAGACCCACCCTTTCTCCCGTTTTTTGCTGGGCCGCAGGACAGAGACTCTACACGTGGAGTGGCTGCAGTTACTTTATTTGGGACATGCTAATGTCAGGCATGGATTTCAGGTCTGGGACAGGTGGGTGAGTACTGAAGGAGCTGATCAGTGTGAGGAGCCCTATGGACACAGAAGGACAGCAATGGTCACACCCAGCAGAGCCTGTCAGCACTTTGAGAAATCGCCTCCTAAGGGACAAAAGCCAGGGGAGATCAGCTGGCAAGAAAGGCATGGCGGTCAGGCCTGGTCAGGCCTGGCGGGGATGGAGGGGCTGAGTAGCAGAGGAGGTTCTCCCGCTGCGCCCCAAAACATCCACACCTTCCTTTAGTTTCTCCCTCATCTGCCAAGTGGGGTGACTTTATGGAGCCTAACCAGATACTTCACACTTGTGCTCCATCCCTCCCTCCCCCCAAACTTGAGCACAGATGCCAACCCTGTTTAAAAGATGAGGTTCCGGGAGTGTGTGTGTGTGTGGGGGGGGTGCTCAGCAAGGAAACAGGTGAGCTGGGTTTTGAACCAGATAAATATATTCCAAACACCCAAGTTTACGTGCGATCGGAGAAGAAATAAACAATGTTGAGGAGAAAGGACTGAATTGCAAAGATTCAAGAAGAGCGGGGACAGGGTGCTTTGAGTGTCTTCCAGACTTGCCCACCAGAGGGTTCCTCCCAAACTGCTGAGAAGCCAAGCCCCAGCTCCGCCCACGCCCAATCAGGCCCTGAACACCCTCGCAGGCCGCGCCCATCGGAGAAGCGCAGTTCCCCCCAACCCTCGTTCCGGCTCAGATCCACCTTGGCAGGCACTGCACTGGCAGCTGTGGATCACGGGCAGCACCGCTGGCTCGGTGTGGCCTTCGGGACAGCGCAGGTGCAGGATCCTTACCGGGCTGTCGGGGTCTAGGCGGTAGCTGCAGCAGTCGCACTGGCTCTGCAGGTAGGGCTCCTGGGCAAGAGGGGTGAGTGAACTGGGGAGGGGCCCCGCGAAGTTTCCAGCTTTCCTTTTAAGGGGCAGGGCTAGATCTCAATGCTCGCCCAGCTGGGTGGAGGGAGGACGGTGTCACCACTCAGTCCCCTACCCCAGCAAGCCCACCTTCTTGAGTCCAGCCCCTACCCACCTATCCATCTGAATAACCAGTAACTGCAGGTTAAAGGAAATGCAGGGGGTGGGGACACCACCTCCTCCTCAGGGTCTTACCAACTAGTTAAAGAGATATTAATAATACATAAAACTGCACAGTTCTGGTCATGCAGTGTGCTGTCTTTCCAGGGCAAGCCCCTTGGGCCCTGTGATTATAGAGTTCCTCTTACAAGTCCCTCAGAGCACTTGAGTTAATTTTATCTATAATTATATTTCTTTTTGTTTGTTTGTTTCTTGAAACTATAATCATATTTCTTATTCTCCTTGGAAACAGGTAATACACTCACACAATGCCAAATTTAAAGACTACATGCAAAAGTTATTCGCTCATATCTCCTATCTGCTTTTCTTCACTTTTTAAACATTGACACAGTGATTTGAGAAGGCATCCGCAGGGGAGGAGCTGTGTGGTGAGTGTTGAGGGCAGCGTCTCTGGAGCCCAGGTGGAAACCATCTGTATCTTCCAGGCCTGGAGAAGCCAGGCAGGCAGAGATAGAAGGAATAGCTTCAGAGTAATGGTGCTCTGAGGAGGGGGCCCTGGGGCTGGTCCCAGGGCTCGATTCCAAGATGCTGGCAGCACAAATCACATCTCTCCTGGCTCAGGGCTAAGACATTCGGGGCAGCACTGAGGCCCTGTGAAGATCCTAAGGAGGAGTGGAGCTTGGCTTCTGGGAAAGCAAGCATGGAGACTCTAGGCCTCTGGACCTCTGGGTCAAGTGTGCACCTTGCTAGGGACCATCCCCCCTCTCGCCCTCAGTGTGGTGGCTCTGGCTACACAGCCAGCCTCCTCCTCTGAGCCTTTCTCTGTGAGGTACACAATGGCCCAGAGGTGTACTCTGGCCATGGTCAAGGCCATAGTGGGTGTAAGCACCACCCTGGTACAAGGCTCTGACTGTCCATAGCCCAGGCCCAAGCGATAGCTCCATGGAGTAGACCATGTCCCTCTTGTCCTCTGGGCTTTGTCCAGGTCACAGCCTGGCCCTCACGGGCCTGAAAGCAGCCCCTGGCTCACCTCAGCCATGACGTTGGTGCTGGATGGGCAGTGCCCACTGCAGTAGCTCACTTCTACCTGGTCCAGGTGGCAGGGCCCCTTGGTAAGGTTGCGAAGCTCAGTGAGGTGCTGGCAGGAGGCTGGCTGCTCCTCTGTTGGGGGAGAGGCAGGTGCTATGGCAAGAGGTGGGATAGGGCAAAAGGGAACACCCCAGACAGGGAGGAACACGTGGGGGACAGAGCCTGGGATGCTGGAGCACGTTGGGTGGGGTGCCAGCTGCTATGATGTAGCTCTGGCTCTCCATGCTCATCCCATAGGGTGGGGAGGTTGGGCACATGCCAGGCTGAAAAGGTGGTTGGGGAGAAGGGCTCAGACTAAGGCACCCAAATACCCTCCATACCGAGAGTCTCCCGGTGGCAAGTGGGACAACAGCTTTCTGGCTTCTGCACCAGGACCTCACCCTGCAGAGGAATCCGTCCCAGATCCAGTCACCCCCAGCCTCACACTGCCCTAGGACCAGCCTCAGAAGAGGACCCCAGGAAGGAAGCAGGGAGCCACCAAGAGGGTCATCAGGCCATGGGGGTTACCTGAGCACAGGTGAGTCGAGGGCAGAGCTGGGTGCAGACACTAGTCCCTCCTAGGCAGTGGCAGCTGTCACAGCCCTCCTGCCATTTGGACCCAGGCTGGGGGCAGGGTGGGAGAGCCTCCTTTTGGTCTCTCCCCATATTCCATGATAGTGTCCCAATCCCCCAGCCCAGGAGCACCCAGCCAGAGTAACGGACTAGGACTTTTGTAGGCAATAGGAATCTCAGGAAGGCCAAGGAGAGTTTGGGTGAGAACAGGGAGTCCAACCCAAGGCCGGAAACTGTCCCTGGAGTGGCCCAGTCCCAACCACTGCAGCACAGCAGATGTGTGTCAGGGGCAGGGGGGAGGGTGCTGTAGAATAGTTCAGTAGCGGGGAGGCCTGGGATCCTGAAGGAGTGGGTGGCAGCAGAAGGGGACATGGTATCTCACCAGGTGAGGACGCCCGAGGTGCCAGCACTCGCAGTGCTCTGCGGGGACGCAGCGGCCTGCCTGGCTGCAGAAGTGTCCTTGCTGGCACACACAGCCCGGGGCCTGCACCACACTGCAGTTGCTCTGAGCCTCTGTGACATTTGTCTCCCGGCATGTCTGCTCGCAGGGTCCCAGCTTCCCCAGGGCCACCTGGTGCCACCTTTCCCCAGAGGGACACTCTGCAGGGAAGACCATCTGCTCCACTCTTGGCCAGCCCTGGATCCAGCCCTGGTCTCTCACCCCACTGGGCATCCCTGGGTCCCTCTTCCTCTTCCCATGCCCTGTGCTCCTATCTCCCACCTCCTCAGATAGCTGTGCCCAGGCCAGTGCTGTCCCCCACATCTCTGCCTTCTCGGGATCAATGTCACATCTAATGGGTGCTGTCTGCCTGACAGAGACCCAGATGTGATCTCTGGTCTCCACCCTCACTCACCAGGTTGGGCGTGCCAGGAGGCTGGCCCTGAATCCACAGAGCCAGCATGCAGAGCTGGGCACAGGGCAAACACCTGGCCCTAGGCTATGCCAGGCCAGGCTCCTCATTTCTGCTAATGCCTCTGGACTTCAGTTTCCTCATCATCAGGAAAGAACTTTCCACTTCCTGGCCTCCTTCATTCCTTTTTTTTTTTTTGTACTTGGGACAGAATTTAGGACCTTGAGCTTTCGAGGCAGGTGGCTGAACCACTGAGCTAAATCCCCAGCTCCTCCTGCATTCCTTGCTCAGTGCATGAACCAAGAACCCAGGGAGCATTGGGCCAGGAGTGCTAGGCCTCCAGGCAGCAAAGGGTCCAAGTGGACAGAAAGGGGCTTCATGAAAGAGGTAGCTTGGTCTCGGTGGTGGACAGAGTCCCCCACCCCTGCTCAGGCCATCCTGGCCTCGGCTTTGGAGGGGCACAGACAGCCAGTCTTACCTGGGCAGTCAGTGAGGGAGCAGCTGAAGGTGCCACCTTGGCAGACACTGAGGAAACAGAAGGGCAGCTCAGAGGCCTTCTGTGACTCCTCTTTTTCTCAGCAGCCCTCCCCATCACCCAGGCACTCACCAATGGGTACAGTTCTGGGTGAACGTGGTCCCTGGGGGCAGCTCCTGAGCCAGCTCTTCAGGGCTCAGGCTGAGCCTCCAGGGCAGGGAGCGCTGGGTGCAGGGGCAAGCGGCAGAGGGCACACACATGCCATTGTACAGCAGCTGAGGCGGGCAGGCTCAGTTACACTCAGATCCCCTGCTCCTCCTGCCTCCCCACCCACCTACTACCCGCACTTGGGACTTGGGACCCTACAGCAGTACCCACCTGCCCTTCAGGGCGGCCATAGCCAGGCTGGCAGGGTTCCCGCACACAGATAGTGCCAGGGTGCAGGTGTGAGCAGAGCCTTGGGCAGGAGGTGGCACAGGTGCTAAGCACTTGCCCAGGAGGGCACTCTGGGGAGCACAGAGACAGTGAGGGGAGCTCCCAGGAAAGAGGCTGCCTCTGACTACCTCCTCTCCCCAAGCCCCATGCCCTCATCTGGGGCAATGGAGAGACAGGCAGGAACACCCCCACCCCAGCCCTGGGCACACACCAGGACAGGGCTGCAGGTTACACTCTTGCTGTTGCTCCGTGTCCTGGGCCTGGCCTGGTGCTGCCCCAGGATGTCCCTTGCAGCTCCGGTGGTGTTTTGAGATGCCCCCACCACACACAGCTGAGCACCTGCTCCAGGCCGACCAAGGTCCCAGGAGTGGGCACTCAAGGTGTGGGCATGCCAGAGACCCATTGATGCAGGCGCTGGGGACAAGTGTGTGCAGTCAGGCCTCAGGCACCAGTCAGGCACACAGAGCTGTGGTGCCCAGAGTGCCCATCACCCTGACCCACCCGTAGCCCCTGGCCCAGGTTACCACCATGGCAGCATACCAGTTGTGGCAATCCAGCTGCACCACTTGGGCTGGAGCCAGCTCCCATGGAGCATTGGCACTGGGGAGGCCACAGTGGCAGGAGGAGATGGGCACGCAGCGCCCATCCTGTACCAGCTGGCCTGGGGGACAGCGGCAGCCTAGGGGTGGAGGTGAGAAGGACAAACAGTATTCAGCACTCCAGTAAGGTGTGTAGGATGGGTTCCTCTGGCAGGCATAGCAGGTACAAAGCTTGGTCTCCACAATGTCTCCCCCTGGCCATACATGAGGTGCCACTCATATGGGCATCACCCAGTAGCCTTATGACACCTATAAGCATCCTCCTGGACAGCAGATCTTTTCATTGCCTCACAAGAGGCAGGGTAAGAGGCCTGGGTGTCCCCAGAAGACCCAGGCCAGGCTGTTGTGTGGCCAGTTACCTAGGCGACAGGGTCCCTGTAGACACTGAACATGGTCCCAGAGGTCGATACAGCTTCAAGGGCACTGGTTGGCACAGTCAAGGGTGAGCACAGTGCCCTGGGTCTCACAGCTCTCTCCTGCAATACAGAAGGTAGGTGTCTGTTTTGGGGATGTGATGGACCCCAGGACAAGGCCCCTCTGCCACTGCACACCCCTTCAGGTGCCATTTGCAATGTTCTAGTCCCTGACCTCCCATGGGTGCTGGGATGTGGTTACCTGGGCAGGACCCCACATTGCAGCTCTTGGTCTGAGCCCTTGCTCCCTGGCAAGCTCTTGAAGAGGACTCCACCTTTCTCCAGCGCAGCTGGAATCCCCCATTGCAGGTCACCTGGCAGGGGCTCCAGAGTCCCCAAGGACTCCACTGGCATGGATCTGGGGAAAATAAGCTGGAGTTCAGTGCTTGGGTGCTCAAGCCCTGCCCCCTGCATATAGACCTCGTGCTGCTTGTTAGGCTCTGAACCTCCTTATTACCAGGGCAGGCTTCAGGGTCAGGGCAGAGGCATTGCTGGCTGAGGGGTGCAGTGCACAGACGAGGGTCTCCAGCCCAGGGCCACCTGGTTTCAGGGTCCAGACAGAGGCGGTGGCGATATTGCTCTAAAGCCAGCAGTGGGGCTGAGGTTGGAGAGAAGCCTGCTGTGTCCAGAGGCCAGAGCTCCTCCAGTGTGGCCCTGGAGGCAGGGGCCAAGATGTTTCGGGGCAAGCAGGGCCCACAGGGTGACCACTCAGACCAGTCGCTCAGAGACAGAAGACCTAGGAGGGCAGGGTGTTGGTGCCCTTCCCAGGGTCCCCAAGACCCCAGGGGACAGGCAGAAAAGATGGGTTCGTGACCAGGAAGAGCAGGAAGTAGGAAAGGCTGAGAGAGGTGGGGGGCGGCATAGGGTCTGCCTTGTCTGGGGTTGTCCTGGTTTAATCTCTGAAAATTCCACATCCTAGAAACCCACAGCCCTGGGTAATGGGGGCAGATGTTCCCTAAGCCATTACCTCCACAGCCCTGGCTCATGCATCGCAGCTCTCCGAGTTGGCACTCACTGTGGAGGGAACATCAGGGTGGGCTCTGGGAGAGGCAGGACCCAGCCCAGAGCCGGAGAGGGGGCCAATACGGCATAGCCTGAGCTCTGGGTGTATGAAGGCAAGGTGAAGCAGCTGCAAAGTCTGGCACTTGGGGTCACTGCCCACTGCTGGGGCTGGCCTCAGGGTCTTAGCTTGGCCTTCTCTGCTGGGGTCAGGCTGCCCCCAGGGAGGGCTGACCTGCTCCCTGGCCTCAGCCTCCTGCCTCCCCTTCCCTGCCACTCACCATTCCTTACAGCCCAGCTGCAGATGTTCTCTGGGGGCCAGGGTGACCCCTCCTCCCTCTCTTGAGGTGTGCTGGCAGTTACACTGCTCTGGGGGGACACAGCCCCTTGCCTGTTCCAGCAGCCCCTGGGCAGAAGGTTTCGATTAGGGCTATTTGGTGGTCACTGCCACCCAAATGTCCTGCACTGTGCTGGCCTATAGTGGTGCACATGTGCAATGCCAAGCAGATGGCTGGGCAGAGCACCATCTGGGAGAGTCCTCCCAGCTCCAGTCCTCACCTTGTGACAGTAGCAGCCAGGCTGGCAAGGAGGCAGGTCCTGGCAGAGCTGAAGGCTCTTGTGTGTGGCACAGAGCCCTGCACAGGCAGAGCCGCTGGCCTGGAGCTCAAAGGGAGGTGTGCAGCTCTGCTCTGTGGGAGGGGAGACAGGGTGGTGGGGGATGGCCCGACACCCCCGACCAGAGCACATACTGCATGGCCTCACTGAGGTCCCTTGGGGTCACCTGGTGAGAGCACAAGTCTGCCTCCAGGCACTGTCCCCAGCATGGCACACATTCAGCCCCTGTGTGTCCCCAGGAATGCATTTTAAAATTCAAGTATACATGGCATGTTTTGATCAGCCCTCATCGAAGGGACAAAGCCACTGTAGGGCTGCCTGCTGCCATGTGGGTAAGTTATGAGCAGCTGTGAGAAGAGATTCTGGGGTGGCAACTGGGTACAGATGCAGGGACCAGAGCAGATGCCTGAGGTCCTGGGGGATTGGGTCTACGTGAAGGCACTGCTGCTACCCTCAGCTGCCTGGCTCCTAGTGCCTGGACCTCACCTGAGCAGTTGCCAATGGGGCACGGCCGGAAGTGGCCATCCAGCCGTGTGCAGGGTGCCCCTCAGTAGCTCAGCCAGGTGCTGGTCGCTGGTGGTGATAGCGCTGCTGGACAGGCACCTGGCGGGAGCAGCGTGTGCAGCTGTTCCAGCCACTCCACACACACTCCTCTGGGGACAGGGTAGAGATGTCAGCAGGGTCCCTCTCATCCCCTCAGCCTCTGCCCCATGCTCTCCCCTCTCATCACTGCCCTAGCTAGGACCCTGCACAGGAGGAAGAGGAAAGGGAACCAAGGATTCAGAATGGCCTGCTGGCTAGACTCCTCTGATCCAGCAAGGAAGGCCTCTGAAGAGAAGAGGTGACGGGAGGAGATGGACGAAGCAGAATTCCAGGGGACAGAGTAACGCCGGAGCAAACATTATTCTCTGAATTGCCCAATGTAGGGGAATAGGGGAGTGGAATCAGCCTCCCAGGCACACTTACCCAGGCAGGGCCCTGGGTAACAGGCTTGGGTGTCCAGATGTGTGAAATTGCTGTTGCACGTGGGGTCAGCCTTGGCTACCAGGCAGGGGCAGGACCCAGAGCGGGATGTGAGGCCCAGGCCGCAGGTGTGAGAACAGGGACCCCATGGGCCCCAGGAGCAGATGTCCAGCAACTGCAGACACTGCTGCTGCACGCAGTGCTGAGTCTGGGTGTCAGAGCCCAAGCAGGGTGGCCCCTTGTGGTGAGGGGCTACCACCATGCAGGTCCGGGTGCGGACCTGGTGTCCACTTCCACAGGAGACAGAGCAGTCAGACCAAGGAGACCACAGCATCCAGCCACTGGGCACTGGAGGAGGGCACAGGTGAAATTGAGGGAGTGGGAGTGGGTGGGTAGGAGGAAGACTCAGGGACTCGGGCCAGGACCTTCATGCACAAGGGTGGCAATGGAATGGTGGGAGGACAAAGCAGGACATAGAGTAGATGGCCTGTAAGGCAGGGGCTAGTAGGATGGGCGGAGGTGGGGGTCGGGATGAAACCCAGACCTGAACACTCGGCGTTGTCACAGATCACACCTTCCGGGGTGCAGGAGCTGAGGGAGGAGCCCAGACTCAGGAACCCGTTCTCCAGCTGGACAGCCTGGTCACCATTCCCCACCCTACACTTACCACTGCTGACACTCTCCCTGCAGCCAGCTGTCCCCCAGGCTGCAGGGCTGGGCACCCTGTAGGCACAGGGGTGGGCATGGGGTCTGTGGGCATGGCTGGCTCTGGGACTGCTCCTCTCGGCATTCCGGGGCCCATGAGCTGGATGCGGAGGACCTGGATAATGGGGCCAGGGAGGTGAGGAGCCTCCCAAGCCCTTGTCAGCTCTTATACTGCAGGGGAAACTCAGGGTAGGCCTGGGGATGGCTAAGAAAAGGCCTGGGTGACCTGTGACGAAGCTGGGCCAGGACATTGGGAGAACAAAGTTACTGGTAGAGCAGGGACTTCTGTGTCAGAGAGGGAGACATGCTAGGGTAAAGGGGCCCCTGAGTGGAGAAAGGACATCTCGCCCCACCCAGCCCCATACTGGAAGTGGCTCTGCTGTCCCCTGGGCCCACACGAGTAGCTGCAGGGACTCCAGGCTGACCAGGGGCTCCAGGCACAGTGGGTAGGTGTTGGGCAGGGCAAGGTTGTGCAGGAGAGGTGTCCAGCCCGGCAGGAGCAGTTGTTGCAGGCATCTTGGTGCCAGCTCCCTGGGGCCCAGCTGTGGCCTTGGGCATCTGTGCACTCACAGCACCCAAGTGGCACGCAGCTGCCGTCCTGCTCCAGAGACCCTGTGGGTAGGCGGCCTGTGAAGGCTGGTGCTGACAGCAATGGGCCCACCTGCTATCCTGCTGAGCCCCCATGAGCTGGAAAGGCCTGTGGCACACACCCTCAGGGCACCGGCAGCCTTGCTGGCAGGCCTGGTGGTCCTCACACACCACTCCATCCTGTAGGTCTGAGCAGCGGCAGGGACAGTGGTTGGCACAGTTGACCAGCTCCATCCCTGCTGGGCAGTCTTCCTCTAAGCAGAGGAGAGGTTGGCATCAGGTATGAGGCTCTGATGCCCACCTCCAAGGGCCTCAGTTTCCTCAAATGGCCACTGCAGTAGCTTCGTCTCTATGTCCCAGATGGAGTGAGAGGTGGGGGGTGGCTGTTGCCATTGTCATACCACAGGGCATGGGATTGCAGACCCGGGAGTGGTGCCTCTCTCTGACAACAGGGGTCACCCCCATTTTTGGGTGGGGGGCTCGAGTAGCTCCGGCTCCTCAGCGATCGGCCCCCTCCACAGCTCCGGTCACACCAAGACCAGGGGCTCCAGCGTGACCATCCCCCTGGCACTGTGTCGGAAAGAATAGCTCTGTTGGGTCAGCTTGGGTGGCTCCCACATGCCCTGTGAGCCTCAGCCCAGGTCTGGCAGGAGAGATGGATGTGGCACCCTTGGGCAGCCCGGGTGCCTGGGAAGAAAGTAGATGGTGGGACCTCCAGGGCCATGCCAGGGGAGAGGCTGGGGTGCAGCTGGTCCTCCCTGCCCACCTCACCTGGGCAAGCACACAGGTTGCAGAAGCGGCGCTCCTGGTAAGCAGTAAAGATATCTGAGCACCAATGTCCTCCGGGCCCCGGAGGACGGTATGCTCTTAGGCGACGCTGCTGGCCCACCCCGCAACTGCGGGAGCATGGCTCCCACGGGGCCCAGGAGGTCCAGGAACAGTTCCCACAGCCAGGGTCGGGGCACAGAGGCGTCTCTGCAGGACAAAGCAGAGTGGGAGCTGCACAGGTGCCCCAGTCCTCTCTCCTGCTCCAGCTGGGGCCTCATCCAGATCCCGGCTTCTGGTCCACATCTGACACTGACAGTTGTGTGGCTTTGGATCTGGCCTCAGTATCCTTTTTTCTCATGGCGGACAGTAGTCCCTGACTCATAAGGGCTGTTCAGGGGCTGGGACTCAGCCCTGTGGGGGTGTTAGGCACATATTCAATATGATCAAAAAATACAGTGAACGTTAAATTTTTTTAAAAAAATTACAGTAAAAAACAAGTTGCCATTTATCCCCCTCAAAATATTCCCTCTCACTTGAAACACATTTATCCAGTTACTCTGGCCACTTTCTGAAGCAGGTCTGGAAGTCTTCCATGAGTGTCCTTAGTTGCACTGTTGTGGCTCAATATCTTGAATATATTCAAAACATTTACTTTTTGTGGTCACTTTGACTCTGGGGAAGTGTCACAAACTCACAGTGCTGGATCTGGTGAATAAGGTGGAAGAGGACCACTGTGATGTTTTTACCAGCTTGCCTTTCCACTGGTTTGCACTCGGCAGCAACATTCACTGTATTGTTGATCACACCTTGTAAAGACACTCATGAGAGGGGACTTCTGGAAATGCTTCAGAAAGTGGCAAGAATAATTGGATAAGTATGCTGAAAGTAGGGACAAGGATTCTGAGGGGCATGAATAGCAATATGTCTTTTACTGTAATTTTTAAAATAAAACACTGTGTATTGTGATCACATCTCATACATGCATGAGGACCAAGTGGTCTGCTGGAACTTGGCAGAGCTCCCCCTGGCCCTAGAATCAGACATTGATTTGAGATCAGAAGTCAGAGTTTGCACAATTGCTTGAGGTGTATAGGCTGTGGGGGTTTGGGTCTTGGCCACTGGGTTGGGATGGGGAGGTACCTGTACAGGAGGGTAGGTTGCAGGGACGCTTCTGCGCCGGCTCCCCCACTGTACAGTTAGCCAGGCATGGACGCATGTGGCTGCGCCGTGCAGGGTGAGCAGGGTCTGTGCAGCTGCGGGAGCAGGGGGACCACAGTGACCATGGGCCCCAGCCACCTGGGGAGAGAGGGAGGAGGGACAGAAGTGAAGCTGAGTTGGAGTTGGAGGAGACCCTGGGCTTGCCCTTCCCAAAGGGGGCCATGCAGGAGAGGTATGGGGGTCTAGAGCTACCTGTAAGGGTTGTCACTGGTTCCACTGTGGACCCTTCAGCCCCTGTGCCAAAAGAGAACCCGCTCAGAAATGTTTCCCGGCCTAGTTTGCACCTGGACCGTGCCTAAGGCTGGCAGTTTAATCCCTGGAAGGCTGCTGCTGTCTGGCCCAGCCTTCTTTCAGCTCCATGGTCTTGTGTGGATACTCCAGTCCCAGCCCAGCATTTTCCAGTGGGATCCTCTGCTCAAGCCATTCCTGCTCCCTGGCCTTCCTTCCCTTTCAAGGCTCCTCCATCTTTCAAAGCCCAGAAGAAGCTGCCTCCTCCAGCAAGCCTCCCTGGCCTATTCCCTTAGGAGAATTTCCTTCCCACTCCAACTTCCACAGCACACTCATCTTCCTACAGGGCTTTCCCCATGCTAAAATGGGTTATCTCTGTCCCTGAGTGCCAAGATCAGTGTCTTTGCCCTCCACCCCATCCCACAGTGTGGTGCACCAGGCTGGCTATTCAGAAGGACTTGCTGAATGTACTGGCATAGAAGTCTAGAGTTAGGCAGTGAGAGAGGAAGAACCAGAGATGGTTTCAGGGACAGAAATACACAGGAGGGGATGAGGCAGGCTGAACCAGGTGAATCAGACCCCGCCACTACCATCGTGTGTGCCTTACCAGGGCAGTCTGGGCTAGGGCAGTCCTCCAGGTCCTGTTGGGGCCCCAGGCAGCCCTGGTCACCGGGAGCAGGTGTGGGGTGCACACACTAGCAGGTGTGGGTGCGGGTGCCCAGCTGGCCACAGGAGTGGGGGCATGGGCCCCATGGGCCCCATGGGCCCCAGGGACTGAAGCCGCCCCTAGTCTGGGAGCAGTTGTCCATGGAGCAGGACAGCCTCCCGTGCATGCAGGAGCTGGGCAGAGGGCACAGACATGAGGGGCAGGGCAGAAAGGGGTAAGGAGAGTCGGGACCCAGAAAGAGGGCAAGGACAGTCCCAGTCTCCCCCATACATCCCAGCCCAGTCTCCACCCTAGGAGATGCCCCTTACCAGTTGCTGCAGCCGGTTTGAAACATCTGGCCTGGGCCCAACTCATCTCCATGCCCAAAGTGCTGACTCTCCTCTCCCAGAGAGGATGGGGATGTCCCAGGCTCAGTGCTGGTGGCTCCCAGCTCCTGGAGCACCACAGCTGTCAGCACACAGGGGCACTCCTGGGAGGGGGCAGCAAAATCACACAGGACCTGGTGCCTGTGGGCAGCCTCAGAGATTTGGGGGAGATGTGGGGAAAGGACTCCAGGCCCCACAAGGGCATTTCTGGGTGTAAGCGGGTTGGTGGCCCTTCATCATGGACACAAAGGCACCATGGAGGTGTGTGGAGGCTAGGCCTGAGGAGCCAGCATGATACAGCAGAGGCCCGAAGAGGATTTGGTGAAGGCAGAAAGAGCTCAGCCTGGAAGTGGAGGAGTTAGGATGGTCAAGTTTGAGTCCAGTTCTGCCACTGCCTGTGTGACCTTGCCATCTTTTCCCCTCTCTGGGGTCAGTGTCATCACTGTCTAATTCAAGAACAAGGGACCAGGCAGCTGCTCAGCTCCCTGTGGCCATGATATTCTGGAGGCCACTGAGACGAGGACAGGGATCCCCCAGGCCTGCTGGGTTCAGCAGAGCAGAGCTGGTACCTGCCTGCCATCTACACTTGCAGCAGGAGGTGAGGGGTCATGGGCCAGGCAGAGTGAGGTGAGGAAGCATTTTCCCCACAAGGCATAAGAGGAATAAGAGAGGCAGGGAAGACAGGGAGTCAAGCCTAAGCGGGGGGAGCCTTGGAGGACAGGCAGGAAACTGCTCTTGGCTGCCAGGTTGGCTGAGTTTTGAGCCACCACTCAGGATGGTGCAGGTATGCAAGCCCTTGTGGGCATTGCTGAGCCAGGAGTTGGGGTGGTGGGAACCAGGCACTGTCTGAGCAAGACAAGTGGTCCCTATTTCCAGGAACCAGGGGCATCGCATCACCCACACTGCCCACTCTAGTCCTCTACCTCTCCTTGCCCTGACGCTGGCAAGGAACAGCCAAGACAGCTGTATAGGCCTGGGCACTGCTTAGGGTCATGTGAGGAAGGGGTCAGCTATCCAGATGCAACACGTCCCTGGAGGATGTGATGGGCTGCCAGGTGAGAGGCAGGGCATGGTGTGGCTGAGTTCTGACCTGGACACAGGCTGAGCGGTGCTGGAAGGTACCCTTGGGACAGTGGCAGCCCTCCTCGCAGCCACTGCAGAAGCAGGCCACCTGGCCCATGACATGGGCACAGGAGAAGAGGCATCCCTCAGTGGGTTGGCACTCACAGTACAGACAGCCAGCTGGGCAGCCTACCTCTAAGGCAACACCCATATCAGTGCCCAGCTCCTCCTGCCCACTCTGTGCCCACCTTTTCTGTCAGTGCCCCTCCCTGGGCAGTGTCCCTCCCACAGGCTCCCCTGAACCCTGGCTGCTTCCTTCTTTCCTTACTCATCACTGATGAAGAAAGGGGAAGGTGGGCAGAAGGGGAAGGAGAGGACCAAGGCTGCCACGGGACTCAAAGCTTGTGGCAGGGTCCAGCACAGAAGCCTGCAGACTCTCACCTCTGCAGACCTGGGTGTGGCAGGTACAGCTCTGCCGGGCCAGTCCAGCGCAGGGGGGTGGGGGGGCAGAGCCAGGAGCGCAGCTGCTCCCCTCCCCCACAAGAAACACTGCAGTCCTCCCAGGGGCCCCAGGACCCCCACACGCCAGCGCCAGGGCAGCTGGGTAACTCCTGGCACTTCAGGATGCCTGCCACACAGGTGCTGAGGACAAGGGAGGGGCTTCAGAGATGCCCTGGCCTACTCCCGGGAGGGCACTCCTGTCCAGCTCCATTCAAAGTCCCCTTTGCTTACCAGTTGTCACATAGCCCAGTCACCACCTCTCCAGGTTCCAGACTCTCCCAGGAGCTGAGCCCAGATCCTACTGACCGGCTGTAGTTCTCAGGGACTCCTGAAGGGTGCAGGAATGAGGGTTGGGGGGTGACTCTGGACAGCTTAGCAGCCCCATGAATCTCTCCTACACCCTTGCCTTCCTGAACGTCACCTCACGGGCCCATCTCAGAGAAGGGAAGTGGAAGGAAGCTTTAACCTGGACCAGCCTGGGATGTCGGGGAACATGGGGGATACAGGGGGTTGTAGAGGTCTCCCATTCCCATCCTGCAGGGCCAGGCAGGGTTCCAAGGGCCAGAGAGGTACTAACCCATGGCTCCAGGCTGATATTGGCAGCGGCAGTGGGCTGGGAGTACACAGAACCCGTCCTGGGCGAGCTGGCCTAGGGGACATCTGCAGCTGGGCTGGCAGCCCATTGGACCTGGCTGACACACACTCCCAGGGGACAAATCCTGGCAGGAGCGGGGGCAAGGCTGTCCACAGGGCAGTAGATCCTGACCACCTCCACAGTCTAAGGCAGGAAGGAAGCAGAAAAGGTAAGTGCTGGAAGCTTCCTGGCAGGCCCACTACTTATGCCAACCTGCCACCCTGCCCATGGAGAGTGACTTGGTATGGATGAATGTACAGGGGTCAGAGGTCAGCGTTAGGGTCTCTCTAGATTTACAAGGCTCTCCAGGCCCCACTCGAAGCCCCCACCTGTGCACTTTGTGGAATTGTTCTGACATGGGTGACTCTGCTCATGGGCCCCAGGGCACGGCCTGCCTCCCTCAGAACTGGGTGGCTGGGTGCACACTCGCCTCCAGTGGGACTGCCCCAGGCACATGTCGCAGGAAGACCATGGTCCCAAGGACTCCAGCCTCCACCCACTGTCCAGGAAGACAGAAGAACATATATCTCAGGAGTCCCAGAATATCGAGGCTGGGACAGACATTACGGGGATGGCACAGGCCTCAAATGGGCATCACACCTGGGCATGCGGTGGAGCTGGGGCAGGGTTCCCTCTGATGCTGGGCTCCGGTCTCCCCAGGGCATGGGGCACCACCGTGCTGAGGGGTGGGACAGGCACAGGCTCTGCTGCGGCTCCTTGCCTGCCCTCTGCAGGGTTGGGAGCATGCTGTCCACTTTGACCATGGGCACCAGCTTCCGGGCACTGTGAGGAAAGTAAGGCGCTGGATATAGGTGATCTTTTCTCTGCCCTGGCCCCTCAGTGACCTCAAGGCCATTTCTCTTCCCCTCCCTGCAAGCTGGCTCATACCTGGACAGGGCAGGTCTGTGCAATTGAGCCTCCCCTCCAAGCAGGTGCTGGGCAACATGTACAGACATAGGAAGATGAGGCAGCAGCTCAGTGCTACCTGGGCCCCATGTGCAGCCTCCTGACTGCCTCTCCCTTCCTCCCCCCATTGTCAGGTCTGGGCCTGTTCCCCTGCTTCAGCACCCCAGAGCCTGCTCCCTGCTCCCTGCTCCACTCAGCTGGCTCCGTGGGGATGACACAGCTGGCATAACCAGTGCAAGGACAGATAGTGGGAGCAAACACTGCTCTATCTGTGGCTCATCCAGCCTAGCCCCTCTCCTCCCAGGAGCACATGGCCCAGTCCTCAAAAGACACATGGGGCTGGCTGCCTCGGTTTCCCCACTTATCAGAGCTGGTGGTGCCTACCCCACATTTCTCAGGGATGGTATGTGCATGAGACCCCAGATCTCACATGCACACACTCTAGGTAGGGCCACCCTAGGGCATCCCTGCCTCCTGACACCAAGGCAAGGCCAGCCCACCAGTGGTTGCAGCCATCAGGCCTGGCTAGCTGGGTGCCTGGATGGTACCACTCCCCAGTCAGCAGGTCCAGGCAGCCACAGTGACCAGGCTGCACACAGATGGTTCCATCAGCACTCAACACTTGGCCCAGGGAACAGTAGCAGCCAGGCTGACAGCGCCAAACGCAGTGCTGTGGGGACACAAGGGAGGGCTTTGGTCAGCACCACACAGGGCCTGTGGGGTGTGGGTGGTCAGTGGGGAGCCATACAGCACTATGGAGGGATGCAGAGGGAGGAACTGGAGGGCTTCAGAGGGGGCAAAAACTGTGGCCTTCAGCTCACACGCTTCTGTTTAAAACAGTTTATGCTTGAAGTTTTGTTAAGAAAGGCAGAAAGGGAGCCAGGCTTGGTGGTGCATGATTGGAATCCCAGCCAGAACTCAGAAGGCTGAGGCAGGAGGGTCACCGTGAGTTGGAGTCCCTGCAGCTGCAGCTGTGATGTGGGCATTCAGTGACACTTCTGGACAGTCAATTGTATGCTGGTTCCCGGGGTGGGGGCAGTAGGGGCAGTAGGGGCAAGGAGAAGCTTAAGGACAACAGCCAGGTGTGCTCTAACCCTCTGTCCCCTCCCTCCACTCCTCAGGGCTCATAGGGCCCCACCCCACCAATGTGCCTGGCCCCAGTAGGGATGATGGGGTCATGCCTGGGCACAGTGGGGGGCTGCAGGGCTCCTCCTGGCTCGCCTCTCCTTGGCAGGTGTCCCTGGGGCTGAGGCAGAACCGGAAACGTCGTTGCCATCCAGGGCTCCCTCCAGGGACAAGGCAGCTCTGTGAGCAGGGGGACCAGGGTGTCCAGAGTGTCCAGCCCAATTCCTCTGCAGGAGACACAGTAGGTCTATTGCTTGGGGCCAGAGAGGCCAGCAGGCCAGGGAGGGCTCATGAGGATGAGAGGTACCACGCTAGGCTCAGGAGTGGCCTCTGTCCCCTCAGCTGGCTGGGACCCCTATGCTTCAGCCCACTTCTCACACTTGGGATGGCAGTAGGGATGCCTCCCTGCCCCTGTCCCAGTCAGTGTACTGTATCACCTCCTGCAGATACCTGCTCTTCCCAGCCCAGCCTGCTTGCACAGCTAGGCCACAAGCATCTTCATGAGAGCATGCCTCCATCCCCCCAAAGCCCATCCACCAAGGCCAGTTCAAAGGTTGCCCCCCGCCTGTGGTGGCTTTGCTGACTACACTCCTAGGGCGCCTCAGGGTCCCTTCCTGCAGTGCCCATAGGGCCAGGCACAGGGAGGGGGAGGTGGGCTTCTGCCATACCTGTCTCACACTGTGTGGCAGGCCTGCAGCTCCTGACTGTCACCCTCACAGGGGGCTCCTCCGAAAGCAGCAGGAGGGTTGGAGGGAGACCTGAGGAGAAAAGCAGCCTTGGGAACCTTGTCCTCCTGTCTTCCCCTGCCCCAAACTCTGAGCCTCCTTCCTCTCCATTCTCCTGCTGTCTTTGCCTGGCACACCTGAACCTGGCCTTCATTCCAGGGCCACAGGATTGGTCACAGAGAGCCCAGGGGGACCAGGCTGACCAGCCGCAAGGCTGGGGGCAGTCACTTGGTTCACACTGCAATGCACCCTTCTCACATATGCTGTGAGGGAGAGGACAAAGAGCCATCAGGACCAGGAAGCCTGGCGCAGCACCCTCCATGCCCTGTGCCTTCCCGGCCAAGCACCCTCACCAGCGGCTGCAGTTGTCCATCAGGAAGGATGACCCTGGCTGCCTCAGCTCTTCACCCACAAGGCAAGGGCACTCAGAGAGAGACAGGCAGTGAGAGTCATAGAGGAGGAGCCCCGGGGGACAGCGGCATCCTGGCATTGGCGGGGGGGAAGGTTGGTGTCCAAGGACAGGTGGCCTGGGTGGGCACCCCTTCTACTCACCGCTCCAGTCTGCCTCACCCTCCACACACTGTCCAGTGCAGCTCCTGTTGGCCTCGGAATCCAGGCAGGAGGGTGGACACAGGGGCACCAGCCCCTCCTGGCACAGCTCTGCATTCACATACACATGGCTCTGCTCACAGTCTGGGGGAAGAAGGCCACCTTGTGGGGTAAGTGCAGGGATGCTCCGAGAGCTGCCTGTGCCCAGCATCCTCTTACCTGTGTCACCTGTACAGGGCTGCAAGCCGCAGGGCACCATCTCCTGGGACGTCCCAGGGCAGGGGGCACCACCATTCTTGGGTGGGGGGTCCACACAGCTCCTTTGGCGGCTCCGGTGGCCACCCCCACAGGAGACGCTGCAGGGGCTCCACATCTCCCACTCTGCCCACGCTCCAGCCACTGTGGGGGAACGGAGAGCAGGAATCCAGCAGAGAGGCCGGAGGAGACACGTTATCCTGGAGAGAGGGTAGCTGATAGCGCAGCACAGAGCCCTGTAGCTTCCTCCTCTGTCCAGGACACCTCTGTCTCCCAGCTGTAAGAACCTGGAAAAGGACCTGTTAAAGCCTCCCAGGAAAAAAGCTCTGCACCCTATGAGGACCAGTGTCCGTGCAAACCCTGGAACACACAGTCTGGTACAGCGTGTGAAAGAAAGCAGCCAGGTGGTTTTGGGAGGCAGATGTGAGGTGCCAAGGAGAGCCCCCTTGTGAGAAGCCCCCCTCTGGAATGCATAGAGGTGAGTGGGTCCACCCCCTCAGATTCACAGGACTAAAGGGCTGCAAAGTTTTTGGTGAGGAGCCCAGGGCAAGTGGAACAACCAGGTGATCCTTGAGTCTAGCTCCCAACCCTCACTGATCTCCGCCTATGGAGGCTCTTCCATCCTCCATCCACCCATCCATCTATCCATCCATCCATCCATCCATCCATTCACTCATCTACCCATCCACCTATTTATCTATCCTCTATTTACTCATCCATCACCCATCCATCTACTCACCTACCCATCCATCCTTTTATCCATCGATCCATCCATTTATCCATCCACCCACCATTTGTCCATTGATCCATCCATCTCTCCATCTTTCCATTTTCTACCCATCCACAACCCATCCATCCATCTTCCCAGATTGCCTCCCTCCATCTTCCATCCCTCTGATGTGGGCTGACCAGGGTTCCCAGTTTCCAGGAGAGATCTAGCACATGGTGGTGGGGCTCATTTGGGTAGGCAGGAGAGCCTGTAGAGGACTGGGGGTCTGGCTACCTGGGCAGGCCTGCACAAAGCAGGGCTGGCTGCGCAACTGGTCCATCAAGCAGCTGCCCATAGGCAAGGGAGGACGCAGCTGCTTCCGGTGCTGGAAGGAGAGGCCCAGGCCACAGCTGCGGCTGCAGCCACTCCAGCCAGACCAAGGTGAGGTATGCAGTCCACTGAGGGGACAGATAGGTAGGACTCAGAGAGAGCTCATGGAAGTGTGGGTCCTACAAGGCTGTCCTCTGCCCAGGCAGCACATACCACAGCCATCCTCGTCTGAGCCATCCTGGCAGTCTGGGTGCAGGTCGCACCTCTGCTCAGCTGGCAGACACTCCCCACTGCCACAGTGCAGCTGGCTCAGGGAGCAGAGGGCCCTTGAGGCCGGCAGCCCAGGCAGCACTGTGGTGGGCACCGTGAAGAGCTCTGTGCTCACTGCCCACAAGGTTTGGAAGAGAAGAAGGGAGGCACACGAGTCATAAACTGAGCCCCTTTAACCTGGCCAGAGGCCTGGCCTCCCCTTCCTCCTAGTGCCTCCACTACCTACCACTATCATGGGTGAGGCCTACATAGATCTTTTGGTATACACAGGACTTACATAGTCTCTATACTCATTAAAGTCTCTTGCAGTGTCCAGTGAGGAGTCAGAACACTAGAAAATTAGTTTACTCCCTTGATTATTCTCCTCCTGAATGGGTACTCCCTAGGATGCCCCTTCCTGTGACTGGTTATTGCTTGATTCTTATCCTGATTGCTTTGATCACAACAACCTGCTTTGGATGGATGGTTGGATGGATGGGTGGATGGATGGATGATGAATGCATCAATGGATAAATAGTAGGTGGGTAGGTGGATAGATGGATGAATGATTGGAGGAGTGAATGGATGGATCAATGGATAAATGGATGGATGAGTGGATGAGTGAGTAGATGAATAAATGTACAGTTAGATGGAGGTTGGGTGGATGGGTAGATATATGGATGTAGTGGGTAGATGGATACAGATATGGGTGCATCAATGGATAAATGGTAGGTGAATGGATGGATGGGTGGGTGGGTGAGTGAATGGATCAGTGGGTAAATGGATGGATGGGTGGATGGATGGATGAGTGGATGGATGGATGAGTAGATGAATCACCTCAAAGATCAGACAGATTTTATAAGCAGGCTGAGACCCAATTCCTATTCCATTCCCCTTCTTCATCATCTCTGAAGACACTCACCTTCCTAATTGTTTTCATACTTTCAGTTTCTCTCCACTCTCTGGTACCCTTTCTTCCTCCAGATGAATTTCACATGAGCTAGAAATAGCCACAGGGACCTCCAGACCTGAAGCTCTCTTGCCACTCCGCATACCTGACACAGGCCCTCTGCTTACCACAGTGCCACTCATCAGAGCTATCCAGGCAGTCCTCCTTCCCATCGCAGAGCTGTGCCCTTTCCACACAGCCTAGCACCTTGCAGGCCACCTGCCCAGGGCTACACCTCACAGGTGGGAAGGGCTTGGGGGCGACGCTGTGGCCTGTGGGTGAATGAATGGGTGGGTGGATGAATAGATGAACATTGGCATCCCACAGCCAGATGACCAGGGATCTTCCTTCCTCCCTGGTCACCTCCAGGTAGCCCCCAACTTCCTGCCTCTTGGCATCTGGGGTGCCCTCTTGGGATGATGGAAATGGAGTGAACTGGGTCAAGAAACTTGGGACCTGGGCCTGATTCTACCAAAAATGTCCTTAAAGGGCCAGGGATGTAGCTCAATGGCACAGTGCCTGCCTGGCAAGCACGAGGTACTGAGTTCAATCCCCAGTACCACCCCCCGCCCAAATGGCCTTAAGAAGCATGACCTTGACCAATCTCCTAGGGCTCTATGCCTTCACTGAGAAGCTGGGCTCATAGGCTTGCATGTAGCAGGACTTGGGATCTTACCAGCAGGAGTCACCGGCATCAGTGGATGTGGGGGGAGCATGGTCACAGCTGCTATTCCTGGCTGCAGGCTTATGGCCCCAAGGTGGCGTGTAGATGCAGTGGCCATGGTCTGCATGGGTTCCCCAGAATGCAGGTGGGGAGACTCAGAGGCTTCAACAGGACTCTCTGGCCTCTCTTCTGTGGGTGGAAGAGGAAGTGAGTTGATGCTGCCAGCTCTCCTTGCCATGAGAAGCAGTGATACAGATCCTGGAGAGGGTATCCTGGGCTTCTGGTGGCAAAGACAACACTGCAATGTCCAAGGGCCATCAGAGGATTTGAGCCTATGGGATGTCACTGCCTGTGTCCTGGAATGGCAGGGAGTGTGCCAGGTTCAGGGATTTGGGGAGGAGGCTGGAGCTTGTGCACATACCTTCAGGAGGTGTGGGGGACCTCTGCTTGGCATGCCAATATCCAGTCTCTGCCGAAGCCTGCAGAGGGACAAGGCTCAGCCACCCAGCATGACCCAGGGAGGCTCTGCAAAGTCCCTCACCATTCCTGCCTTCTGGAAATGTGTGGGGAGGGGCTGAGCACTAAGCACAGCTCTGCAGGTGAGCTGGGCTGCTTTCTCCAGGATGCATACCCCAAGTCACTGGTCCACATCCTCAAGGGGCTCCAGGCTGCTCCCCAATGAAAAGGGCCCACCCCGCTTCTTCATGTTACAGATGTCCCTGCCACCCCAATTACTCAAGCCATGTCTGGATGCTCTGGAGATCCCTGACACCTTGCTCTTCTAGGTTCTGAGAGTAGTTGCCAGGGACCTGCCCTGTCAGGCCTCTTGTCTTCCAAACTCCTCCATCCTGGTGCCCTGCCCTGTGCTTCTCTGCACCTTGTTTTTCCTTGGGTCCCCAGCCTCTCACTAGCACTGACCTGCACCCTAGAAGGCTCTCAGTAAGTCCTGTGAGAGTAGCACCAGGGAACACAAATGGAGGAAATGAGAGAAGAGGGCAATGGTGGTAGCAGCCCTGGTGAGGCAGTGAGGCCTGGGCCCTTCCCTGTACCCATAACTCTGTGCCCACCCTGGTGCTTCCTGCTCACCTCCCAGGCCTGGGTGGAAGAGAGGGCTATGGTCCTGGCTGTGGGATGGACTCTGGGAAGAGAAATTGCCAAGGAGGTTCCAGGGGTCTCCCAGCCCCAGGGGTCCCATCCAGGAAGGGGTCGGGGTCTCTGGGCCAGAGTGGAAAATCCAGGAAGGACACATCCCACTAGGGCTGCACAAAGGTGATTTCCAAACGAGGCTGTCAGCTTGCTTGTGTGTTGGGATCACCAGGGTGGTGTGTGAAGCACACCTGCAGGGCCCTCAACGTGGGCCAGGCAGAGCCAGGTGCTGGTGCTGCTGGGCCAGGGCCCCACTTCAAGAACCACTGAACTGCAGATGCTATCGGAAGGTGCAGGGGCCCAGAAGCCCACAGCAGAACAGAGATGCCCTAGGCCTGTGGGCTCCACAGGCCCTGGGGATACTTCCCATGTGGCTTTTCCCTCTAAGTCCAGGCAGAAATTAAGCCATACCCGCCAGTCCCCACGGGTGAGGGCCCACAGCCCTCCTCATCAGAGCTGTCCTCGCAGTCTGCAGCTCCATCGCATGGGGCCCCACTTGGGGCACACTTCCCGCTGGCACAGCGGAGCCCGGATCCTGGGCACTGGGATGCCATCAGGGACACTGCGTGGCAGGGAGGGTGCTGCTCAGGACTCCTTTCATCCCCTTGCCCACTTCCACCCTACCCCAGCCCAGCCTTACCTGGCCCACAGCCCAGCAGCTCTGCCCACTGGAAGATGCTGTGGCCCTCACTGCGGTAGGTAGTATGTGGCCAGACCCTCATGTATCTTGCCTGGACCAGCCGGCCAAATATCCATCCCTTAGGGGCCACATTGGCCTGGCTCCCAGGGAAAGGCTGTGAAACAGGACATCCACTGTGACCCTGCTGTTTGTCCTCCTCTCTGCCCACCCAAGTCCCCTAACCTTCAGGGCACGGACCCTTCTTCCATAGCATCCAGTCCCCCCAGGCTATGGGAGTCTGAACTTGGGTGAAGCTCCTTCCCCTGGGCCAGGTCGTGCCCAACAACTGGCCCACAGCAGGAGCTTCTTAAGCTGTGGACACCTGCATGGACTGAGTCCTCTGCCCCATGGGGCCCATCTCCCTGGGAGGACACCGACCCTGGGACGTCTGCCCAAGGTGACCACTTCAGTGTTTCCCAATGTCCGCTTGGCAGTGGTACGGTTGAGCCTGCTACTTACCAGGAGTTCTTGAGCATCTAATGCTGGGACTATCCCTCCATGAGACTGAAAGGCCCTTGGGAACAAACACTTGGGGACCCACAAAGGGTCACTGGCCCAAAGGCCTTGGGTGTTTGGTACCTTGGGTAGGGGCAGAGTGCCAGGCAGGATGTCACGATAGTCATGCCAGTGTAGACCATCGCTGCTGAACTGGAAGGAGAAACTGGGGACATTAGCATCAGAGGAACGAGTCTCTTGCACCACGATGCCTGGGACAGGTCAGGGCAAGGATAGGGTCAGCACTGAAGGGAACACTTCTGCTCCACCCCATCCTCCTCTTCCTCACTGACCAGAGAGGTTCCGGGGCCACAGTAGGTCCACCTGCAGGTAGGGAGGCTGGGAGTGCCACTCGGCATGAGCATCCTCTTCTGGGCCAGAGGCCTCAGTGGGGACCCCCAGGAGAGCCGCATGGGTGGGGTGCTCCAGCTGCAGGGGTGATGCCTGCAGGATGCCCTTGGGTGGTCGGGCCAGGCCCAGGGGTTAAGAGCAGGAATCTGGGTGCAGGAGAAAGAGGTGGTTGGTGGGCATTGTAACAGAGCACACAGGGGCAGTTAGGAAGCCTCAGGCAGCTGGGGTATAAAGGTCACACAGGTGACCTTGGCCCAGGATGCAGGGATGAGCAGGTGACTTGGGATAAGACAACTTCTGACCCTCAGGTTAACCTCCAGCATGTGGGGCAAGTGTCCTCCCTTGGTCCTGTCTCCTCAGCACCTGGCTCAGCCACCCAGGGCACCATGTCCCTCAGCATCCACTAAAACAGCACGTGGTCTCACCTCCCAGTGGGGGCAGAATGTAGGTGACCAGAGAGGGCCCCATCTGAGGGCTGGAGTCTGGAGCCGGGACTGGAGTGGCCATAAGGCGCACTGTCTGGTTCTCTCCTGTGTGGGGAGACCCAGGGAGACTCAAATCCATCCTGGCTGAGCACATTCTCTCTCATGACTTCCCAGAAACCCCAGGAATAAGCCCCCAGCTGGGAAGGGCACCTCCTCTCCTCAGTGTGAACTGGGGGCTTTCACACCCACTGAACATTTAGAGAACACAATAAAACTTCCAGTCCAAAGCCATTTAGGACCAGGATGGAGCAGGTGCAGTTCCTAACTCAGGGCTGTTGTTGATAATAGTAACCCCTCTGGGCATTAGAAAGCAACTGGCTCTGGATGGAAGCTCCCCCGTGGGCTGGAGTCTTGCTCCCACTCATCAGTTATATTGTGCAGTGAACAACCTGTACCACTGTGTTTGCCTGATGGCCCACTCCTAACCTCACCAATCTGTAGGAACACTTGCAGGATAAGGAAGATGGACCACTCCCAGCTTCCCCAGTTCCTGCTGTATTCTTCTCATCCCTTTGTGGCTCCTGGGACATCCCCCAGACCCACTCACCAGGCAGGGCACAGTGGCAACATGATTCTCCTGCTCCCTCCACCAGGACAAAGCCCTGCAGGACACAGAAGTCAGGCTACCTCTGACCCTGTCTTCCAGCCTCCCAAAGTCTGGCCTCTCCTCTCTCCTCCCAGACCCTGCCTCCCCCAGGCTCCCCAGGAACCTCACCTGGGGGCAGCTGCCTAGAGGGCAGTAGGGGGAGCAGCGCACGGTGCTGAGGTCCAGACACTGGCACACAATGCAGGGGCCCCTGCGCCAGCGCTCCCCCACTTACCACATGTGGCCCTGCTGCTTGTAGCCCCGGCACGGCTCCGTCTGGCACCTGATGACAGAGGGACAGCACCTAGGGTGACCACCCTGCAGAAGTTTGCCCCCTAGGGAGCACACAAGGCACAAAGCTGAAGGGGAAGTCTGGGGCCTCAAGGAGTTCTGGACTTCAGAATGGGAAGGCAGAGAACAGGCCCCGCACTTGGGTCTAGGGCAGATGTGAAGTGCCCATCCTGAGAAGGTCACACAGGAAGCCCCCTCTGTGGTAGTTGGAGGTGGGGGCAGGGTCCCAGTTGCTACCTTCGGGCCTTATGGTGGATGCCTCTGCACTGGCGACCTCTGCCAGCCTGGCGGGGGTTGTTGGGGCTCCGGAAGGACCACTGGATGCTCTGGCTCCCACAGGGGCCCAGGCGCTCAGACCAGGGGGACCAGGAGGACCAGCCACAGTTCACTGAGGGAGGAGAGTCAGGGCCAGGCTGGGGGATGGGCACCTTGCTGGGACCATAGGGAAGGGCCATTGCAGGAGTGCTCACCAGCGCAGTCTGGGTTGGGTCGGCAGCGCCGGGGCCGCCCATCCTGGCAGACACAGAGCTGGCAGTCAACCTTGATTCGCTGCCCAGGCCAGTAGCGGGCACCAGCCACCAGGCAGGGGCACTGCCAGGGCCACACACACTGTTCTTCATTGCCTAGCACCTGCCCTTTAGGGCACCAGCAGCCTGAGGAAGGTCCAGGGCAAGTGTCCATGTGTGGGCGTGACCGCTACAGACCCTGGACCCCGAGCCCCCTCACCTGGGCTGCTGCAGGGCTGCTCAGGTGGGCATACAGCCTGGCCAGAGACATCATCACAGGTCAAAGGGCAGGGGGCACAGGGCCAGAACACCAGCTCCCCAGAGCAGGTGGCATTGGGGCAGCCATCCTGAGGGCAAGGCTCTGCGAGGGAGAGAAACCAGAACCAAGGTCAGGAGTCCGGAGTGGGGGTCTCTGTGCCCTGCAGTGCCCCCAACCCCACCAGGACCCTCTTCCTGTCACTCACTGGTCTCCAGGATGCTGGGAGGGTCCCCAGGCAGCAGGGCACAGGCCTGGCCCCCATTCTGGGGAGGGTGGCACTGCCTTTGCCGCGTCATGGTGCCTCCACACTGCTCAGAGCATGGAGACCAGGGAGACCAGGAGCCCCATTCACCGTCCACTGAGGGGAAGGACCATGTAGGCAGAGAGGGACATGAGGTAGGACTGGGCCCAGCAGTCTCTCTGTTCCCTCTGACCCTGTCTCTCCCTGAGGTCCCCAACCTTCACCTGGGCAGGCCTCGGCAAAGCAGGCCTGAGATTGATGCTCGGGGCCTGGGCAATGCTGCAGCACCGGGAGCCCAGGTGGGGAGCAGCGGCGACTTCGGCTATGCACCCCAGCCCCGCAGGTCTGGCTGCATGGCTCCCACAGGTTCCAGGAGCTCCAGGCCCCACAAGCCTGCTCCTCAGGAGAGGGCCCCGAATCCTTCAGGACCACCTTGCAGTCAGGCTGCCCATCACACACCTGGGAAGGTAACAGGCTCAGGGCTGTTTGGGGTGAGCTCAGGGACACAGCGGCTCTGCCTCCTCCACCCCTGTCCTCACCCTCACCCTCTGGAAGCCAATGCAGATGCCATTAGGGCATGAGTATTCTGGGCAGGGGAACCCTGTTCTGTTGTGACCTGCTGGGGCGGGCAGCGCCTCTGGGAAAGAAGAGAAAACAAGTCAGCAGGAAATGGGAGCCACCCCTAGACCCCAGGGTTGGCCCCAGGAGGAGGACAGTGTCCATACCACAGCCCAGCTCATCCTCACCCTGGAGACAGTCAGGGAACCCATCTCAGAGCTGCTTGGGGTCCAGGCACAGCCAGGGGGTCAGGCCACAGGAGAAGAAGCCCGGACATGGAGGCAGCAGGGTAGAGCCTGTGGGTGGGGAAGAAGGACCTGTGCCCCAAGGTCCCCTCCCCACCAGGGGCTGGCAGGGAGGTCCAGGCACAGGAGGAAGGAGGCAGGTAGGAGGTGGAAATAACACCCCATCAAAGAAACTGGGGCCCCAGGAAGGTCTGCAGATGCCTCCTTTCTAGGGAGGTGATAAGGATCTGAAGGGCTGACTTTGCCAGGCATGGGTGGCAGGGACCTGGGGTGTGCCACTGCCCTCCCTCTAGCCCCTTCTTGCCCCAGTGTGAGCAAAGACAAAAGCCCTTTTCTTCTGTCTCCCATGGGCAGCAACGAAGAGCAAAATGTTTTCTAAGTTTCACAGAACACAGAAGTCCTTCAGACTCTGTTGTCCCCAGATCTGTCACTCTCTAGCTGTGCTCCCAAGCACGCTCAGCAGGGGCAAGGTGGGGTGTCTTGGGGGGTGACTCACCACAGGCCTCGGAACTCTCATCCCAGCCATCCGGGCACTGCGGCTCGCCATCGCACAACTGCCCAGGGGACACACAGTGCACACTGACACAGGCACAGGGCACGAGGTGTGGCGCACAAGGCCACGTGCATCCCAGCTCATCGCTGCCATCCGTGCAGTCCTCCTCCTGGTCACAGCGCCAGCCACGTGGGGTGCACTCGCCACTGCTGCACTTGAACTCTGAGAGGCCGCAGGGGGTTGTGGAGTTGTGGGGAGGGTAGATCTGGGCCACAGGCTCCCCTCCTGCCTAGCCTGGCCTTGGGCCTTGCCTGAGCTGCCCATTCCCTTCAGTCCTTCTCAGAGGTCCTGCTTTCCTCTGCTGCATTAGACCCTCCTGAGCTTGGAGACCTTGAATGCAAGGAAATAAGATTGAGGCCTCAGTGCCTCTCAGATCTCTGTCTCCCTCTCTGTCTCTTTCTCTGTGTCTCTGTCTCTCTTTGTCTCTCTCTCCTTTCCTTCCTTCTTGCAATACTCCTGCCTCAGCCTCCCAGAGTGCTGGGAGTTCCACTTTATTCATTCTAGTCTTTAGCCCCAGGGCCCCACCCAATATCCTCCTCTGAAATGCCCTCCTGTCTCCTGACTTGCGGTGTCAGACTCCCTCTTTAGCCCCTATCTCTGGGAGACTCACCAGGGCTGGCACTACCCAGGGGACTTGGTGCACCTTCCAGGGAGCCCATGGAGGGGGCAGGTGTTGTGCCAGCAGGGGGTGTGGGCAGAGAGGGCAGCAGTCAGTGTCCAGGGCCCTCATCGGCCCCATCTGGGCAGTCCCAGACTCCATCACACAGCTGGAAGGCGTCCACACAGGTACCATCGATGCAGGATTCCTCCCCAGGGTCACACTTCACCTGCCCTGCAGCCAGACAGGAGTAGCTGGTCCAGGACCTGCCCCCATTCTCACTGTCTGGGGTGCTCTTGCCCATGCACTCACTCATGCCAGCTTCATAAGTAGGCCCTGGCAAAGGAGGGGTGTGGGGAGGTTGGGGCTCTCCAGAAGTTGGGCCTGGAGGAAGGGTACGAGGTTGGCTGAGGTCCAGAGCAGAGACAGCTCACCCAGACAGGACTCCTCATCGGCAGCGTCCAGACAGTCAGGGTGCCCGTCACACAGCAGGGCAAGGGGCAGGCAGCGCCCATCAGTGCAGGCCAGTGAGTCAGAGGGGCACTGGCAGCCCTGTTCATCCGTGCTATCACCACAGTCATCCTGGCCATCACAGAGCAAGGCCAGGGGCACACAGTGGCCAGAGTGGCAAGACATGTGGCCCTGCCCACAGCCTGGGTTGGCACAACCTGGCATGGACACTGGGGTTAGAGAGCACCCCCTTCCTGCCCCTCACCCCCTTAGGTCATTGCTCTGGGCAACGGAAACAGCAGCTCAGGAAGCCACCCAGGGGATACTGTCCCTGTCACCACTGCACACAGGCAGAGACACTCACCCTCCTCATCTGAGCCATCGCCGCAGTCATCCTGGTTGTCACAAAGCCACTCATGTGGCACACAGTGCCCACTCTCCTGGCATGGGGCCTCTCCTTCTGCACAGCCAGGCACCAGCTCCTCACAGGGGGCACTGTCACCCCCGCAGTGCCACTGACTGTGCTGGCATGTGCTGAGCACAGTGTCCCTGGGTCAGTCACAGCTGGGCTTGGCTGGCCAGGGGTCTGGGCCCCTCCCGGGGTCCTCACTCACCAGTTCCCACAGTCCTTCTGCAGCACTGTCCCTGGTGGGAAGAAGTTGCCACCCCACTCACAGGGGCAGGCAGCTGGCTCCACACAGGCTCCTCCTGAGGTCACACAACACAGGACTCAGGGCTCAATCCGCTATGATGGATGGTGGCCCTTTCCCAGTCCCATTACCCCATGGCCTCTGACATCCTGACCATATACCGTGCAGCAGAGTCCCCACAGGGCAGAAGCAGCCTTCCACACAGGTGACAGCCTGGCAGTGCCATCTAGGTTCAGCTTGGTGGTCGTGGCAGGTGGGAGGACATGCGGGGCCACAGGCCTCGTATACCTGTCCCCCTTCACACTGCAGGGCTGGGGAGAGAGGAAAGAGTCTGGGCTCACTGAGGTGCAAGGGCATCAGGAAGCAGGGTGAGCAGACCAAAGGTGTGACAGGTGTGTGGTGTGGACCTTGCTGAGCCCATCCTTTGGTGAGGTGGAACACGTCAGGCCCTATAGGGCAGCTGTTCTCACATGTTTGGTTCATCTAGAAAAACATCTAGCAGGCACAAAGCACCACGTATGCATTTGACCTTGGGTGTCATTTAAATATAGAGGGGCAGGGGGTAATCTTCAAGGGGCAGAGTGGAGGTAGGGCTGGGAGCAGGGTGCACTCACGGCAGAGCTCCTGGCTGCGCCAACGCACGTGGTGTCTGTGTCAGGCGCACTCATCTGCATAGGTGGCAATGGCTGAGCAGAGGCACTCACAGTCACCCCCCGAATCACAGCTGTGGGAGGGAGTGGTCAGCCCAGCACCCCCATCCCCTCCTCAGCACCCCGCTGTCCCTACAGCTGGCCCTCCTCACCTGCAGGCGTCGTACACACACCACTCGTAGTGCTGCTGTGGGGGCACCTCTGCGTGGCATGGGGCGAACAGCGGCTATAGCATCACCCCACAGGGGGCCCGGGCCCAGGCTGCCCGGTGGGCATTCACCTGCAGCACAGGGTGCTGTCTGCAGCCCAGGGCCACCCACCAGGCCCCAGAGCTGCCCCACCTCCCGGCCTGCTGTCCCAGCCTCTCTCACGGCACAGGGATGTGGCAGCTCTCCTGGCTCTGAGCACAGGGGATTAAGGCGCCAGGAGTGGGCTGCCAGCTCAGCCGTGGGCTCCAGGACACCTTGGCGGCTCCGCAGATCATTGCTGGTGTTGCCATCAAAGTCTCCACACAGGCCAGCCACACGACCTTGGAAGTGGGGGTACAGCTGGACCAGTACCCGAGTACCTAGTAGTGGCACAGTACAAAATGACCTCACTGGCCCTGAGCATGTCAGGGTGGGGAGAAAACCAGTGGGGGGGCACAACACTGCCCTGCCTTTTGCCCAACAGGGGTTCCTTCCTGCTTTGGGGGATGAGGGGTGATAAATGAAGAGACAGACATCTAGGGGACAGGAAACTCCTCCTGCAGTCCTATCCAGACAGGAATCCTGGCTGAGACCCCTAGCATCAGATCCCTTGCTGGGCCAATTACATAATGGGGTATTTTGGTTTCTCGAAATAGTTTTCACCAATAGTTAAATTTCTAACACATCAACTGCTTATGTTTGGGTAGTGGGATGTTAGGAGATCTATTTTTATTTCTTCTTCCTAAAATTTGGTATTTTCTAAATGTTTCTTGGATGAGGAAGTATTGCTTTCATCGTGATGAAAAACAGAATTATAAAAACAATGTGGAAACTCCAACCACTTGAAGGTTGTGCTGGGAGGCAGGGGCAGCACTGGGACAGGGGTGCCCAGGGGAAGGTAGGAGGGCAGCGGTTCTCATGTAGCTGTCACACTGGAAATTGGCCATATAGGGAATATCAGGGGCCCCCCAAGTTAGGCAGGCCTTGGCAGGGAGGGTTTGGGGGAGTCCAGCCCTGAGGTCAAGTGTGGGTCAGGCCCTCCAAGGCCAGGCCTGACCTCTGTCCCAGAGCAGGGTGAGGCCCAGGTGAGTTGTCAGCAGCAGGAAGAGGCCAGCATGACGCAGGCTGAAGCCAGGGCCTGTGTAGACCTTGGGGAGTCTTACCCTCACCCCATTCACTGTCACTGCCTGGCCTGTGGAGGAAGAGAGGCATCTGAGGGAGAGGGCTCCTGGGTCTAGTGAGTCCCTCTTAGCCCCCTCTTCCCAACTTTTTTTGCTTCTCTACATCTGTGACCTTGGGCAGGTCATTAGACTTCTCTGTGAATTCATTTTCAGAGCCTTCTCAAGGATTATAATTCCCAAATAAAAAGAGAGCTGTCAGCCACACCACACTGTGAGCTGTGATGCACCCCCCACCCTCTGGCATGTCACCAGCTACCTCTGAGCATGTGCACAACGGTGCTCTCCACACGCACGGTCAGCGCCTTGGTGCAGGTGAGGTTGCTGGCCCCGCAGAGCAGGTTCTGAGCTGAGATGCTGAAGTGGCCACCAGTCTCTCGTACCAACAGGTACTCACAGGCCCCAGGGAAGGTGAGGGACAGCCCGTCAAATGTCACATAGTGGGGGGCGCCTGATGCCTGGCACCACCCGCTGCACCGCTGGCCTGTGCAGTGCCATTGCTGGCCCTGGCACACACTGTGAGCAAGGGTTGGGGACAGAGTCTCTGAGGACAGGAATCTGGGAGCTTCACACAGGAACTCACAGCCAGTACAGGTTCAGCAAATCTATCTAGGGCTCGCTCGGCATGGGGGACCCAGGCTATCTGGATGTCCCATCCCTCCAGCCACCCAACCCTTTCCAGCAGAGGACAATATCACACGTGGGGAGCCAGTGGTCACAGGACTGGGCATACCAAATGTTGCAGTCCTCCTGGATGGTGGCATGAGGTGGGTACCACTGCCCACTGTGACGGCAGGGACAGAGGTCAGGAGGTACACAGTGTTCATCCTGGACAAAGGGTGGGGATGATATTTTTGGGCAGCTGAGAGCCCTGGTGTAGGGAGGACCACCCTGTGGCCCACACAATCCCTCCCCAGCCTCACCAGCAACACAGTGCCAGGGGGACAGACACAGCCATCAGAACTGCCTGTCAGGCAGGATTGGTTGACATTAGGGCTGTTGCAGGTGAGGAGGCAGGTGCTGGGGGCATAGACAAGCTCCTGGGGACAGAGGCCTGCTTCAGGGGACAGTGGTCAGCCATGCAGTTCCAGAGGCCCCTCTCCTGGCAGATGCTGCAGGAGGATGGAGGGAATAAGAGCCAGGCCCTGTGGCCTCTGCCTCTAGGCCCCTGGTCTGCCCTGGCCAGAGTCTCAGGAACCTTAGACGCTGAGGACCTGAGCAGCTCACCCCCTATACCCCGGTCAACAGAGCCCACATGCCTGGGACAGGACAGCTAACCCTTGTCTGCCCCAGCTCCAGTGGGGCCATTCTGGAGGTTTTGGAGAGGGATGAAGGTATTGAATCATCCCACACTCCACCCAGGGAGAAGGAGAAGGAACCTCACCTGAACCCACCAAGCTCTGCTTCCCAGCCCTGCCTCCACAGATCTGGTCTTGCCTTTATCTCTCAGCAGCAACCTGTCCAGCCTATCTGAGCCACAGTTTCCTCATCTGCACAGTGGGAGCAATTCACCCACCTCTTATTTCACAGAGTTGTCAGTGTACATGAAAGAGCTTCTTGGACCAGAAAGTGCCCCCCACTGAGGGGAAGGGTCAGCAGCTCCCTGATGTGTGCACAGTCACCCCGCAGCAGCACAGCCCAGTCCCTTCTCTTGCAGGCCCCTCCTTGTCACTCTACATTGTTCCCCTTATCCCAAAGACTGCCACCCTCACCAGTGGTTGCAGTCCTCCTGTGTGACACTGCCAAGGGTGTAGCGACGGGTTCCAAGCTGGCAGATGCACAAGCTGGGGGGCACACACTGGCCCTCAGGGTCCCACAGCAGCCCTGGGGGGCAGTTACAACCAGCCGCACAGCTGCCTAGCTTGTCACAATCTTCTGGCTCCCCACAGTGGTGGCCACATGCTGGGGCACACTCCTGGTACTCCTGGCCACCAGGACAAGGGACAGCTAGACACAGGGATACATGCAAATCAAAGGCATGGCCATACCCCAGACCCTACAACCCTTGTGCTTCCACAAGAAGAGAAGCCCAGAAATCAGAGGCCCTGTCCCCTCCAGCTCCTTCTAGAAGGGGGATTGTATGATTGTGTGTGCCAATATGTGTGTGCTAGGGGATGACTGGGCCAAGAGACTCACAGCAAAGGGTCTGGCTCCTCCAAAGCAGCAGGGCACCCTCCTGGGCACAGCGGCGTGCATAGGCAGAGAGCACTGGGCATAGGCAGTCCCTTCCAGGGGCACAGCCACACATAGCTGCCAAGCAGCGCAGCTGGAAGGGCTCCCTGTCCACCAGCCATGGCATGCCTTGTGGGGAGAGGAAATGGGTCAGATCTTCTAGGGACCTCTATCCCCTTGGTCCCCATCAGTGCCTTCCTATGCCCTGTATCCCTCCCTTGCATTTGTTCCCTTAACTGTACAGGTGTGGGAAGGGCCACCCCAGCTACCTGGAAGACTGGGCTGTACAGGATGGCACAGGCTGCCTCCGCGAAAGCAAGGTGCTGGGAGTGGGTGCTGCAGGGGTAGAGCAGGGCACTGTCCTCTGGAGAGCACCTGCCACTGTCTGCCACCTGGAACTTGCTAGCAAAAGCAGCAATGCTGGTCTCCACATCCCCAGCTGGCATCAGGAAGTCATCCTGCTGGTTCCAGGTGAAGGTGCCACATAGACCTTGTACCTGGGTTGTGGAGAGCATGTGAGATAGTCAAATCTAGTCAAGTCACAGCCTCACCCAGCCCCTCACCCACTTCCTGGCAACCTGGTGGGCGTGGCGGGGATCCAGGGTGATGTAGACTGCAGGGTAGGCCACTCCCCAGAGGACCCAAGCCCCAGGCCAACTTAGCAGCAGGAAGGAGGAGGAGGCTCGGGAGACAATGAGGCCAGCAGTGCCAGTCCAGGGTAAGCCCACATCCTGCACATCCAGCAGCACCGCTCCTGAAATAGGGGCCTGATGTGGGGGGTGGGGTAGCAGGTGGGAGGGTGGAGCTGCAAAATCAAAGGGCTTGGGTGGAAAGTGAGAGGCTCTGGGTCAGGATGGGACCCTGCAGATCCCAACTGAGATGCCCTCTCCCTGGGGCCCAAGGATTCAAATTTGGGTGGGAGAGTTGGAGGGACCATGGCTGAAAGGGGCCTGCCTGGTCTTCCCAAGGCCTTTTGGACCCTCTGAGCTGCACAACTTGTGTGTTTCCCTGAAGACAGGGTGCAAGATGGCTTTGAATATGTCCTCAGGACTGTATGTCTCCCCCCAGAGAGGAGCATGGGGAAATTGAGGTAGTGAGCTTGGCTGCAGGAGTGGTGTCGGGCAGTACAGAGAGTAGGTGCTGTTCAGTGCCAGAGTCCAAAGGGCAAGGGGAAGGAACAGGAGTCATGGCAGGCACTTGCAGGAGATAGAGCTAAGGCTACCTGAGTCCCTGAGTTGGATTTGGGTGTCCTCTAGGGAGATAGAGAGGGCATGGAGGCAGCTCCCAGAGTCACAGGCCCCATGCTCCAGCACCATCAGAAGCTGCTTCCACATGTGGTCCTGGGGCAGAGAGAGGTGGGAGCAGGACAGGTACTCAGGCTCCCTGGGGAGGCCTCTATGAACCTCTTCACCTTGTCCACCTTCTACCTCACCAGGAGGCAGCAACTGCCCATACAGCACTGAGTACTTCCCAGCCAGCCAGACTGTGGGGTAAAGGCTTGACCTTCACCCAGGGCTGGCATGAATGGGTGTGTGTGTGTGTGTGTGTGTGTGTGTGTGTGTGTGTGTGTGCACACGGGTGTTATCACATGATTGTGCGTGCCAAGATGTGCATGTATGCATGTGGAATAGGGTGGACATGCATGTTCATCTATAAACTTGTGATCCAACTTTATAGGGAAGGCTGGTGGGAGGAGGGTCCCTCTGTTCCCTTGGGGTAACTTGTGTGAAGTAGCCAGTTGCAAAGCAAGCCAGGCCCCTCTGTGAAAATGGACTATTTTGCAGCCCAGGAAGAGGTGGGGGCTGATTGGAGACACTCTGCATCGCCCTTCCTGGGCTTTTTCTTTGTGGCTATATATTTCACTTATTTATTGGGTGCAATCCTTACAGGCACCTTCCCCAGGCCTGTACTCTGTCCAGATCCCCTTCTTGGAGTTTGTCCTTTGCCTACCTGCACCAGGATATAACGGCAGCCTGATCCACCCCAGAAGGAGAAGCTCCGTCCATCAAAAGTGAGGTATGCCCATCACCACCCACTGCACACTCAGTGGGGCATGGGGCCTGGACACAATGCCAGCGGCCATCCTGGCACACACTGTGGACACATGGGGTGGGACAGGGCACTGTGGCATCAGCTCCACCCCAGGTAGGAAGGTTGAGTTAGTCTCTTCCTTCCCTTGCACCCCCACCCTCACCTCCATTGGAAAGAGTAGGGGCCAAGGGCTTCAATTGTGCCACGAGAGGTCATGGGCCCTTTGGATGAGGCCAGAATAGGGTGGCCACTGGGGTGAGACAGGCTTTGATGCCCCAGCATAAGTGGAGGAACCCAGAGGAACAATGTGGCTGCCACCCCCAGCAAGGCTTGAGGACTCACCATGGGTTGCACTGCTGGTGCACAGTGTCACCAGGGGCATAGCGCTGGCGCCGATGGTAGCAGGGGCAGTAGGCAGCAGGCACACAGTGGGTGCCATCCCAGAAGAGCCCAGGTGGGCACCCACAGCCACTCACACACTCCTCCCCGCAGGGCCCTTCCTCATCCTGGCCCACCGCAGAGCAGCTGGCTGGGCAGGACGAGATACAGTCAGAGCAGAGCTGGCCTCGCGGGCACAGGCGCTCTAGGGAAACAGGAGTGGGCTGTGAGGGACTCCGCTGGTTCCTACAGAGCTGGAGACCATGGGAGGACCACAGAGGGTGCCCTCAGGAAACTGGGGTCACTTGAAGGTTCTCAATCAGTCCCACAGGGTGGGCAGGCCAGGCTGTACCACAGAAGCTGGGCTTCCTCCAGTGCACATGGATGTGCTGCCTGGCACAGGCCTGGACAAAGTTGGCAAAGGTGGCACCCACAGCCTCCCGCCGGCCCTCTTGACCATGGCCCACCGCAGCTCCTGTGCAGTAGGCAAAGAGGCAGGCCTTGTGGTACTCATCAGGGGGAACCTGCCAAGAAAGGACAGCAAAGACCTTCCTACTGGCTCCTCCACCTCTTGCTCTCATTGTCTTGACTTAAAGCCACACAGCATGAGTGCTGGAAGGGACCTCAGAGATCACACACTAGAGCCATCTTGTCCCCAGAGATAAAGCCCAGGACAGGGAAGAGCTGGCCAATAGCCACTGCAATCTAGTGGCAGGGCCAGGTCACCTATTTGGCACCTCTCTGACCCCTACTCCACACACGTGAGGCTCCCCCACTCTGGAGTGGGTCGCTACCTCCACACTACCCATACCTGAGCATGGCATTGCCTGAATGGACCCTCCAGCAGCTGGTGGCACACATCCTGGACCTCAGCCTGTAGCTGGCCAGCCTCCATGCCTGCCTCTGCACCCTCCACAGGGCCTTCACAGCCCTGGGCTGCCTCCACTGCATCCAGACACCCAGGCTGGGGACAAAAGGAGCCAGGCCAGTGGCCAGTGATGAGTGATGAGGGACATTTGCCACCACTGCCTTCATTGTCATATCCACCAGCCTGCACCCTGGCTGTGGTTGGCAACAAAGTGATAAGGCTGGAGGGGGACAGAGGAGCTGGGCTATAGTCAGACACAGGCAGGGGGTTAGAGGAGCTAATGGACCCCAGCCAGCAGTGACCAGCTCAGTAGAATTGTCCCCTGTGGTCAGTTCACAGAAACAACCAGAACTTTCCATGGAATGTAGGGTCTGCCCACCCACTCTTGAGTCCTGCCCCTGGACAGGGCCTGTACCCTTCAGCCAGGAACATAGGCAGGAGGTGCCCCCAGACAGGCAGGCGGGGCCTAGGATGGCAATCTCACCTCAGAGTCAGGGAGCTTCCAGAAATTCCCAAAGGTGGCAGCCAGCACAGCCAGCCTGCCGCCTGGCTCCATGAAGTCATCTGAGGAGGGGCGGGTGAGGCAGAGGGCTGGACCCAGGTCCTGTCTCTTCTTCCCTCCTCCAGCTCCCAGGCCACAGCCCACCTACCCTCTGGCCGGCCATTGTAGAGTCCACAGAGGCCCTGCGTCTGTTCCTGGAGCTCTTGGTCCATGGAGACCAAGACCAAACTGGACCTGTCCAGCCTCACAACAACCCCTGGACCCCCGGACAGCACCAGCCAGTCCCCTTGCCACTGCAGGATCAGCCCTGAGAAGGGGCAGTCATCAGGCCACTGGTGGGCATATTCCATACCCACCACCACAGGGCTCAAACTGCCTAGGAATTTTCACAGCTCTAGGAGCTCAGCCCTTGTTTTCCTGAGGTGGAGTTGTGGATGCTTTCGAGAGATTAAGCCACAACACACACCACACGCACATACACACAACACAATATACGCAGACCACAGTACACCATACACACACACACACACACCCCATATATACATAGCATATACAGAAGCACACCATACACACACACATACATAACACTATATACATATACACCATTCATATACACACCATACATATATGTACCACCTATACAAATACATATCACATACACCCCATACACACAACACCCTACACACACCATACACACACCACAAGCACCACACAGAAACATATACACACCATACCCACCATATATATATATATATATACACATCACACTATACACACACAAACCACAATTCACATATACCACATATAACACACACACACACACACACACATTCACCCTACTCCTGTGATCTCAGCTGGGATAACACCCCTGTGAGCCAGGTGGGGAAACTGAGGCTCAGGACAGTTAAGCCATGAGACCTACCCAAGGTCTCTTGCTTTGACCAGGCCCAGTCCTCTGGGCTCATCTCAAGGAACCATCCACAGGCCATGGTAGGGGAGGAGCAGCTCTGCCCTTCTCCTGCCCTGGGCAGAAGGGGCTTTCCGGGGAAAGGGCTCTCACCATGGAGCAGTTGTGACTCCCCCTCAGCTATCAGCTGCCCCCTCACAGAGACTGCACTGCCCTGGATGAGCACATCCTCGGAGTCCATCATCACACGGACCTGGGGAGGGCCACAGTGCAATGGGTCAGTGACTTTCCTTTCCTGGATCTAGTCCCCTCCACGGGGCTGTCCCTTCACTCCCTCACCAGCTGGCAGTGCCCAGGCTGGGAGCAGTGGCCTTGGGGCCCCAAGTGGACAGCCCAAGTGGAATCAGCAGCACCCTCCAGCAGGTAGGTGCAGTGGCCCAGGAAGTGGTAGTGGCATCCGTCAAATGTGCGGTAGTGGAAGCCTGACCAGGTGGCGCAAGTGGCTGCGGGTCGCTGGTGCTGCCTCCAGAGCTGGCCCACAGCTCCTGCCAGGGGCTGTAGGAGGGCTGCAGAGGAAGCATCCCCTGGGCAAAACATGTCACATCAGAGTGAGGTTTTCAATGCAGGAGGGAGGACTGAGCTGAGGGCACAGACCTGGCACAGCAGGACAGGGCATGATTGCTCTGGTAGTCAGGGAAGCAGGAAAGACCCCAGAAATGCTTGGAGATCAAGGCCTGGGGAGATGTGGGGGTGACGTCCACGACACGCCTATCTGGAGATGGGGACTGCAGACCCACCTGGAAGGTGTCTGTTGGAGCAACTGAGGCAGACCTGGGAGCTGCTGTTCCACCAGCTGCGTCCCCAGGGCTGGGCACAGCACTCTTCCAGGCTTCCTGAAGAAGTATTAGCTGAGCCTGCCAGAGGCTGGCACTGCCACCTGGAAAAGCACTGGCCATCAGGGCTGGCTTCAGCAAGGGCTGTGGTGGGTGCAGAGAATGGGAGCATGCCCAGCTGTCAGCATAGGAACAACCTAGGATTCTTAACCTAGATGGCTCCCCTAAATCACAGATGGGAGTTACAAATCACAGATACAGGTCTGCCCAGGACCCGAGAAGGGACTGCCGGAATGCCTATGCTTACCATCAGTGCACTGTGTGCCCCCCCAGCCTGGGCAGCAAGCCCTCACTGTCCGGTTCCAGGTGACAGGCTGGGTCTTGGGGGGTCTGCACACACCGAGCAGGAGGAAGCAGGGAGACATGTTAATGTTCAGCCGAGTGCCATCACAGGGAAAGGCCTGGGACCTTTGGGGTCAACATCTCTTTAAGAGTGTATCATGTGATCATGTAATTTACCTCCTCCTGGGCTTAATTTCCCCAAATGCAAAGTAAGAGTCATCACATCTGTTCCTATTCTGCCCACTGTGGTGCCCTCACCCATCCACCCCAAATTCGTACTCTCTGCCCTTCCCCAAGTCCACCAGCCCCTACTTCCCAAATTCCTGCTTGTGCCACATCCTCCCCCATTGCAAGATGTCTGGCCGTCACTCCTTTCCTGCCCACAGACAGCTCAGGCCCTGACCCTCACTCACTTGTAGATGGGGCAGAGCCTAGGTTCTGGGGACCTGGTGAGCCCTGCATGGCCACTCCAAGGTGTGTTCAGACGCCAGCCTAGGAGGCTGTAATGGTAGAGGCTGGTGCAGGGCACCAGGTCCTCCTGATGGGAGGTTACTTACTTCCTCCTCCACGTAGATGATTTCTGTGTGTTCACACCACTGCCTGTCCAGGATAGGGAGCCACAGCTACTACTACCATTCCCTCTGTCCTCAGGAAGCCATTCTCTGACTCCACTCTACCCATAAGAGCTACTTCCCAAGGGAGGTCTCTAAAACAAGGAGGAGGCTAAGGTTGGAGAGAGAAGCACAGCAAGGCAAGGCTGGTACCACACAAGGTTCCTGGGTATCAGCCAGAGGATCTTAGCTGGAAGGGTCCTGGGGTCTTGCTTACCCATTAGCTAGCACCCACAGCATCCCAAAGAGGAAGGCCAGAAGCAGCATGGTGCCCAACCCTCAAGCCACCTTCGGGGGACCTGAGGCTCGGGCTTGAGCAGCGCTGCCACAGTGGAGCCGAGATAATGCCAGACTGTCCCGTAGCTTGGATGCCAGTCTGTCCAAGGCTGGGCCCTGGTGGTGGGGAGGCTTTATCCTGGCCTCACGTTTGGTAGCTACAGCTGCTCAGAACTGGATTGGACCTGCTGACACCCTCCCCTCAGAGGCCAGCTCTCTCTGAAAATGGGCCTCTCTGTCCCTGCTAGTGCGTATGTGTCACTCACAGGGAACCACCACCAGGCACTTTGAGCCTCTGGGGTTCCTGCATGAGCAGGCACTACTGCAAATTAATATGGGGCACTGGGCAAGCTACCTCCCTTTCTGGACTTCTTTCTGACTAGCAAAAACCTCAGGGATTTCCCAGCGTTGCACAGATGGGACTCAGGGACTCCATGAGTTCTTTGAAATTTTGTGTGTACACACTTTTCTAAGGACAGTTTCATAACTTTCATTAGATTCTCAAAGAGAACACCACCAAAAGGTTAAGAGTTACAGGGCTCAACGATGGATGAAAATGACTTTATTATGGTGTTGTTCCTGATCTTTTCCTGCCTCCTCTGTCCCCTCTTTCACCAGGCCATGCACTCAGGAATCGAGGGCCAGGGTAGCTGGAAGACAAGAGGACGATGTGTACCCCTTCCCTCTGTAGGACCTGACATTTTAGGAAGCGTGATTATGCGTGGCTGGTTGGGGCCACTGGTCCCCTGTGAGAGCTTTTCAGGGTCCCTGGGGTCCTGAACCAGGGCACCTGGGCTAAGGATTGAAAGGAGAGCATGTGGGAAGTGAGATGGAGGGGGAGGCACCTCCCCTAGGCCGGGAGAGAGCTGAGCCAGATGGATAATCTCAGTATCCGGCTGGGAGAGGGCAATGACAGCCTCCACAGGAGAATCCTGGTTCCATCCTGGTTACCAGCAGAGTTCCAAAGACACCAAGTTGGAATTGACCTGGATATCAGACTTGGACTCCTCCACCTCCTAAGCTTGATGTCCCACTAAGCATCCGGTGCAGCCATCCAATCTGGGCAGTAAGTGCTGGGCCAGGGTTCCCTCTCCTGGGCCCACCATAGGGCCTGGGCCCAAAAGAGGATCCAGTATGAGTCCCTCCAGGGGCTCAGGGATGACCAGGATTGGCTCCCCAACCCAGGAGTCCTGGGAAATGGCCAAGGTCTGTCCTAGACTCTGTTCCTTTTACATTCAGTCTCTGACATGCTCTCCTTTAGTGTCCTGCACACGGGGATGCCCTCAACAGGTGTCAAACCCCAATCCAGTACACACAGGGGGACACATTCTGTTCTCTCTAATGAACCTTGGGACTTAGAAAAACTGGTAACAGCTGAATCTGAGGGATTCCCCTTTTCTTCAGGTCACCCAGAGTCAGCACCTCTCAACTAACCATCCACAAATGTTGAGAGCACCTCTGCTGTGTGGCAAAGCTTCCCTCTCTTCTGCTAGGCCAGCCCTGGGTCACTGTGTCCAGATTGCACAGATGTCCCCATGGGGTGCCTATCCAGCAGCGCTGATTCATCCACAGGTACCATTCCGCGTCCCTTTCCCAGTCTCCCAGCTCTGCACTGCAAGTTTCACTTGGATTGGGAAGAAAGGCAAGTCGCAGCAGCTCTTTCCCCTACAGGGCGAAAAAGAGGAAGTGGGAGTCCAGGGGAGTTTTTAGAAAGCTCTTGCTGAACGGGCTCAGCATAACTGTCTAGGACTTGAACTCTAGGAGGACGGTGTTTGGGGCGTTCCAGGAGTGAAGGCACGTGCAAAGCAGAAGAGAAAGGGCTGAGACTGACGAAGACCGCCTGCAAGGTCCGGAGGAGTAAGATCCGAGGGCTGAGGTAGCGCAGCCCTCCACACCCAAGTCCCTCAGGTTCCCGGGCCGCGCCCCCTTCTCTTGCCGAGCCGGGCCCTCATAGTCTCCGCCCCTCACCCCTTGCAGCCTCGGGGTCAGCCCGGCCCTCACCTCTCCCTGGGGACTTGGCCCCCAGCCTGCGGCTGCCAATTTCTACACCCAGGACCCAGCTCTCTCGTCTCCCCCCACCTCCCAGGACTCCCGTACCGGGTCCCAGATCGAGTTCTCGGACTTCGGCTGGAGACAGTGAATCTAGGTAGATCTGGTGGGATCTGAGTGGACAGCGGCGCCGTGGTCTCCCAGACGACCCCAGACCCATCGCCACCGGCTGGCAACGGCGCTGTAGACGGCAGCGCGCACAGCCAGGATCCCCTCTCCAAGCGCGCCCCCTCCCCGTCCC